GGTGCCATCGACCGCCTGCCTGACTGAGAGTTTCCAGGGCTGATCGTCCACTCAGGCCATCCAGGGTTCCTCGCCGCGCACGTCCAGCTGCAGCTTCTGTCCATGCCTGCCGACTTGTAAACTCTGCGTCCAGACACAAATTTCATTCTGGTCCTCGGACACAGTCTGCCGCAACACGTATCCATATCTGAGCTGTTGCTAGGCTGCCGTCATCCGCCCTGTTAAACCCCAGGATTTTGGTCTTTAGCCCCCGCTTCCAGCGGCCGTGGACGCACACCGCTGGGTTTCTCGGAACCAAACTACTCGAGCCGCCATGTCCCACTCGATGACACAAGTTGATGCTTAATCAATACCGTTTAATCGCGAATGTATTTGTAACATGTCCAAAAAGTACGACATTGCGAAACGCGCAGGCTGCTACGTCGCAAACTCATGTAGTCTGGTAGACTGACATGAATCTTTGCTACTTGATAATGCTTTTTGCTCAGCCGGGCTTCCGCGTGGCTTTGCGGACATTTGGCCATTGGCTCTTTGTCAGGCATGATACTTGCTGGCAGAAGTCGGACACACGCGCCAAGTCAGCCTAGGAGCAGAAGCAGAACTATCTCACAGTCGCCCAAATTGACCACTATCGACTTTTGTTCTACGATGCTTCGAATACAAGCACGGTCTTGCATCCGGTGCTTCCTGTAAGTCGCGAGGACCAATTTCTGCTTCAGACATGGATGGCATGCAAACTTTTTCTAGATTCCTGCACGCAAAGAGTCTCCCGTGATGCGCCGTGCTATAGCAAAAGGTATTATACTGCCAGGACAACTTGCACCAGACCGGATATAGGAACAATCTTCCCCTGCGGGCGATCCTGCGGTATGGAGATTAGAGAGATTTTCACACCCTATCAAACACACCGTGCCTAGCATAATCTCAACTAACGTCTGCAATCGCGGCCTGCGGGTAGACACTTGTTCGATAAGATAGTGTTCCCGTACCGTACTTTACATATCAAGCCGACCATGGTACATTTTGCAGTAACACAATTGGTATGCAGACCAAACTGACATTTCGTAAGAACATGCAACTACCACGTTCCCAGACGTGTGAGATCTTCCGTGTACACTCGCATACATTACAAGTACAGTCAGCCATGCCGCAATTGTGCGACGACTGTGCCACAACATGAGCTGCTCGACGTCTCCGAGCGATTGTAAGTGGATTGAGCGCAGCACAACAGCGATGGTTTGCACTTGAACGGAACAGAACTAGTAGCAGCAGTGGCGATGACCCTACTGATGCTGTAAGAGGCTATCTGTGCCTCGTAGTACACCCCAAAGGTCTTCGCATAGGGGAGCACTCCATCTCGGGGGCTTGTTGCATTTGGTCCCCGAATTCCATTGAGCTTGGGTATCTCCAAGTGCAAGATAGCCTCAGGTATGGTGGTTATCTCCAGATTAGCTAGGCACGAAGACTGCGGCCATGTTTACGTGCTGTGAAGCGTACGATGGTTCAACGACATCGGTGAGCAACTCGAGGCAAGACAGGCTCACCACAGTTGATAGGCCACTGCAACGTATCACATATGCCCTTCATACATAACACACACAGATACAACGAAATCTCTACGATATATGAGGAGATTCGTATTCTTTGGGTTGTATCACTTAACAGCAAGACCTACCCAAGAGGTCTTTACTGAATTTCATGTTATGTTCGCAATGTGTAGAACGCAGCGAATACCCTTGAGGTACACGGCAAGTACACTTTAGAAAATACGAGCTCCTATGTACACAGAGACGCAAGAACCTTTCGATGGATCGTACGTGACATGACGAGGCCGCAGGATCATTGGCCAAGATACCATCTTCCAACATTGCGATGGGTTGAGGCTTACATCCAATCAGCCAGGCATTGACGCTCAACGAAGACAAACCGTTATGTATGCAGTGTATTCGCAATCGTTCGCTTACCCAGACCCACGAATAGGCCTGCTTGCCAGAACACCACCTTTCGAGCCACACAAAACCCCTCAGATGCAACACAATGCATATCCAAGCCTTCGCCAATATCTGCATACCCAATTTCATCGCCTCCCCCTGCCCACAATGTCACGGACCAGGTTCATTGTACCCTACCATTCTACATTGAGACGGATGCCTTTTCTACATTGAGCATTCAGGTGGCGTGATTGTGAACTCAACGGCACGACACGACCTCAACGGACCTAGAAACGAGCAGATAAGTGGTACTGATATAAAACAGTCCCATGGGAAGTACTCAGTATGTAGAAGGCTTACCCCTCTTCCCACACGCGAACGAACTGCACCCTGTCGCTGTTGCTGACAGTCTGCAGCATTCCCATGATACCGCTATCGCGGGCGCGCAGCCAGCCACTCAGGCGATCTTGCAACCTTAAGATGGCGCCTCTTACGTTTCCGCCGCAAAGTTTCTCGACGCTGGACACTGAAATATACCTAGCGCGCGTGTTGGTGCAGTACGCGTCCAGGTTGTAAGCGGAGCTTCTGTTTTCCAAGGAAAGGACCTTTCGATACAGCACATGAATAGGTTTGTCTCCACTTCCAACTTTCTCCTGCGTCGTGCCTTTTGCACTACGGCAATACATTCTTAGCAGCAACCAACGTATACGGACGCCTTGTGGGCTACAGTATTGATAGCCTCTCCGCGGTCGTAGAAAGACGCAACTAGAGTAACCCAATTTTTCTCCCGTATGCCCCGGGATACGTTTTGCTATTGCAGCTTAGAAAACACCCACTCATGCGTATGCTTCATGAAGATCAACCTTCTCCTCAATTGCACGTCTGAACCGCAGATGGGCATAATTCCCGCTATCCGCTACCCGCTATCCGAAATCTCTTCACCGTGTCTCGTTCCGGGGCGCCTGTTCAATCGTCCCTGCCACACATCTGAGCCGCCGCCTATTTACCTTCGCTTGCTCATGCCGCATCCTTCTCAAGCCATCGGCTGCACGCCTGGAATCTCGACCCATCTGTGGGTGGCGAAGCGGCTAAAATACGCGATGCTAGCGTCATGGTAAGCGTTAAGCTTTGGTAGTCGAGCAGCCGCTCTCGCGCCGCGGGCACGCCTCCGGGACTACCCAATAGGATGCTACCCGGCACGGTAAACGGATCGTACAGCTATCGCATCCTTAGCCATGCGATATCAAAATAGTCTTTTTGACGGACACGGAGATTATGTGTATTAGATGCTTTTTCAAGATAGACTACGTCTACACCGTCTCCGCACCTGCTGACTATCAGCCTTGTACCAGCGCATGTCACGTCCTTGCAAATCGTCGGGTCCGCGGTACGCGATGTCGGAGGTGGAGCTGACCGACAGGCCGGAGCACAAGTGGGAGAGATCCATGGACGCGCCCGAAGTGGTACCGTAGATGAAGGACGATAATTTTAAGCGCAGCATGGCTGACGACGTTCGAACATGGGCTGGATGTAACAGCGGGAATAGTAGGGCGGAGATGCGTCGTTCTCCTTCGACATGGGGGGACACACGGGAAGGATGTACAGGTACATGTACATATCACGATTAGTGTCCGTGGAGGCTGAACATGACTCCATGCAGGGCCGATTAAAGGATGATATGACAGCCGTTTTCAAGATATTGCTGCCCGATTTGTAAACAGCATTCGCAAGGGATTTCCTCGTTACAGTAGTATCCATTGCTACAAAGCGCTTATTGTCGCTCTTTGGGACCGACGACAAGCCCGACTTGGTCGTGAATCCACCCCCACGGACGAAACGTGATTAATATGTTACATATTTCGGCGCACCTATAACAGCGCCTAGAGGTTCTGGAGCTCTCCTGTGGATCAAAATCGTACACGATTAGTTTCATGTATTCCTTGAGTCTCCCTGACACCGGGTATGGTACCAGTTGTATACTCTCGGTGTGTCCCACTCGCGTTCGCATTCGGGCCGATACAACGATATCTTCAAAGCTCATGCGGCTTTCATGATTGTATTTTAGTCTCAGTGGTTAAGCCTATCAAACTGAAGCTGTGACAGAGTCCATGGATGTTTACAATTGGGGTTCCCACCACGATAACATGATGTCGGACGCTCAGGGTCTTGATAAACATAGCGAGGAGCGAGAAACAGGAGAGTTGGCTCGGTGGGGTGAGACTTTTATATTTTCGAAGACGGTGCACTGCCTTGGTGAGTAGCAGTACCAGTTCCAGTTATATGGCTCTCGATTCTCCTACTAGTATCATGGTCTATCCAGAAGGCGTTTGCAGGCTGCAATGCTGACAATCTCTAAGTAATGTAGGCCTTGTGTATGGCGCACATGTGCTTCATATGAAACACATAAGGTCTGATATCCTTTGCAGTTTCCATGAGTCTCATCAGAAGAGAGGTGAAAATGTACTTCAGGTGTGTCGAGTATCTGTTCATCTGTCCAGACATGACCACGCACGCACGTTCTTTTGGGGTTATAAGCAGATGTTTACAACATCCCCCGTCTAAGAAACATGTGCCACATTTCCAACATTTTCTGTGCACAAAGTACTTAAATTCTGGATCTCTTTCATATGGCAGAAACTAGGCTCCCATAAGGCCACCCTGAAAGAAGTTTGGAAAAACAGATAGGACTTCAAAAGCGCGTATGGCATAAATCCCATGACCGTGAATGTACGATTTTAGACGCAGAAGGGAGATGTGATAATGGCGAGATGGACTCTTGGGCGCCCACGACAGAGATATGAGACCATGGTTCAGAAGTTTGGAAATGTACAGGAATGAAGTAGATGTGTATGATAGAGGGCAGGATGGAGAGTGGACATAGAGTCCTGTAGGTGCGCACATAAGCACCTTCCTGCATTAGGACGAACCGAGGTGGGGCCATGAGCTCAGAGCAAGCACGAGGGAAACACCAAACAACGCGTCCCAACGCGCACAACCGGCGCAATTGTGGTTTTGCGGTTTCCTATTCCCTTCTTACAGCATATCCTTGAGTGGAATACGAGGTTCAAGATGTTTTCCTTACCTATGATTGCGCCGCGCCCGGTAAGTAATTTTACACATGTCTTAGATGCTTCAGCAGAAGATGCGAACATTTGGAGCCCTAGACATAAATCAGATTAGGATTGAACTGACGATGTTTCCAGGATGCCAGCCTCTGGCCTTCCCATTACACCACCCACACCGCCTTCGAGGACACACATTCACACTCTCCACCCGACACATCCCATGGCCACAACAACCGGCGCCCAACGTCGCACCACGGCCCACGTCGCCATCAGAACCACTTCCTCTCCAGCCTGACTGCCGACGAGAACACAATCGCCCAGCGCAAACTCAATGTACGCAGATTCGGCGCGGGTTGGCTGCGTCCGCCCGGTATCACCAAAACACTACAAGCGATCGACGACGAAAAGCTAGAGAAGGAGGAACAGGAGATGATGCAACGCAGAGAGCAAGTAATGATGGACCTAGCAGCCGCTCAACAAGATGCTGCAAACGAGGAGCAAAGGGAGAGAGGAGAAATGGAAGAAGAGGCCGGAGAAGGAGAAGTAGAACGGGATCTTGACGATGAAGTCCCGGAGGCACAAAGCACACCCAGTGCATCTGAAGTATCGAGCGACGAAGAATCAGAGGAGGAGGAGGACGGCAGTGAAACTAGTGGTGACGTCCAAGAAGAGAGCACAGTACCCTTTAATGAGGACAGCTTCATAGGGGGCAGTATGCTCGAAGCAGAGGTATCCCACATGCTGGAGATGGAAGAGGCGGAAATGGCAGGCGTGCTGCAAGACGAACGCGATCTCGACGACGATGTCCCAGAAGCCGGGAGTTACGAACATACCGATTCTGAACTCGAAGATGATAGCGATGTGGATAATAGCGCCCTTCCACCTGGTCTCAGCTCCGTGCGCTCAAGGCGCTCGACAAGGCGCCGCTCAAGTGGACGCCGTAGCTCTGGTCGCAGAAGCTCGGGATTGCCTGGTGGCATGATGTTTGGAGGTGGACATCCCGCTATTGGAAGGGTCAGCCTGGGTGTTGATTTGGGGAATGGAAGGAGCAGCTTTGGCATGGATGGGAGTAGTTCACTTCTTGAGGGTAGCTCCTTTTTGAGGAGTTCGCCGGCGGGGAATGCGGCAGCCAACAGGGGTAGTCTGAGAGATAGGTTTTTGGGGGCTGCGAGAGGTGGTGGTGGAGGGAGTGGAAGGAGGGCTTGAGGTTAGATGTGGTAATGATTATGATTGTACGATAGTGATACTCAGTAGCTTCATGACGGCTGAATGTATTCGCAGTATTCAAACGCCGCAAACGTGTTGGTAATGTATGAGTCTGGAGGTATTCATCCTATTCTACGCTCACTTCCACCCATCCCAAACATGACCCCGAAGGTCCTCACACCGTCCACGTCTAACCCATCAGCTCATCAAATGCCCTGTCAATGAAGCTGCCTGCCTCACCATAAATCTCTGCGTGCGCCGCCCTCTCCTCGTCGGAGTCCATGTTCAAACAAGCACCCACGCATCGAATCCAGTCCTCCAAGGCAATCTTGCCTGTCATTAGAAAGTAGTACTCTAGACGCAACTCCACAGAACAGTGGCGGTCCACACTCTGACCGATATAGTCTCCACCGACCATGCCGCACAACTGGTCAAGGCGTTCCTGCCATTCGTCGTCGGCAATGGTGATCATCTTGCACATAGCGCGGAGCATAGACTTCAATGTAGCTACGTCGGTAATATGGATGACCCACAGTGCGTTGTATCTGGCGACAGTGGCGTCGATGCGCTCATTTTTGGAGAGCAGATTGTGGGCAAGGAAGCGACAGGCGAGTTCTGGGCTTAAGCACCCGCGGCTTGATTCAGCGACCAGCATGCATGGTGCCTTCTTCCAGATTTGGAGGTGGAAGGGGTAAGTCAGGTCTTCTAGGATCTCAAGTGGGGGGTTAAAGACGAGGGCATTGGCCGCAGCCTCTTCGGGCTTCAGGATACTGAGCAGATACAGCAGATTGCGGTTGTTCCAGTCGATGGTCTTGGTGAGCGGAGCAAACAGCTCGGCGTACTCGTCGCCAAAAGGGTTGGACGTGACTGCTGCGGTGACACTCATGATGGAATTGGTGTGTTGGCTGGAGTAATAGATTCTCATGCAGAGTGCTAGTAGGAAGCTGGAGATATTGATGGGAGAGAGGTAGATGGTGACTTTGTGTGGGAGGAGCGAGGCAGTAAGGAGTCGCAGCAGCAGCAGAGACAACGATAATCAAAAGAGGTGGCTGGCTTATTGAACCATAGCAGGTGACAGCAAGGATTCAAGCGTTACGGTGATGGTGAAGGATGAACCAACCACATTCACTTACGCCAAAAAATACACTACAGGTATACGCATGATGTTTAGCCAGCCACTGGCAGAATAGAACATCATGTATACCTTTAGAGCAGACTTTGAATACCGGGTAGGAATTGAAAACATGAGCTTCTTCGTAGCATGGTTGGGAAATTCGAAAAATGACAGCGTGAAATACAGTAGGAAAGAACTGGCCGCTGTTACATTACAAACGGCCATGCACTATTTCGTCATAGTCACACATTTCAGGTGATGTCGTTCATTTCTCCTTGGTGTCCTTCCTGGCGGTAAATATATACAAAGCTTAGTGAGTCGCAAAGATGTTGCGTGTGCGCAGGTGAACTGGGGTCTCGCCCTTGGGCGCATCTGGTATCGTCTTCTCCAATTTCTGGAGCAGTGTTAGTGAAAGACGTAAGCCAAAGTGATGTTGCAGCATACCAGCTTCTCGAACACACACTTGTTCAGCTTGCGCTCTTCTGACCGGCAGTTCCAGAGTTGCTGGTTGTGGTTTTCGAGGCATTGCCAGTGGGTGCGGAACTCTGCCAAGCAGTTCTCGTTGATGTCCTTGATACTGCCACATCTGTCAATATTCAAGGTCTAATATTGAGCCTTCCGCCGGTACGTACACACTAGCCGCACACCTGGTGACCTTGCGGCCTTCCTTCATACAGTCAAACTCTCCCCGGCCGTTGGCCTCGGTCTTGCACATCATGTAGTCATCGTTGTAGGCCTTGCATCGCGCGCCAATGAAGAACGAGGCACTTAGGAGAGGCGCAGAACTGGCTCCGAGCTCTTTGACCTTGGGGATGTCGTCGGGTAGAGGGGTGGTGTCGATGAGGGCTTGCTGGTTGAACCTGCGAATTGTTTAGCGCCTGGAATTGATGGTAGAATCAGAGGAGAGAGGTTACCTGGGCTGGCGCGACGACATCTTGAGGGTGAAGTGCCAATGGCGGGCAATGTGCTCATGAATTGAAGATGATGCTCGTGAGGTCGTCGCGGAAGTCGGTCTTGGCGGCTCACTAAAACTGGCAGGGATACGATCGGCCGCAGCTTGTGCCTGACCTTTGTGAGCAAGAGACAACAATCTCTCGCTATCCACCCTGCACCTCAACTACACTCTTTGCAAGGGTTCCAGAGCTTTCGTCAATCAGAATGCGCGCGGACTGAGCCTTCCTGTGAATCATCCCCGCGCCGACTTCTCAACGGTCCTTTCTTCGCGTACCCACGCGCGACCGAAAACAAACATCTGAAGTTCTTCCATTCGCGACTCCAGACAGCGTCACTCGCTTGCACCGCCATCGAATCTACATAGGAGGATACGCACATACCTTGGGCTTGATACACCATGTCTTTCAGCTTTGGAAACACGGGTGGTGGAGAGAAGAAGACAGGTACTCTCTTTGGAAGCACCACAGCACCAGCTGGCGGTCTATTTGGTCAATCGCAGCAGCAACAGCCACAGCAGTCAAATGCGACACAGTCTGGCGGCCTCTTCGGCTCGTCGACCGCTCCTCAGAACAACAACACCAATAGCTTGTTTGGATCGACACAACCACAGCAACAGAACTCTGGATCAAGCTTGTTCGGCCAGCCGCAACAACAGCAGCAAAATGCTGGCTCGAGCCTCTTCGGACAGCCTCAACAACAACAAAATGCTGGCTCTAGTCTATTCGGTCAACCCCAGCAACAGCAGCAACAACAACAGCAACAGCAGGGGCAACAACAGCAGCAGCAACAGCCAAACATGGGCAATAGCCTCTTCGGCGCCTCATTGCAGCCTGCGCCCATATTGAACAATGTCCAGGCGCAAAGCATCCAGCAACAGCGCGAAGGGCTCCCGCAGCTGCGCCAGTCTTCTGCGCAACCCTTCGCTAGCTCTGCGTACATGAACGGTCACAGTACGGACTTTTCAAATCCTTTGCTGAAGCCATGCTAACACCTACCAGGAGAGAAGTCGGTCATCGAACAGATACGGATCCTCAACAACAAGTGGGACCCTGAGAACCCCGAATGTGTCTTCCAGTACTACTTCTACAACTCGGTCAAGCCTGAAGAAGCACCCTTCTATGGGCCATCGCAAGGCGAAGACGAACGGAAATGGGAGGAGGCTTTGTCAAAGAAGCCAAGTCCAGGCGCTATCCCTGTGCTTGCGCGCGGCTTTGAACAGGTCGGAGAACGTATCAAGCAACAAGCAGCAGCTGTCACCGCGCTACGGACCCGCCTGCACGAGATCAACAACAGTCTGTCGCTTCTCAAAGACGCGCACGAGCTGACTGTAGCATCGCGCATTACCGAAGCTAAGCGCAAACACATTGTTTTCACCCAACGAACACTAGCCCTTGCGACCAAGGTCCAGATCCTGCGAAACAGAGGATACGTTATGGACCAGCCAGAGGAGGATCTGAAGAAGAAGCTTATCGAGTTGGAGAAGCAAACCTTTGATCCCGTACTTGGTGGGCGACAGGAAGAGATCTGGGCACGCATGTCTGGTGTGCGCGAGCGAGCGCGTATTCTGCAGGAGGAGACGGAGAAGCTGGGCAAGACGATTGATCAGCAGCAGAATGGTGAACTCCTTACAGACGAAGATCAAAAGGCGTTGGAAAAGGTAAGAGGCCTATTCCTTGACGCTTTGCGAATACTAACAACGTACCCTAGCTTCTCAAAGACTACGACCGACAACTTGAGCACCTCAAGAAGTGGGTTGACGATACCAGAGACGAGTACGACGAGTGGGAGACGACGAAGCAATCAAGGCCCGCAAAGCGATAGGAACATAATACAATGGCGTGTCTGGCATGTACGATTCATAGGTGATCTGGAGGTTATATTGCGAAAAGTTGGGCGTTGTGAGATACCAAGCAGCGGACGGATGCATAGAAGGCGTACAATCAAGCGTTGCATAACATTTCGTCCTCTTACCGTAGTGCCAGTTGAATTGTTTGCATGCATTTCCTTCATTCTCGTAGCAGGCCCAATGTTATCAAGTAGGATCATGAAAGTCTACTTCTTTCTGAGATCTAGTGTTGTGGGGTTTGATATCGTTGTGCATGTACTAGATGGTTCAGTGACTTATCACTGCTCCTAAAAATGTGCGTTGGTGTCATGTGTACTGGAAGGGTATTCGTGTCCGTTCAATATATATAGTCTACATTATAGACCAGTATTGTTACAAGCGCATTCCCTATGCCATGCGCACATGTTGTACAGAAGTTGTTGGTATATCTTTCGTTCGATGTCTTCCTCCATGCCTAGGCCTGTTTACATCGAGCGCTCTCGGTATCGTGGGAAAGTTCGTAATCGCAGAAACGGTCGTTACTTAGAAGAGCTTCGAGACGTATTCGACAAGATGAGGTGCTGGAAGCAGTCTGTTAGTCTTCCATCCGTCTACTATCTAGTCCCTAGTTGCTCGTACAGAAGTAAAGTACAACAGCGCTGGCGGCTGTCCACTTGATATCAGTCATAGTCTGTGCTTCGGCCGCGGCAAGCTCCTGCTTAGATGGTTGGGGTGGTGCTGTCACGCATGTCAGTCTCGTCGTCTATGGCTCGCCCGTCGCAACTAGTAGGACTAACCTCCGAACATTCTGGCTATGTGATGTGAATTATGGGGTGAGTTGCAAGAGGGGATCTAAGGTGGTATGCAAGTTGAGTATCTCGAAGATGACGTTCACACTGCGTTTGGACACGCAAAAGTTTGGATTGTCGGAGTTTGGGCTGCAATGTTGCCGATGAGGTCGGTCACGTGCTCGCGCGTATCTTCCCAGGTTGTTTGTTGTGCGTGTCTTTCCTCCGTCAGCATGAAAGGAGCAATTCCTTCCTTTCCTTTTTCTCTCGATCGTTGCACGACGCTGACACCCTCATTTGCGCAGTCTGACCGACAACATCTTTGTGAACCTGGGGCATGCCGCTCTTATTGTCTATCCCAGACATTGCTCAAGGCGGAGTGACTAGAGTATCGCTCACTCCGTCTCTAACTCTTGTGTTTTGGGCCGTACGGCCGTCTCGGTGATTTGAAGCAGATGCATCATTCCGAACGGCAAGCCAAGCCTACTCGACTTACTATATGGTCTGTACATATGTATGCTAGCCCCTAGTACCTAGCTCAACACCATCTCATTTCATAGATCACTAAACAAGTGCCCCTGTCTCGAACCTACACAGGGCACGGAATGGGATCAATGATCTTCATAGCGCCGTGGCGCCGTGCTGCTGGGAGGCAAGCTGCAAGCACGTGTTGAAACAGTCGATATCGAAATCTGGGTTGGAGGTGGTGTTGTGTTCGTTGCCAGACTAACGCAGGAGGCAACCCAAAAGCCCACTTGCATGCATGTCATCCGCAGCGCGTGGTAGCATCATCATCAGTTCATTGTGCAGGGCCGCACAACATAAGTTGACCCCTCGAAAAACAGACCAAGTTTCACTACGAAACTTAACGTAAGGCTAGCTGGCGCTGTAATGAGGCTTTGCGAACCGTTGAACTAAGTGTTTCAAGCTCCAGAAGCATGCCGTCAATACATACGCCACATGCTCCGCGGTTCCAAGCCTGAGCTGAGATGCACCACACGGGAACTTGGCTTGCTTGTCCAATCAGCTAAGCAAATAGGCATGACTGATCGCCGCCATTTAGTCCACACTCGATCGGCCCTATGACAGCAATTACAGGGAGTCAGCTCTCGCATTGATGTATTAATATGTGATGTACCGGAAGCCCAGCCGTTCTTCAACATCATTTGTTCACCTTCCTGTCGCTCGTTTTTCCTGCCGTTTATTGCTAACATGTTGCTTCCAACATCTTCCCTTGTATTGGGATTGTATTCCACTTGCGCACTCGCGCTGTCCGCTCGTTCCACCAACGGCTATGTCCACGAATCATCTAACCTACGCTTTGCGAACCGCCACCCTCATCCACACGCAAAGCCTCGTCAGTCCGAGGATTCGTCATGCGCTCCATATTGGCTAGAAGATATCAAGCACCAGGGCGTTGCTAGCTTCAACCCAAATCCAAACAATTATACCGTCTTCCGAAATGTCAAGTCTTACGGTGCGGTCGGCGACGGAGTCACTGACGATACTGCCGCTATTCAAAAAGCGATTGCAGAGGGTAATAGATGTGCCCCTAGTGCCTGCGAGAGTTCTACCAACGAGCCTGCTGTCGTGTACTTTCCAGGTGGGACGTACTTGATCTCGAGTAGTCTCATCGATTATTACTACACTCAGGTATGAATTCTGCCAAGTGCGAGGAAGCTCGTTTTCCAAGTGTTGCATTTAATACACGAATTTTACCTGGAGGCGTGCACTGTCTCGTACCTTGTGGGCATATGGACATAAGATACAGTGCATCCCTTCGGGGTAAACTTTATGGACTCAGCATTACCCAGGAGAATGAACCTCTTTGTATAGTATAACTTTGACTAACTATTTGAAGATTATCGGAAACCCGAACTGTCTTCCCACCATAAAGGCTGCTTCCAATTTTTCTTCTACAGGTGGTCTGGGATTGATCGATGGTTCTCCATACCTCGGCGTTGGAACCCGACCTGGTCGAACTGGCTTTGGACCTACAAACACATTCTTCCGCCAGATTCGCAACCTTGTCCTTGACATGACACACCTCCCAGCTAACTTTTCAGCTACTGGAATCCATTGGCCAACTGCACAGACTACAAGCATCCAAAACGTAGTGTTCAACATGAATGCTGATAACGGAACACAGCATCAAGGTCTCTTTATCGAAGAAGGATCCGGGGGTTTCATGACTGATCTCGTCTTCAACGGAGGAAACAAGGGGTTTAGCGTCGGAAATCAGCAATTCACCACTCGCAACCTTACTTTCAACAATGTCAACACTGCTATTGAGCAGCTCTGGGATTGGGGTTGGACGTACAAGTCCGTCTCTATCAACAACTGCCGAGTTGGGTTGAACATGTCTGCTGGTGGTCCATCTGCAGTCAATGTGGGATCGATCACCTTCTTCGATAGCGAGATTAACAACACCCCGATTGGTATCGTTACCTCCAGGACTGCCAACTCTGAGCCTGTCGGTGCTGCATCCATGTATCTGGAGAATGTCAAACTCGATAACGTCGGCACTGCTGTACTTGGTCCAAATGGAACCTACCTGGCAGGTTCTTCCGGAGCTTCAGTCATTGACGCTTGGGCTGACGGACACCGATACCTTCCCAATGGTCCGGTCGAGGCACGAGGCGCTATTGCTCCCACTAAGCGTCCGGCAGAGCTATTGAACGCTGAAGGAAAATACTACGAGCGCTCGAAGCCTCAGTATGGCGAGATTCCTCTGTCACAGTTCCTCAGCGCTCGCGACCTTGGTGTTACCGGGGATGGCCGAACCGACGATACAGACGCCCTTAACACTGCAATTCTGCAAGCGAAGGCAGAAGGCAAGATTCTTTTCCTCGATGCTGGTTTCTACCTAGTCACCTCTACGATCTACATTCCACCTGGTACCACTATTGTTGGAGAAGCCCTTGCCTCTGTCATCCTTTCCTCCGGCCCCTACTTCAACGACATGGCCTCCCCTAGGCCAGTCGTGCAAATTGCCCAACCAGGTGAACAAGGCCGAGTCGAGCTTTCCGACCTCTTTATCAGCACCAAAGGCCAGCAAGCAGGTGCTATCCTGATTGAGTACAACCTCGGTACATACTCTGACGAGCCTGCTAGCCTTTGGGATGTGCACACACGTATTGGAGGATTCGCCGGATCCGATTTGCAAACCGAGCAGTGCGAGAAGACACCTGACCTTGTGACTACTTCGGAAAACTTGGTGGAGGAATGCATTGCAGCTTACATGTCAATGCACGTCACTAAGTACGGTGCAGGACTGTACATGGAGAACAACTGGCTCTGGGTTGCTGATCACGATCTTGACGATGCGCGCAATAACAACACTCAGATCACTATCTATGCTGGCCGTGGTCTGCTAATTGAGAGTCTCCAAGGACGACTGTGGCTGTAAGTCTCCCACCCATCGTTATTCTGCCACCAGTGACTAACATTCAAGTAGATACGGCACGGCAGTCGAACACCATGTCCTCTATGAATACCAGTTCGTCGATACCCGAAACGTCTTCATGGGCCAAATCCAAACCGAAACGGCCTACTACCAGCCCAACCCCGATGCTCTTATCCCCTTCCCAACCGTCCCAGAGCTGTCCGATCCCGTCTTCACGGCTACACCTTCGAATGGCACAAACTCAACATCGCCCAACACAGCATCAGGCTGGGGCCTGCGCATCCTCCGTAGCAACAACATTCTTGGTTACGGAGTAGGATTATACTCTTTCTTCGACAACTACTCCACGGACTGCTCGCAGGTTGGTGCGGGTGCTGTGTGCCAGTCGCGCATCCTATCAATTGAAGGGGACCGCAACACGTATGATATTAGTCTTTACAACTTGAACACTGTGGGTAGCACAGAGATGATCACGCGCGATGGAGTAGATGTGGCGAGCAACGTGGACAACAACAGTACTTTTGTGGACACTATCAACATTTTCAGGATTGATAGCTTCGGGCTCAAGTTGGCGGTGGATGTGGATATTTCGTTGGGCGGCATTCTGGACAAGTAGAGTCTGGGTATCACTAGATATATGCAGGTGGAGACGTAGTACTAGTAGTGGGGTCTCTATCGTTTAATGTTCTAATTATTCCGTATCCTTTTTTTCTTCATTGGAAAACTTTTCAATGCCAACTCCACCTCCTCGACCCGTTTTTCGTCAGAATCTATTGTTCTCTTTTATATATGTTCTACATTCCCTTCTTTCCATCAAAATCCGATATGGTCTAGTGGCTAGGATTTGCCGCTCTCATCTGCAGAGTCAGTTCACTGTACAGTGCCGGCAAGGCCCGGGTTCGATTCCCGGTGTCGGAAATTATCTTTTTGCCTTTTTCTACACCTTGAAACTAAAAAATGTTCTTTTTGCCTTGTCGTTCGAACTTTGTATAGGTATTGGCGAAGATTAGGACAAGGACTAGGCGTTAAGTAAGGAGCCCCTACGAACACTCCTGGCTAATGTAGTGTTTAACCGTATTTCTTTTTTCCCGAAGGCAACGAAGTGGGTGAGATAGGTATCTCTTGCCTACCTAGCTAGTTTGGATATTGAACACCAACACAAACCTGTGCACTAGAAGTATGCGACGTGTTTGTTGTGGCAGAAGGGCGTGACGGAAACTTGGAGTAGTCAGGGTGTTTCAAAAATGCGTGCGATTCAGGAAAAACAGGCCCCTTCGTAGTCAGGCACAAGAACATGCCATTACCCAAAATGCGTTCAAAAGCAAAGAAACTGCATTTAGTATAGTGTACAAGAAGCTGGCGGAACCCACGCACCAACTGAGTCTGCAAGTAACGCCCGCTATGCAATTTTACCATGCTTAACCCTCAGAAGTATGTGAAATTACCAAAGTGATGTCGAGAGCAATAGCCACAACGGCTTCATCTCAAGCCAGACGGGGAAGAAAACGCATCCTAGACACCAACAACGCTGTGAGATCCAGCTCAACGCCTGCCTCCGCTGCGACCTCCCCTGATCTGCTTCATGATATCCACGTTGCTCGAACGGCTCCTTGCGTTCTCGTTGAACACGACACTACTTTTGGGTGCGATAGTATACGTAGTAGGGCCAGACTCCATACGGGCGCGCTGAAAGGCCTTCGGGGCTTCGAGCTGCTTCTTTCGGGTGGCCGCGACGGCTGCTGCTTGGCTGCTGGCAGCGGACCTGTCGCCAGTCTTCATTTGACTAGATATGGTCAGTATGCGTAGTGAAGTATGCAAGAGTAAAACATACCTTGGATTGTAATCGGCCTGGGCAAACTCCTTCTTGCGGTAATCGTCTGTCCGCCTAAGGATAGGACGCGTCCAGTCTGTGAAGAGGCGCTCGGCTTGTCGCTTTATGGTCAACTCGGGCTTCTTGCTCTTGATATAGAACATGATGACCTTGCCGATGCCAGAGGCGACAAGTGTGTCCTTGTTGACGGGCAACTTTGCTAACGAAGCCATGAGATCCTTCTGGATGTCGTATGCGGGAAGACTACCATCGCTGAGGGGCTCCAGAAAGAAGCGCACCGACTCGAGCAGGTTCACCTCAGGGTCCACAATAGTATCCCTCAGTGTGTTCTTGTTCAACAGGGCTGTGACTTCTGGCAGAAGTTTGAGCTTGTGTCGCGCCGGCTCGTTGCGCTTTCTGCCTTCGTTGTCGGCTTCGGCGGCTGCTGCCATACGGCGGCGCATCTCCTCAATTTCCTGGTCGGCCATTTGTTCGAGGTCAATGCCATCCTTCTTGCGGCGGCGATTTGAGCTGGTGCTGACGATACTGTCTATCTGAGCATTGAGCTGCTTCTTTCGTCCTACAACCGCAGTTAGTAAACGAGTTTGATTCTAGATATTAAAGTACGCACGCTCTTCAGGAGAAAGGTGCTCATCTGGATCGCCATCTGGGCTTGCGTCGCGGACCCTGCCTGCCTTCTTGGACCGCTTGCTACGCCTGTCACCTTGGGCAATATCGCCATCCTCGTCGCCGTCCTTGTTCTTCTTCCGGCGTGGCTTTTCGGCCCTCTTTTTCTTCTTCTTTGGCTCTTCACCCTCTCCTGCAGTGCGCTTCCGCTTGTGTACACCAATCTGCTTGACATTGTCCTCGTCGATAGCCTGCGCCGGGCGCTCATCGATGGCAACATTGTTGATGTCGAAGTCGCCAAACTGCTCATCCATTTGGTCGTCATCCAGCGCCTCAGAAAGCACCGACTCGTTATCTGACAAGCCAGCCTCGATGTCGTCCTGATCGGGCATCTCGCCAGGTCGGTCTTCTGTTACCTCCATATCTTGGTCTGGATCACCGATGGGGGGGTTTGGGGTAGCGTTTTCCTCGTCAATCTCGGGGCGCAGAGGATCGGCTGGGTCGTCGCCAGCCTCTGGTAGCGGCGACTTGGAATGCGACCGGTTGAACTCGACGTCCTCCATACTGGCAGTCTTGGCCTATGTCGTCAAGATCAAGGTGTCGATGGGACGGCGCTAAGGATACGGGCTCGTTGGACGGTGGCTGATCGCAGTAAAGGTGCAGGAGGCGCGAACGGCGATCAAGAGATGCTCAAAGGAAAGTTCCAGGGAGCGCGACTGCCATGACGCGCGGTGATACGATTTGCCGTGGCCGGGCTTGGCAGTCGCAACCGCGCGCCCCGGCTTGTTCGCGACTGCTGCTGTCAAAGACCGCAGCCGCTCCACCTTTGTTCAACCACTCACTCGCCTGACCACCAACCTCAGGCCCCCACCACGACACTTGCACAAGTCTGCACGACGAGTTTTCTTACAGAGGCCGACTGACGCTGCCTTTCCGCTTTTCAACTGACGAGCTCCAAGACAGACGGCACCCTGCATAGGCTTCGGCATCGTCGCGGCGTCTGTGAGTCACTTGGGGGCTCTATTGCGACACGTCTGCAATCGCGCGTTGCCGCCTCACTGTTGGCTTGAAGGAGGAAGGACATACAGACAGAAGGAGGATTGCAGTAGCTGGAGGAGAGCGAGTTTGTTACTGCCTAGCTGTACCGGCGCAGTCTTCACACTGCGTCATTTGGCGCGGCCATAGCTAGTATCCAACACAAGCACTGTCATTACGTGTGTTCGTCGAGAGCGAGGAAGCATATCGTCTATTGTTCATCTGGCATCGACATCGTCAGCGTTGCGACTTCCCGACCGCGAAGCCAGCCGCTCACTCTGCCCTTTGCGCGCAAGTTTCACTTCTTCCTCTAACACAGCACATATCCCTTCTTGTCTAACTCCCAGTCCTTGCCCATCATGTCTCTACCAGCTGCTGAAGTGGCTGCCGACTTTCGAGATGCCCTGCAAGATTTGAGGATGAACAGCAGACCTGAGATTAGCAATCTAACCCTCATCGCCAAAGAAAACACAGAATATGCGGAAGCCATATCCAACGAGCTCCAGAAGCATATCCAATCGGTAAGTCCTGGATGCTAGAGGACTAACAACTCCACCATTCCACAAACACTCAATTTGTCCATTGGTGACTGACATGTATAGACTCGCCCTGAATGGAAACTTCCCGCCCTATATGTCCTTGATTCCATCGTCAAGAATGTCGGCACCCCATACACTGTCTACATCGGTCGCAACCTTTACAGAACTTTCATGGACGCCTATCTCGTCATGGATCAGAATACCCGCAAAAACATGGAAGGCTTGCTGAAGACGTGGAAGATGCCTGTCCCTGAGTCCATGGACCCACGTCCTGTGTTCCAAGCCGACGTGACGCAGGATATCGAGAATGCACTGGCTAAATTCCGCGCAGCTCAGCAGCAGATTCGCCCACAGCACGCACTTCCACCTCGTCCTCCGTCGCTCAACGTCGCTTGGAGGGGTACATCAACGCCGCCGCAAACTGGCCCACGTTATGCTGCTCCCAACGACCCGCGTGCTCGACCAGTACGTCTCCACCACTACAGTCTCCAAAAAAAACTGCTAACATCTAGCCCAGGCACAACCCCCGACTCCTCAGTATGGGCCGCCATCACACGCACCCACACCCCCTACATACCAACAGCCTCAACAGCACGCGCAGCCCATGTCATCGGTTGACCTTGCTGACTTGAAGGTGGAAGTGACTCAGCTTATTAGCACAACACAGAACATGTTCGCGCACAACCCAGCTGATGCTGCCCTACGCACAAAGTTATCGGCACTCTTGTCCCTGAAGCAGATCCTAGATACGCAGACGTTGCCTCCTCAACAACTAGAGGCTGTACGCCAACAGGTTCGAGCATTGGCACCTCCACCAGCACCAACACCGACATTTGCTCCTTCCACTCCAGTATACCCGCCACAACACGCATTGCCTCCAGGTTATCCAACCAACTTTTCTCCAATAAGCGCACCTCCGAGCAGTGCTCCACCGAATGTTGCACAACTTCTTGCAGGCTTCCGGCCACCGCCGCAGTCGACTCCGCAACCCGCACCGACCCCGAACCCACCTGCTTTGAACTTGGCAGAATTACTCAAACGCGTATCCTCTCCGGCACAATCAAACTCGGTGCCTGCTCCAGCCCCATTTCAAATGCCATTCCAAGGCTTTCCGCCACCAGTCTCGACCCCAGTACCAGCACCTCAGGCTCCCCCACCGACCCAGTCCGCGACACCCACTGCCAATCTCGCCGCGTTGCTTGCACAATTCAGCAAACCGGGTGCCGCACCCCCCTCAATGCCTCCCACGCCTGTGCAAAGCACCCCCCTTCCCCAATTACCACCGCAACCTCCCGCTGCAGCTCCAGCCCTTGGGTCAGCGGAGTGGCTTCTGAAAGCGCTAAGTGGTGTACCCGGTGGCATGCCTGCGAACCCAACTCCAATTGCATCTCAGTCGACCACGCAACACGCATCGGCGCCTACTGACTTGATGGACCAGATCGAGCTTACGACTGCGTCGATGAAGAAGCCTCGTCTACATCTTATCTCTCGCCTTTACGAAGCCAAGCCCAACATCTGCGCCACATGTGGCCGTCGGTTTGAGAACACGCCTGAAGGCAAAGAAAAGAAGGCACGTCACATGGACTGGCATTTCAAGGTCAAGGACCCTGATGCCGGCAAGCGAGGCGTACACCGTAGTTGGTATATCCCCGAGAAGGAGTGGATCGAGTACCGCGAAGTGGATGAGACAGCTCCCAACCAGTCCAACGGCACTTCTTCCGGTACTGGTGCTGCTAAACCGAAGAAGCAAGCCAAAGATCGCTATGTGAGCGTACCACAAGACGTCACATTACAACAGGCGCCGTGTCCCATCTGCCAGGATAAGTTTGAGACACAGTGGAATGTGGAGGCCAACGACTTCGTGTGGATGGATGCCGTGAGTGTAGGTGGTAAGATTTACCATGCTACTTGTTTTGAGGAGGTATATGGTAAGGGTGTTGGTATGGAGACGCCAGGCACACCTGATTCAGTACTTGGAAAGAGAAAGGCTGATGTTGGCACCAATGGAGATGGGAAGAAAGTCAGGGCTTATTAGGTATTGACTTCAGCGTTGATGCGACAACCTTTCCCTTTTCTTTTAGGAAAGGTGGTGATTGTGAACTTTTGCGTGCATAGCGTAGCGTTGAGCGGGTTCATCTCAACTTTCTTGTACTTTTCGGCAACGTCATACAATAATGAGGGCTTGTTCATTCGCCCTATCAACAATGAGTAGTGGCAATTCGATTTTTAGACAAAATAACCTCCTGTTCCTGTTGACATGACATACTTACTCAGAGTGTGCCCAAAATGCCTTCTTAGTTTGTATGGATATACCAAAACCAGAAAGCCCTCGACCAGCAACTCAAGAGTTTGAGGAGGGACTCTTAAAAAAGTGTATTCTCGATAATCAGACCCCCAGATGATACATGCTGGGGATTAAGGCTGCTCTTGCGAGTACAAACCCTCCGTTCGAAAAGTTTGCTCTTTCACTCATCACTCTAAAAGTGAATGATGGCGTCCAAAAGGTGATTGCAGAGTTTTCATGTGGTAAAACCCCTTCCAATTCCCCCATCATTCCTCATATCCAGGTCACATATGGCAAACGTGAAAGCGAAGGCTCATGTCTTCTTTGTCAAATGGGCCTCCCAGAGATTTACCACTCGTGAAAGAAGGAAAAAAAAACATGTTTTTAGGAGCTAGGTCTTTCGAATTCGTGAATCTTACATACGAAAAGACTTCAAAAGTAAAAGTGTGGGTAGTGGAAAGACTATAAACCAATGGCTGGAACGATGCACACATATATCCCGCTTTTTTTTTGTTAAATGGCACATAAATGTATAAAGTCTGCATCCAGGCTTTCTACACCCACTCCTTTGGCTTCTTGAGCACCTCCAGCAGCCGCTCTTCCCTGCTGCCCTTTGCGGGTTCATGCATATACTGCCACCTCGCTGTGAGCGGCAGACTCATCAGAATACTCTCCACCCGCGCACCAGGTGTATTCAAACCAAAGGCTGTCCCACGATCGTGCACGAGGTTGAACTCTACATATCGTCCTCTGCGGATCTGCTGCCACTGCTTCATCTCGTCTGTGTAGGGCATGTCTTTCCGCCTGTTGATGATGGGTATGTACGAAGGTAGGAAGGCAGACAAGCAGTCCTGGACGAACGAGAAGAGCTGCTCCTGGTCCTTCTCTGTCTCGTCTAGGTCGTCGAAGAAGATACCGCCTACACCTCGTGTCTCGCCTCGGTGCTTGTTGCTGAAGTATTCATCGCACCACTTCTTGAACCGCGGGTAGTATGCCTTATCGTGCTTATCGCATGCTTGCTTGATAGCGCCGTGGAAGTGTATCGCGTCTTCGTCGTAAAGGTAGGAGGGTGTGAGGTCACAGCCACCGCCATACCACCATGCATTCGTGTTTCCCGTCTCGTCAGCGGTTTCGAAGTAGCGGTAATTGAGATGTACAGTTGGTGCGTTGGGGTTGTGCGGGTGGAGGACCATGGACAGGCCTGCGGCGAAGAACTCGAGGGAATCGACGTTTGGGTCAAGAGCTTTGTGGTTGACGCGCATCTTCTGTATGGCTGCTTTTGGCAGACGACCGTATACGACTGACGTATTGACGCCTCCCTTCTCGAACACCTTGCCATCCTGCAGGATGCAGGTAATACCACCACCGCCTTCTGGACGCTGCCATGTGTCGATCTTGAATCTGGTACCATCCACCTTTTCCAATTCAGCTACAATCACCTTCTGGTGTTGCTTTATGAACTGCTCCATTCGGAGGCGCATGGGCGATTGTTCGGAGACACCATTCTCGCGTTTGAGTAGGGCATCCTTCTCGGCGATGGAAGGTGCTTCGGTCTTGATCGTGTCGTCCGTCCACTGTGACATGGTCAAAAAGGTTTGTAATGCAAGAATACGACTAGTCTCTGTGTACCATAGAATAGATCAAGGCCCCGATGAAGGGTACAAATAGCAACCGTATCCTGTTCGGCCATTTGCTCGGTGGAGGATTACGCCATTCTTCCAGAGGGTCCGGCTTCTCCGGTTTCTTTCCTGAAGGCAGGTCTAACCGGCGACTTGGAGAAGAATGTAATTGCCTATTGCGGATAGGATTTGAGCGCAGTACTCGTTGCGGCGCATAGTTGTGGGGAAGCTCGAGAGCTCTTGAAATGCGGAACGAAGATCGGAATGGACGCATGGCGGGTAGGCGGGGTATGTATGAGAGGTTCACCATGCAAGGACTATGGGAGGAGTGTTGAAGTTGCGAATTGATTTATATTGAGTCTGTGAGAGAAGCTAGACGTGTAGAAAGTTGTCGTGCATCACACCACGGTGGGCGCATCATCAGTGGAGCTCCTCGGTGCTTAGCGGTATCGGTACCTGCATCATGCAAATACGGCAAACTTGCCCATTATCGACCACGACAGCGAGGAAATGCTGGAAGCTCTTGCAAATACTCCCAAATGAACTGTTCACGCCTTTCGTTGAGTTGGAATATGAGAGGCGATTGTCTGTAAGCCTGCAGTGTACGGTAGTGACGTTTCGCTTGCAGATACCGCCTGGAGGATTTGGTAACTGCTACCACTGTATCTTGAACAGAGTCCTACAGTCCATGGGTTGCAATCGTTCGCGTCTTGATACGTTCAGAGGCGTCCAAGGAGACAGCCACGTCGCCATGAGCGGCAAGGTGCTCGTGGGACGCGCTACTATGCAGCGAACGCGCTGTCAAACGCGTCGTGTCGTAACTCCGAACGAGGGAATAGTGCAGCTTACTTCAAGCTCAAGATGGCGTCACGGCGCATATATGCAGTGGCAGTGCCCCGAGTCGCTAGATGACTCAAGACTGGAATACACTCGGGTATCCCAGGTCATGGGAGCTGAGCAAGTGACATGGACGGCGCGAAGCGGTCAGCACAGCCATACAAAAGAGTCAGGTCGCCCTTCACGCAAGAGAAGGGCTGTACTAGCATGACGAAAGAGGGTTGATTGCACTGTCTCAAGGTAAAGTCGCACCTGCCTGGCGCGTGAAGCGTTGGCTGTCAGTTGCATGGTTCACTGACTTTGAGCGTTGGTACCAAGGAGGTTATGTAAGGCTGGGAGTGATTCGCCCCGCTCTGCTGCCTGCCCTTAAACTCCCACACCGCCCGCACCCTCACCGTCCTACATCTCCACCCACACAACTGATAATACTCTCGCCTGCTCACTCTACACACTTAGATACAACTACACAGCACCCTCATCAACACCCAAGATGCGTTCCAAGTTCAAGGACGAGCACCCGTTCGAGAAGCGCAAGGCCGAGGCGGAGCGCATTCGCCAGAAGTACAACGACCGCATTCCCGTACGTTTGCCTCTTGCCTCATCATCTGCCTCGCCATGCGCAACAACTAACAACGCGTAGGTTATCTGCGAGAAGGTGGAGAAGTCGGACATTGCGACCATCGACAAGAAGAAGTACCTAGTACCTGCCGACCTGACCGTCGGCCAGTTCGTCTACGTGATCCGCAAGCGGATTAAGCTGTCGCCTGAGAAGGCCATCTTCATCTTCGTCGACGAGGTCCTGCCGCCTACTGCTGCTCTCATGAGCTCGATATATGAGGAGCACAAGGATGAGGATGGCTTCCTGTACATCACGTACGTAGCTCCTCCACAGCGCAACGCGGACCAACTGCTGACAAACTTATAGGTACTCGGGAGAGAACACGTTCGGCGAGGCCATCTAGGGAGCCCGCTCCATCCCGCATCCCCTTATCTATCGGTTATCAAGGCCGCGGCGAACTCACGGGCGTTATCGGATCACGGGTTTCTTTATTATTTCATGGCAACACTACATCGGCTGGGTGATTGATGGGTATTCTTGATGGGCGATTTGGTGCCATGGCAGACTCGTCATTACTCAGCGCGAGGCAATTACTATCTGAGAATGAGGCGGATCAAGCACTAGGCAGCTACAATGCACATTCGCTGGAGATCCAGCTCCACGGAGAGCAAAGGTGGCGGTCGGGCAAATTGGCTTCTTCCTTTGCGCTGTACCTGTAGTTTGATCATCACATATTAGCCCAAATGCACCGGACTTAATCCAACATCAACAGCTTCACATGACCCCATCTGTGACGTCTCGCCTGTACCGCGTGAAGCGCTATCCGTACCTGACGAGGAAGCGTGACTTGCGGCTCCTCCGGCCTGAAACCCATGACGCCATCACCCGCCTCACAGGACATCTGAACAACCTCGAGAGCACGGTCACTACATTCAAGTCTTGATACATGGAAAACATACATAGCAACGTGGAACGCACTAGCAGCTTCTAAAGTATCCTTCCATGCTTTCAGTAAGCGCTTCTCGAAGCGTGCTTGCTGGAGTAGTCCATATGCCGCAGCCGGAACGTGGGGAAGCTCCAAGCCGGCGGTAGGCACGGACCACAGCAAATGCAGGTGCAGTGGATCGTCAACGGACGCGATCTGGTAGAAGTTTATCGAGACTTCAACACGCAATCAATCCTTGCAGAAACTAGCACCTGCACAGAGCTCCCATAACTACTCAAATCTCCCTAACGAACGAACAACCTCCGCTCCATCTCAGGCAATCGACCGCATTGCTTCTAAGAGCACATTCGCGAACCCCACATCATGGCGATCCAATACATAATATCAAAGTGAGTGTTGAATATCCATCAAACTCACACCCAGAAGCTGACTGTCTGCGCAGACGTCTCGATCCTCTTTTCGCCATATCCATCGGTCTTGCTGCGGCTTTTACACGGATAAATCGCGAAGAAAAAGAGAAAGGGAGGTCGACACAGGAGAGCATAGATGTGCTGAAGAGGAGGTGGAGTCTGGCATGGCAGGGGAACGAGGCGGAGAAGAAGGCTTGATGTCGATGACATGAAATGCAAGACAAAAGGAGGGACAATAAGACCATACGGACATGGCCTACAAAATGTACAAAATCGCACGTAGAGCACGGCGACAGCGACACCAAGAACGAGCAATATGATACCCAGTCACGAACAGACTACAAAAGAGGGAAGCATAGTACAACGAAGGATAGCAGAATGCACAAAGTCGTCAAGACTTCTACTTTCCGCTTTCTACCAAGCGTACTAGGGATCGTCAACTGCTGCTTGATCACATCCATAGTCTGAATAAGCTCAAGAACGATCCTATAACCCTCGTTCCACCGAACCTTCTAAGCTGCGAAACAAGATGATAGTGACAACGGCGAAGAAGAATCACCGCAGAGGGATAGTCCATGTCTCAATAACGCTGGTTGGTTCGGACGTATGGTAGGTAGGTGAAAGCACGTCTACGTGTTTCAGACAGTCAGTGTCCTGAAATGCAATTCATGTGTTCTAGTTAAGATTTGCAAGACTCCTAGATCATAATATGGTATCCCGATTCCCCGAGTGGGGACTGGGTCTTGATTGGCCTGATAGTCTTGCCCAGCAGAGTCTGACGAATAGGAAGCCATGGCGGAGTTGGGAATACCACGGTAACGGCATGTTTGCTACATACCAATGACTGGTTGCGTATGGTGCTACGAGTCATGGTAGAGTCTATGGTCGTAAGCACCTGACCTTGGAATGTTACACCGCGTCACCGGCTAGATGACAACCATCGTTCTTTAGACTTCACCGCCACTTGAATACGGCAAGACGTCAGAAGATCCTTACATCCACCAGATAAGATATCCTTCTAGGTGCCGAAGTTCGTCCACGTGTAACTACATATCCTTCTATCAGTACAACCGACGGACATTCCCAACTGGAACGAGCATCATCCAACGACTTACCTCGAAATGGAGACTTTGGCCAACGACACGCATCCACAGTGGTGGAAAGATTCTGGTATGCGGAAACTCAATTTTCTGCTCCTCGCATGTTACATAGGGGCCATGGCCAACGGCTACATCAGCTCTCTGATCTCAAATCTCATTGCCAACCCCAGATACTTCCACGATATACAGGGACTTTCCCATCCTAAGTTACTCGGATTGGTTACAGCTGCTCAATCTATGGGATGCATTGCTGCTTTCTTTCCAGCACCCTGGCTATCGGACAAGTACGGCCGTCGCGTGGGAATCATCGTTGGTAACATTGGAATGATAGCCGGCTTTACGGGGCAAATATTCTGCACAAGATTTGATCAATTCCTTGGAATGCGTATACTCGTTGGCTTTTCGAGCATCTCCAACACGATTTCGTCCTCGGCTCTACTCGTCGAACTGGCGCATCCACGTCAAAGAGCTATTGCAGGTGCGCTCTTCAACACATGCTACTTCATTGGTTCGATTACTGCGGCTTGGGCATCCTACGGGGCTCTGAGAATACGGGGTTCATGGTCATGGAAGTTACCGGTTGCTATCCAGCTGTTCTGGTCACTAGCGCAGCTGAGTTTGATCATGTTCTGCCCCGAGTCACCTAGATGGCTTGTTCGGCATGGGGAACAAGAGAAGGCCAAATCTATCATGGTACGGTATCATGCTAATGGTCTTGATGGAGATGAGCTAGTGTGTTCGGAGTTCGCAAGGATGTGTGCATCGACTGCGGTTGAGGCTCAGAACAACACGACTGGCTGGCTTGCTTTGCTTGCGACACCAGGCAACCGCAAACGTCTCATTCTGTCCGTGGTTATAGCCGTAGCCACACAGTGGGTTGGAAACGGAATCATCAGGTGAGTGTCAACGCATGTACCAAAGGAAAAGCTGCTCACAATATCATAGCTTCTACTTAGCGCCGGTACTGCGAACGGTCGGAATCACCAACTCCCTCCACCAACAAGGCATCAACGGCGGACTCCAGATCTACGTCTGGCTCTTAGCTTGTGGTGCCGCACTTTTATGCGAGAAGGCTGGTCGACGGCGCCTCTTCCTGACATCCACTGGCTTGATGTTAGTCTTCATGGTGCTCATAACGATCTGCTCGGCTCTATACTCAGCTACCGGCTCCACATCTGCAGGCTACGCAGTCATCGTGTTCCTCTTCCTCTTCTTCGGCGGCTATGTCATTGGTCTGACACCCATACCCATCCTCTACGTCAATGAAATCTGGCCGAGCCATCTTCGAACCAAAGGCACAAGTGTATTTTGGGTATCACAAGCAGTATCTATTACCTTCAACCAGTTTGTGAATCCGGTGGCGATTGACAAGATTGCTTGGAAGTACTATTTGGTCTACATTGGTGTTCTGATCGCTGTTATCAACTTCATATTCTTTTACGTGCCGGAGACGAAGGGCCTGTCTTTGGAGCAGATTAGTGGTATATTCGATCCTGTACAGGAAGTCACTGTCGAACTACAAGATGTAAGACGAAAGGACAGGGCGTAAGGAGTACTATGCGTGGACATTATTTTTTCCAGTTTAGAAAAGTATCGCGCGGCAAGCATAGACGACAAACTTTAGCAAGTCAGGCAAGGCGAGAGAAAAAAATGAAATCATTATGCAATCACAACAACGCTACAACTACAACTGCATACTAAAAAGCAGACGACAAGCAATATAGGAACTCTCTCTGAACCGTATTCAGACGAGTGATGTGTACCCCCTTCTCACGACTGGTCTTTCCCATGAAACCATTTTTGTCGTCTATTTATGCCTTTTCTCCAGATTTACCAGAGCTACGTCTCCTGGCTCCCGCCCCGTCTAGAACAATCTGATCTCTTATAATCTGATCCGCCGTCTTCAGCTTTTTAACTAAGTCGACAGGATTCTTCGTAGGCGCAATTCTCTCATAGTAGAGAGCAATAGCATCGAAGTCGCCTTCCATGGGATTCCCCGTAATGGCGTTCGGCCGAGCGGCAGTCGGAGTCAGACTGGTGATAGCCGCGTCGTTGCAGAAAAATTGTGGTCGCGTTCGGCGACCTTGGAGCGTCGGACCGGTAACAGCTGCTGTGTAGTGACCCGAGGTGAGCTCTTGCCCCCGATGATATGTAGCAGAAACAAGCTTATAGTGTACTGGGTCAGGATTCTCGATTGCTTCTGGATAGTTCATATGTTGTGTTATATCAAGAATATCGGGTATCTCGATGTGTCTGGTATTTTTGGTCACACTCGTGTCCGATGCATGGTTGCCGTTCTCGTCCTTGCCGTAACTTTTGACGACGGTGTAAGGGCTGAGGTAAATACGGAGATATTCCGGTGCAGCTACAATTGAACACCTGGTGTCTAGATTCACCTTTGCCTTCTTGCACATCTTACACTTATGTTCACGTGATTCGTTCAGGGATCGTGTAATAGCATCTTGGACCGTGTCATTGTCGGCGTCAGCCTTTGGGTAAACGATGAGTCCTTGCGCTAGTTCCTCGACTTTATCAACCAGATTGTCGTGACATTGGCCGCAGGTGTGGACTTCTCGCTGTCTGACGGAGAAGAGCGAGTCATATTCATGTCCACGTGCTGCTCCTTGAGGGGTACTATCAATGGTTAGCTTAGAAATTGTATGTGACATTAGATTTCGGTTGAGATTGAACTTACGAACGATCATAGCTAGACTCAATACCGGCGAAAATATGTCTTGCGAACTCGTCTGCATCTTGTTGGTCTGTCATGTTCTCTCTTCTTGCTGTACGAGTTGTTCTGTCTTGTGTTTCCAAATGCCCTGGAGGACTGACACAGAACCAGCGTTCAGTCAGTTTATGTAACGGAAATATGGCATCGTGCTGGTGTGGAAAAGGCTGAGGTGTAAAATGTGGTTGGCCCCCTATATCGATGTTGCCCCAATAGGCTGTCACCAATCTCTTTAGAAGACATGGAACGCATCCCCTATATAAATCATCATCTCCTTCACTCTCACTTTTAGCGTTCTTCCTTTCAGCCTTCCGAATCTCGTCTTGAAGAATGTCTTGTGTCAAGAGTTCTGATGGGAATCCAAGATTTGGGTCATCTCTCCGACAAGGCCAGTGTGTCCCTCGGGGGTTGTGCTTCTTAATCCAATTGACAAATCGAGGAAGGTGGAGTAGAGGCTGCAGGACGCCATGGCGGTAGCAGGTGTTTCTCGGATTAACCAGGCCTCTAGGATGCTTACTTCGGCGTGCTATCTTCCATTTCTTGCTTATGCCATTCACTGTCCTTCGACGTTGAGCTTGTTCGGGGCCTTCTCGAGGCATTATAGCAGTTTAGTGTGATGATGTGTCTTTTGATGAGATACTGTGGACGTATGTAGTAGACAAGCGCAGTAAGGGAATTGATTGAAGAAATCGTAGAGTAGGCCGTCCTCTATTTATAAAAAAGAAAAATACTTGCCATACCTCTCAAGACGACAGTCTTTGTTGTACTGTCCTTCTCGGCTTCCTGAGCATGAGTTTTGAATGAACAAACAATAGAAAGTGAAAGTGAAAGACAATGAGCTCCCTGCGCATTGTTCCCCTGAACAAACGATGCAATGTGAAAGTGAAGATAATGAGCCGCTTGCACATTGTTCTCTTCGCGCGGAGATGGGCGTAGACTGAGGCCGTGTTCCGATAGCTCAGGTAATGCGAGCTTCGTCGTTACGACAGGAACCCGGTTTGCCAAGGAGAAGTCGACCCTAGGCACACACTCGCACAAGACGTGGGTCGATGCCTCCAGAGATGAAGACACCAAACCCGGCATTTCCAATAGAGGACAGTAACAATGGGACAGATTAGTGTATCCGTCAGTCATGGAAGCTCTCGGTGCACAAGGTCGCAAGTATGGAAAAATTGCGATCGTTCTGTAGCTATTCCCGTGAATGACAAGCGCAAAGAACTAAACCTCCTTGCCCTTGCCCTCACTGCCTTTACCGTCTTCCCCGTATTTCTTTTTCATCTCCTCCTCCTTTCTCTCCCTCACCTCCCTCTCATTGTCGAATATCTTCTGCACATCCTTCATCTTAGCCTTTCTCTCGTGCTCATTCAAGCCACTCTCCTGCCATTTACGATGAAGATTAGACGCTACCACAAAGTCATTATAATTTAATTTCAACACGATATCGCTGGCGGTAGGACTGGGTGTACTATCGTGACTCACTGTGACGAGGTCGTCTTCTGGATTATCAGAAGTGGTGACCTTCTTCTGCCTGTTTGGGGTTTCAGGCTTAGAAGATTCGCCTGTCTCGAATTCGGTTTCCACGTCTTTGTGTGGTGCGTCGGTGGGGTCTTCTTCGAAGTACGCGTGGTTGTGGAGGTTTTTTGGGGGCATGTTAGAAGAACGGCACGAGCATGGGGATGTCCCATGTTGCCTGCGGAGAGCACATTATAAGCATGGCTGTGATTGCTATGCATCGTGAAAAAGACATCACATGCGGGTGAGTCTCATCACGCCTGACACGAGTACAGCAAACGCCCCTTAAACTTAACACGAATCATCCTTAAGCGCGACGTACCGCCTTTCTCACACCAGTGTAATCATAACAGCAGTTCATTTGGTCTTTAAACCAATCTCAGCCTAGTGATGCTGCTGGTCGTCCTCGGCTTGTAACTCAGCCCGCATAGCATCTGTCCTTTTCGACGAGAAGAGATGCACACTCTTGAGATTACCGAGATGGAACAGATCCAAATCTTCACCTTTCCACCACGTATGATTCCAAGGTCCCCAGAGCATAACGGGCTTCAGTCTCGAATATGATACGGTCCGTTGGCCGGCGTGGAGACTGAAATGTGTTGAATCTTGCTGATGGCTTCCAGACCCAAGAGACGTATCAGCGCTCGTAGGTGATAGTGCTCTGGAGTTTCAGTCTCTGTGGCCCATACTTTGTGTTGCTGAAGGTTGAGGAATCTCCTAGGAATATGGATCGGATCTCCGCTACATTTGATACATATGCTCAACTGTGGATGCGTTGGTGTTCTCTCGCATCCACGGTATCGCGCAAGTACGATGGTTAGCCGTCCTCTCATCCAATCGTCACCATCACGAGCAACTACTCGAAGCCTATAACTTGCCATACTTCTCAGTGTATTCTGGTTTTCCCTAATATTTATTCAGTTGTTTCTTCATTTATCGTCCCCTTACGACCAGAGAAACATTGATCGGACTTCATAGCATCATGACGGCATCACCAAGGTCCGCCCATACTTTGTGGATATCCTCCTCCACCCCTTCCGCCATGTTCAAATCCACGATGCGACGGTAAAACCGCACTTTGCCCGCCTCCAAAATTACCGTTACCATACTGTTGACCATGAGCCTGTCCGTAACCACCAGTATACATACCATGCGTCAGCACCTGACCAGGCACCTGCTGAGCATACGCTGCACCTTGAATGGGACTCGGCATAGGCCCTTGTGGTAGTCCACCCCCATAACCCTGTTGCGGCATCTGCTGCTGCTCGGTCCCAGCATACGTCGGATGCGATCCCCTAGTCTGCTGCGTGCCCTGACCAAATCCATACATACAATGCGGTTCCGGCATCGCCGTTACCGCAGCCGCGTTGCTTGTAATAACCTTTCCTCCGTCTTTGGGTAGGCTTAGCGCGAACCCCCAAGTCCCTTCTTTCAACTTCCCTTTGACGAATCCAACCTTCTTCGCCACACCCTTGGGCATCTTGCTGTCGTCGCAACCCTCAATCGCCCATTCACATGCCTTGGCGACTGCACTCCACATCCCCCTTTCCGTGTCGCCAAGCACCGGGTTGCCTTTCTCCTGTCTTACGCGCTCCAACACGGCCATCATGAGTCCTTGGACGCGATTCGTGACTTTCTCAAGATCTTGAGAAGACTGTGGAATAATGATGTGGAAAGTCGCAGGGCTGCTGGGTCGGATCTGAGATTTGGCGAAACCGATATTGACAGGTGCCGCGGTATAATAATCCTGTGCGGAGGCAGATGCAGGGCCAACTGCTAGTCGTGCAAATGCTGGTACCCCAGCATCATGAGCTAGAAGAGCAAAAGGGCTATCAGCCAACTGAACAGCATGATGAATCGCTTCATCTTTGCCAGCTGCTCTGCATTTGCTCTTCTTGTAGCTTTCTTTGCTAACACATATCCTCGCCCAGTGTCTCGCTTTACTCGCGTCAAGATGCTTCTGCACCATCTTGACTGCATCGCTACCGTATCGGCCTTCACTTGCAGCTCGTAGTCTGAAAGCAAAGGTAATAAGCTCATCTTGCGCTTTATGGAGGTGAGATCGTAATACCGAGGAAGGGAGGTAAGTATTGATGTAGTAACCGTAGTAGTATATATACGTACCAAGATACTCAAAGTTGAGTAGCTGACTAGGTGCATCGAGGAAGACAACGGGTATGTCTAGTTTCTTCGCATATTGCTCCAGGCGCTCGAGATCGGGTAGTTTATTCGCTCTTCCAGAGACTGAAGGAGCGATGCTTTCTGAGAGGTTGAGCGATCCGGTAATGGTGATAGCAGACAAGGCAGATCGTAATGGGGATGTTGTCGCGTTGATCCACTGGAGCAAGAAGTGCAGCACAGCACCATGATGCCAAACAATCTTCTTCAACCCACCCATTTTTAATACTCGCTCGACAGCCGTGTTTACTCTCTTCACTGTCTTCTCAAGCGCTTCTTGCTGTCCCGTCAAAACACTGTTATCCCATCCCCTCACTATTACAATCTTGCTAAATACTGCCACCGTGCCCTCAAGGTGTTTCTTACCCTCAGTCTCAGTCAGATACTCGACCAACTGACAGATCCGACCAAAGCTATTCCGGTTTCTACTTTCTTCAGCAATGATCAGCATACTGCCACCATTCTCGTTCACGCCCTTGTGCTTGCGCACACCGAGGTCGCACAGCTTAGCAATAACGGAAGTGAGTTGAAGAAGGCCATCAATATCGGAGTCGGATTCCCAAATGTGCAGAACACTTGGGTCGCAGACCTTCTCGAGAGTGCTCTTGGATGCCGCGGCAAAAGAGGATTTGTACTGATCTGGCATTGACTGCACCGACTTCTTGAACGCGTCAAGGTCGCTGGACCAGGGGCCGTTGAAGGACGTCATCTTGCGATGACAGTGCTTGCGCCGATGGTGAAAGTTCGACCGAGATCTGTGACGATGAGCAGAGGTGGCGGAGCTGTTGAGAGCTTGTGTAGAATGCGAATTGTCGTGCGGATGGGTTGGACAGTAGCGATCAATGAAGCGGCTGATGTAGTGCATTGAAGGTCTGTTGTTGCTGTATTTGTCTTCTTGAAGGTTAAAGAGGTGGCAGATCGTAGTTTGTTCATATCGCGTGGATGCAGCGTTGGTAATCGTGGATGTGAAGCAGTCGAACTCTGTGTGAAGTAGAATAATTTTGCAAACTGGACATGTGAGCACAAGGACTAAATTCAATCATTAATTGTATGAGAAAACAAAAATAGCAGCGAGGATAGTGAAGGATATGTTACCAGCGTGGCTAATGGTCAAGCAGTAGAAAATGTATTTATTGTATTTAGCCAAGGTGTGAAGTGAGGAGCGATGTGAAAGATGGACGTGAAGATGCGATACCACCGATCGCAATTGTACCTAACCTGGCCAACACCTCATTGAGTGTAAGCAACCCTGAATAACTCGCCAAAGTATCCTACCAGACCATAACGCCGTTCTGTAATTCACAAGAGTATCCGGGTCGGCTTTACTTGCCAACACCACCGCCATGCTCTAAGATGGTCTGCTTATCGAGCTTCTCCACTTTCCTGCTCAGTAGTGCACGTAGCTCAGGGCTGATGACCCTCGCCTCCTCCCGCTCCTCTTCACCGACCTGCTTGCCTTTGTCTATACCCGAGGTTGCTGCTTGATCTTTCGGTTTCGATGCACTTGCAGCCGTATTGGGTCCCGGACCGGCCACGACTGCAGCAGCTAGCTTGCGTTGTCGCGCTTGTGGGGCAGAAGGGAAGTTGCCCTTCTTGTCAATCGTCTCTACCGTTCGCTGAAATCTCTTGAAGAGTGACTCTGCGCGAACGAGCGTTGATTCAAGATCCATAGTACCAGAAAGCTCATTGACTGCAGTGGTGTTAGTTTTGTTCACTACCAATGAAGACCGTTCCGATTATGCCACTTACCATACTTCAGCACCTCGTCGAAGTGCTTCAGATGTGCCATGATAACATCTCGGTGCTTCTCTAGGATAGCTAGTGCGATAAAGATGTGGAAATTGCTGCTCTGATAGTCGGTCCAGAGCGACTCCCACAAACGTAATACATCTGCCCATTCAAACTCACGCTTGTACCAAACAAGCAGCATACGGAAGAAGAAAAAGAAGTTGGTTGACTCGGCAGACTGAAGGTGAAGATATAGCTTGGGGTCCATGAGCTGTACGAGATGGTCGAGGGTCATGAGCTGCTTGCGCATACCTGACTGGTCCCGTAGGAAATTGCGCTCCTGTATACACGTCAAATGCTGTACCTAGCTTCAATATCCGACGACTTTGGAACATACCATGCGCTCCATAAATCCAACAAAGCCCCAGAATGCGACGGCATCGTCCTGCATGACTGCGTAGATGGGTGCAAGTAGATCGCTCATACCCTGAACGTAGCCAAGGTCCTTGTTGTACTCGTTGTATGTGAGGAGCATGTCCTTCATCTGCTCCAGGTGAACGTTAGTGCCCACGTCCGCGAAAGGCGAGTCAGGATCGGGATGGGGAATATCCTCGCCGGCGAAAATGGGGATATTGCGATCTGTGCGATGTACATCCTTTTCTACACAACGGACCCCATAGAATGGGACAAGTCAGCCAACTTCCAAGCAAGGGCGTAACGCGCAATGGCACATACCTATCCTGTTCTTCTGTTCTCTCCACCACTCTTCTTGCTCTTCATTCTGGTTTCCCTCAACCATTCGCTCCCACCAAGCGCCCTTGAGTCGAATGTACTCATCTCGCCGGCTGTTGATGTTCGCACGTCGCTCTTCCTCTGAGCTATCCCATTCGTAAACTCCGAGAAGGAACAGCCATGCCTCCTTTCTTACACCGTCGTCAGCATCTAACCCTCCGTGGAAGATTCGGTCTTTGACCTCGTCTGGTGTCAGTTGCAACCGTCCCTTGGGGTCGAAGAAGCCTTTCCACTCGGTCAAAGTGACTGGTTTCCTTCGGTCGGCCATGGTCATCTTGTCCATATCGAGAATCTCGAAGTCGCCGACATCGCTTTCTTCCATAGCCAGGACATCTTTCGCTGTCCAGATTCGCTGGTTGCGCTCCCGCTCGCTTTGCTCCGCAATGCCCATAGCCCACCTCGCGAGATACAACCGTGCGCTATCGAACTCTTCTTGTAATGTCTGTACCTCGGGGTTCTGGATCAGGCGCCTAACCTGAGGCGGAATCTTGGGGTTATCTGCCACGGCCTGAGCAGTCCTTCGCGTGAAGGTTGTGACCTGGCTGAGCTTCTCGAGGAAGTTCCATCTGGCCTCCTTGAGCGCCTTTGTGACCGGATCCATCCCACCGTCCCGCTTACCAGACTGCTGTGAGGATGATGCGTCTGCTTTGCCTTCAGTGCTCTTCCTTGGTGCAACGTCTTTGCCGAACGATTTCTTGTCGTCTTCCGAAGGGTCGATAAGATATATGCTTGGATCAGCTCCTGACCGTTCAACTGTAACATATCTCTTGAGCCATCTCAGTACCTCGTCGCCACCCCAAAACATGCCCCCTCCGTCGCCGAACGGATCAAAGCTTTCCTTGGCCAACTTTTTCCGCTGCATGATGGTAGACTGACACTCGCTATCATGGAAGAAAAGTGCAGGGAAACTGTCTCCGGCTCGAGTATTGATGACGACGCTTCCAAACCACCAGCCGATGCTCGGTGGCCGTATAAGAACCGAGTATATCTCGCTGACAGGCAATGCGAATGTATAGCCGGGAGTCCCGGCGTGTGAGGATGGTGTAGGAGGCGGAGGCACGAGGTATGACTGTCTTGGTGGTGACGAGGAGTCTGATAGGTCGACCTTGACGTATGTATCGTATGCATCGCCGAGGTTTGACTCTGGGATCCAGGCGAGGAGCAGCGATGACGCGTTCACGCTTCGAGCGGAGGAGGATGAGGCTGGACGCGCATCGTTGGCAGTTCGATTCGACTTCTGCTGAACCAAAGCGACGAAGCCTGGGATGTTGTCCTTTGAGGAAGGCGAAGGGTGTACGTATACCTGCACATGTTAGGTTGATTGCATGGTGTCGCATTCAAAGAGGTTGTACATACTTTGCTCTTTGTGTATAGTAGTTTCACTCCCTTCCCACTGCTTGTATGTCGGATCGTGTTGTATTCGCCCTCTTCATCGTCGCTCAAGTCGTAGAAGCTGGCCGACGGCGATGGCGGCGCTGGGGTCGAGGAAGACATGCGGGGCTGCGCGGCGTCCCGGAGACGCGATGTTGAGGGTTGGTTGTGAATTCGAAGTAAGATAGTCAGATACCGTATGCAGAGGATTCTATGAGTGATACAGGTGTAGGGCAACAAGACGCGCGCAACAGTTTGGCGCTATGCAGTTCAGGTGATGCTTGCGACCTACTTGTGGTCGTCGGATGATGACGCTGTGGCGGTGCAGCGCGCCACGCGGGGAACGCGTCGCCCCTCTATCGAATCAAGTAATGTGCTCTAGCTGCGACATGTGCGCAAAGCAACTCTGAACGTAAGGTTGGTTTTTGAAGCAGCTACGAGCTGAATGTATTGATATTAAAGACTCGTCTATGCTGTGACCGGCGCTATGCTGTCCAAGTCTACAAAACCCACGTTGCCTACTCAATGACGACCAAGATACAACTCCGTTACGCCGTGCTGAATTGCAATAAGAACATGCTCAACGCATGCGCGGTCCGCTTGGCAGACCCATACGGCCACCTTGCGGCCCGCGTTGTGGTGGAGGTGCGCCGCCGCCATATCCTCCACTCTGAGGCGCATATGGGTCGTCGTTCCCGCTCCAAGGGGAGTTCGACGACATGCCGAAAGAGCCCTGCTGCCGTCCACCACCACTACCAGTGCTTCCATAGCTATGGCTTCGGTCGTCAGGATAGGGCGGTCGTCCACCTTGCGATAGCGAGTGCGAGTTGGCCGATTCTGAAGATAGGCCACGTGGTGCTGGGCTCTGTGACCGTCCCCACAACCTGGCCTTGAGCCTTTCCTGTGCTGATGTGCCTGATCCTGCACCAGCGCTCGGTGGTGGTGAAGCTTCGGCCTGTGGGCGCCCTCCCACAGAGCTCTGGTAGCTCCCAGCTCTTTGGCTAGGTAATGGTCTCCCTTGTATTTGAGGCTCTGGTGTCAACGAATTGCCCATAGGTCGACCTTGCATCGGGCGTGCTCCTCCACCCCGTCCTCCTGCCCCTCGCCGAAGTGACTGGGGCTCTTGCGGTGGTTGTTGTGGCGCAGGGTTGTCCCATAGATCACTCAATCCTCCTCCTCTGCCCGCTGGTTGTGCTTGCGCTTGCTGTCGCGAAGACGCGAACTGGGAAGACGCAAACTGAGCGGGCGCAGGCTGCGGCGCCTTTGGGTCAGGTGGAAGCCATTGTGGGAACGGTCTTCCTTTCTCCGTGTAATATGCGCGAAGGACTCTTGAAAGATGCGAGTCGTCTTCTGTGTCGCCGTCTGCTTCGTCGGATAGGATCTGTCGTCGAAGGTTGTTGTAGCGCGAAGTCGTATTCGTGAGGAGATTATTTAGATAGGACGACATGACTGTGTGAGCGTACCGATCGTGTATTTTGGCGGTCGGTGCAAGTTTCCAAAGCCTTTATGCAGGCGTATGGGTGTTGGTGATTAGTGGTGGTGCGAGGCAATCGGGTCGCGATCGGGTCACCGTTTCCAATTTACTCGGCGTTTGGGAGCGAGGACCCTGGAGTCACCAACCACCCGCACCCTCGAACGTTTCTTCACCACAATCCATACCCACTGTCCCACTAACGTGATGCATCACTTCATGTTCATATGCGCAATAATTCTCAAGCTCACGGACTCATCTACCAGAAGCTTCTCATTCGCACATGAAGCGCTTACAAGCCCTGTTTCAACATGGGAAATTATGCATCTTGCCCGACCGCTTCATGTAAAGCAAGACAATCGAGCATGTTCCTAAACCTTGAAACATCTTGAAACCGAGTTTTTAGCTAGTGATGAAATATGGGTTAAAGGGAGTGTTTTTTGGTGATCTGCATGTAGCTTCAGAGCTGCCCTACAAGCAACAATAACACCCTGCACTGAGGTTGCCGTAGTCTGTTCACCTCTAGCAACCTAAAACATAGCACGAATGGAGGGGCCGTATTTGACAACGCCTGCGGCAGATCTCCACTGCATGAACATGTATGTGCATGTCCCCACAAGCTAGTGCTTGGAAACGACCGGCTGAAGGGCTGAAGGGCGTACTTCAACTTCTATATCATATGTTTTTCGACGACATCGCTGCTTTCGACATACGAACAGCTCCAACCTCCAAAAAGAAATCCGCCCCCCCCCTTGAGGAAATATGTCACGAGCAGAAAAGATGGAGGCCCGGGAGCGCGAGATTGTCGAAGCCATCGCCAACGTTCAAGACGAAGCTACCCAGATCGACATCCTCATGAAGAAGCGAAGATGCTTCGGACCCGCCCTGGACGGAGAGAGCAAATTCTATCCAATCGTGCAAGACTATGTGAACAGCGATGTCAAGTCAGAAGACGCTGCAAAGAAACTCCTCACACCCATCAACGACGCTATTCTGCAGAACAGAAAGAACCTAAACTTGCTCGACCTCTGGTACTCGATAATCCACTCAGCAAAACGACTCCCTTTCCGGGATACTACCGGCCTCAATAAACTCGTCACCCTCATCAAGGCAATAAAATCTAGCTTTCCGCCCCCAACAGCCAAAGACCAAGACATCTACACGTGCCTACGCGACTTCGGCATGGCTGCCCGCGAGACTATGAATGATTCTCCAGGTTGCGGCTCCGGCTACCTGCTCCCAGAAGTACACGCCTACACTAACATGATCTACTTCTACGCTCTCCTGACGGTTGAGGAAGTCAGGAACTTTTGGATCTATTGCATCTGGGAAATGCGCAGCGCACTCGAGACTCCACACGAAGACGACGCGCCAGATGGGTCTCACCACAGCGGAACGGCAATACAAAAGTACAATGCTACTATTCCTTCAGCCGCGGTGTGGATCTTTGCTGCGGGTAAGCAGATTTACGAAAGGGAGTACGATCTCACTCCGAAAAGTAAAACGGAGGGCAATCCAGGTAAAGGCGGACCGCTGTGGGAAGGGAAGCCAGAATTCAGTAAGCAGAGGTGGGCGCTCTGGAAGAAGAGGTTTGGAGAACTTGCTGACATGGAGGGCTTGACGGAAGAGGTCAAGGGCATTGCAAAAGAGGCTACTGAGGCTATGGATAGAATTGATGGTGGGGCAAAGTAGTTAGGGAGGGGAATTTGCGCTTGGTTTACATCTTGGTATGTAGCTATCAACTTCAGTAGCAGGATGTACTCAATCTCTATCATGGTCTGAATAACTACAATGGCCACTTACTTGCATTTCACTCTTTCGGCCCTTTCTTGTCTTAGCCCGCATGACCAGCATGCTGGCTAGCGAGCGGACGGTCCCGAAGACCACGTTGTGGCAAGCATCGGAGTTGTGTCCGTGGGAACGGGCGGGTCATGGCTTGTTGGCTAGCCCGAATTTCTCGAGTACCATGACAAAAGCATACAGGACAAGAGTCATGTATTGTGGTGCAGAGTAGAATTTCCTCTTTCTCCAGAGAACCGCTCACCCGCGCTAGATAGCTAAAGTCACTTCTCGCTTTCAAAGGTACTGTAATGTGCGTACTGCTCCTCCATATCCTCACCGCCGTCTACCGAATCTGGGTTCTCATCCGCAACAACCTCTGGTTCAACCATATAAACTACCTCCCTAACAGCAACGTCTCTGAAAGCTGCACCAACGGTGTCCAAACCCATAGTGCGCAGATCGAACTGCATGTCCTGGCTGCCAGACTGCAGAACCTCCATCTTAGGTTCAATGTCTTGAGGTTCCTGCCCATTCTCCTCATCACTGACAGAGTAATACCACTCGTCTCCACGATCAAAGGCGTAAAACTCAAGCCGGGGTCCATATAGGAGCATACCGTAACCGTTTTGAACCTTGCCACCTCGGCATAGCGCGTCAGTGAGAATGTCACTGCGGTGAACGGTGTTTTCCGTCGAGAAACGTGGGACTTCATCGAAGTTGTCGATCATAATGGCGAAGTAGGTGTGCGGGTGCTGTTCGCATATAACCACTCCAGTCTTCTCATTTCTTATTTCTGTCTCGCATGTGACCACAAAAACAGCGATGTCCTGAGGCGAGATATAGTCCCATTGCAGGTTGGCCATGTATGCAAACTCGTGGTTGTACTCTGCTACCTTGGCAACTTGCTCCTCCTTTTCGGCCCTCTCAAGCTCCTTTTTGGTCGGCGCTCGTCGCCGATTAGCCTTATTAGTGCTATTGGCCTTCTTCTTGCGCAGATCCTTCCAGATGTCCGACTTGTCGTTAGCAGCTAAGATAAAGTTTATCCCATTCTTTGCAATGAGTCCGGGGGAAGTCGGCACCACAGTGTAGCCTTGCGATGCAGGGTAATAGTGTGTGAGCAAGGCAAAAGCGAAGGCCTCGGCGTATTGCATACGCGTAGCGTTAGTTGCAGTCGACTGGGAGTCATATTGGCTGAGGTAGACTGCATGTAGCGCTCCGAGGCCGGGTATGTCGTTGACGGAAGTTTCCTTGGAGTTGGGGATCTCGAAATCGACTAAAGTTCGCCAGAACTCCGATGGATACTCAGCTTCCTCTTCTTACTGAATGTTCGTGGCATGCTCGTTCGGTTCTTCGAAAGCGCCATGGAACTGGTCTCCATTCGATTCGATATGGGCTGCTGTGCTATCAGGTGCCATCAGTCCTTGGTAGCCTGCACGATAGGCCTCAGACGGCATCATATCAGGCATGAACATCTCGTAGGCACTCGGGCCATGACCCTGAAAGTCGTAGTGCGGAGTTGAGCTCTTATGCATATGCTTGGGAGTGGATGGCGCGAACATGTTCTCGAGACTGGGATCCATCGGAACGTACTGCTTATTAAAGCCCGAAGTCATGTCGAAATCCGTATCCTCTCGATTGTAGTTGTGATCCATTTTGGCAGTCGACGTAAGCCGAAGAGGGTAAGCAGATAAAACCAAGGAGACTGAAGACGAAGTGGATATAGGCGACAAGTGGAGTAGTTTGCTAGCGCGAATCAGACAGAGGTAAAGGCAGACTCGTGGCAACGAGTGAAAAGGCGTCTATCACTCGCACCATCCAGATATGACAGCCATGCACTCGAGTGACCATTACTTGCGATCGGTGTGATATTGCGTCTGATGCATGTTTCGCTCGTGAGGCTGACGAAACAGCGATGATATTCCTGAAGCGCCTCATGTCGACTCATCACCAACAGGTTGGTTCTCCGTCGCGGTAGCTTCCACACCATCCATTCCGTCTGCGGCGCCTTCAGGAGCGCCATCCGATGCCTTCTTAGCTTGCTGCTTTGCCTTCTGCTTGAGCTTCTTTTCTCGATTCCTCCGTGTGTTCTTCTCGCGCTTGGCCTCTTCCTTCTCCCGTGCAAGACGTGCTGCTTCGCTCTCCTTGTCCTTTGCCTCCTGTAGCTTCTTCCTAATGGCTATGCGTGACTTCTTGCCCTTCCTTGTGCGCTTAGGTGCCTTATCCTCGACGGTGACTAGAATGGGAGGATGGCCAACCAGTACCTCCTTACTCATGCCAGCTGGTGATATCTTGCGCACCTTCCACGGCAGGGCGCAACCGGGCCATGGCTGCTGCGACAGCTCCAGGACGCTCCTCCCATCTATAGCCGCCGCTCTGAACTCTTGTTCCTCGTCGCTTGTGGGTTCGTCGGCGAAATAGTAGCTCCGTGGTTTCTTCAAGATCAGTCCTGGCTCTCCGCTATCGGCGTCTGGGGATGAAATTCGGATCCTATGGGATTGTGGAGCGGCATTTGCGGGCGCAGCGAAGAGTCGCAGCTCTGTCTCGTCTTCATCGCTTTGCGCGACATCATCGGCATCGTTCTCGGCAGTCGTGTAGGTGAATTGGGTGTTTATTTTGGAACGAAGGAGCGCTTCAAGGTCTGGATCTGGTGAGGACCGTGGTGATGAGGCGGGCGACTGTAGCTCATCGCGGCGGACCCTCCCCAAGGTCAGTATGCAGACAACAGGCGCACTAGCGAGTCAACCCACCGCTTTGCATCCGGCACTTCAAACATGGCGTCGTCGTGGAGTTGTCGAAGAAACTTGTTGTCTCGAAGTTTTGTTAGGCTGGGCATCGGCTGCAAGGCGGGAGATCGGCATTTGTCCAGCATCCGGCTAGACCGGTCGGCTAGCGCGGTGCAATTCGATCCCCTCGTCATGCCTCGATAACCGCGGGCTCATTTGCATCGGATATTCCGCACATCCTTAGGAGGCCAAAAGGAACGCGTTACCTGCCTATCGTCCGCGGACCCAGGATATGGGTCGTCTAGCACCGATGCAGTTAATATCCCGCTCTAAACGGGAGACAGCGGCAGCCACGAGGACTTGTGCAAGAGTGACATGCCCCCGTCGCTGCTGTCAGTCCAACACACCCCACCGTTGTGCCTCTGCCCCGGGATAGATACTTTGCCGTGCTTCTGAAAGGACATGTTGAGGCTGCCTGCCGGTATACGATAACAATGGGCTATTCATGGCCAGAAGCAGCCCGCGAGCGGGACCTCCACAGGTTTGGTTTGTGCAATGAACACACTTCTGCTGCAGCTAAGGATGCACTTAGATACTACCGCCCATGGCTCGATGCACAGAGCCTGGTTGATGCTGCCGACGGTTCTGGTAAAGGCCTGACCTACTCTGGCTACCAGCCCCAGACGTCGCGCGACCGCTCCCTGACTGCCTTTGCGCAGCTCGCCACGCTACGTCTGGACACGCGCCGGGCTATGGTCTCGCTCATCGACTCGCACCACCAGTACATTCTTGCCGAGGCCACTCGCACCCTCTCGCTGTTCAAGCCTGTCGCCGAAGAGCCCGAAGACGAGGTATGGCTGGGCAACGCCATCTTGACCAAGACCGACGCTGTCTGCTACCACACCTTTGCCTCGACGTATACTGCCAAGGAGGAGGATGGAAGCACAATCACAGGCGAATGCATGGTCATACCCGACTGCAGACTAGACCCTAGGTTCGCCGACAAGGACTATGTCAAGGGCGAGCCTGGCGTTCGATTCTACGCTGGAGTACCCATCATCACCAAGGCAGGTCATCGCATTGGCGTTTATGCCGTGTCTGATGAGAAGCCCCGTGAGGCTATCAGTGCTGGCGAACTGCGCTTTATGCAGGATGTCTCCGCTGCCGTCATGGAGCACCTCGAGCTGGCCAAAGACAGTATGGACCGCAACAAGGGTGAGCGCATGGTACGCGGCTTGACACAATTCATCGAGCGCTCCTCTGTCCAAGACATACGCGAAGACGGTAACCGGCCCACGACTATGGAGAAACAGACTGAGAATGCGCGCTTGGTAGCCCTTGCCGAAGAAGAGGAAGAAGAAGGATCCAATACGGCTGCTCCTGTCAGACAAACCCTGCGCAAACGTGATGCAGAATCTGACGTAGCTCGCATCTTCCACAGGGCCGCTCGTATAATACGTCAGAGCACTGAGGCCGACGGCGTCGTCTTCTTCGACACTTCAGCCGCTGGAATAAGAACCCATCTCTATGACTACAACCGCAGTTCCGCTAGTAGCGACGAGAGTGCGACACACAACACTGACACTGGCGACTCGGCTGCCTCACGGAAGCACAAGAAACAGACAGCCATCACTGCCGATGGCGCATCGGACGCAAATGGTGCTGACAGCAAGCCCTGCCCTGTTGTTGGATTGTCGTTACGTGAAGGAAACGCGGCCCTAGTGCACACAGACTTCAGCTTCAACGAAGCTGCCATGGAACGCTATATACATCGGTACCCGTACGGAAAATTTTTCAACTATAATGAGGATGGCATCGGTGTTAATTCTTCCGATGAGAAGTCAGAACGCTCCGAGACTGAGCAGTCGGACCGCACACTCGACGGATCCACCGCTAACACCAAGAAGCCGCGCAAGAAGCGAGAAAGATTCATCCCAACTGAATTCCTAAAAGTCTTGCCCAAGGTCAGAAGCCTAATATTCCTGCCACTCTGGTGTCCGGCCACGGAACGATGGATTGCTGGTGGCTTTATCTGGACAACCCAAGCCGGACGACTCATGAGCCCAGACAACGAGCTGCCGTACCTACAAGCATTTGGTAATTCAGTGACCAGTGAAGTAGGCCGACTAAATGCTCAGAAGGCGGATCGTGCCAAAACTACCTTCATTGCCTCCATATCGCACGAGCTACGTTCGCCACTCCATGGTATTCTCGGCTCTGTTGAATTTTTACGCGAGACCGTGGCATCGGCATATCAAGAGTCTCTAGTTTCTTCCATCGAGACATGCGGCAAAACATTGCTTGATACAATTGACCATGTGCTTGACTACGCAAAGATCAACAAATTACAAAAGGTCGCTGGGCAGAACAAGCGAAGCCTGGGGCGGAGCAGGAGACAACCTGCTGACAATTCCATCCTTGGTGTTACCTCTGACTTTGATCTAGCGCAATTGGTCGAGGAGGTCTGTGACACTGTGTGTGCCGGTCACACCTTCAGAAAGACTCACCACGTCCGAGGATCCGCCATCTATGATCAGGCTGAGAGCAAAGCTGCGAATAGCTCGATACAAGACGCAAATGGCAATAATGATGTGGAGGGCAGAGATACGCATGGATCCGTCGCTGTCTCTTTGATCGTAGCCCCCTATGTTAGCTGGATAGTGCGATCGCAACCCGGCGCCCTGCGACGTATCGTTATGAACTTACTGGGCAATGCACTGAAGTATACGGACTCCGGTTATATCGCCATCAAGATGCTACAACACAAAAGCTCAGCCGACGTCATGGACTTGTCTCTTAGTGTGGAAGACTCCGGCAGAGGAATGTCGCAGGAATACCAGCGAACGAAATTGTTTTCTCCATTCAGCCAAGAGGATCCATTCAGCTCTGGTACCGGGTTGGGCCTTTCGATTGTCAAGCAAATCATAGAATCCTTGAAGGGCGAGATCGAAGTGAGGAGTACTCACAACGTCGGCACTGTCATCAAGATCAATATACGTCTGCCGATTGGATCCAAGGAGAACGCGCAGCAAGATCTTGCTCTTGTTCGGGCACCTCGGGAGCTGAAGGACACGTCTGTCTCGATTGCTTGCGACATGACTGACACTCAAGGTGGCGAACGAGGACTCAAAACCAAAGAGTCCATGGAAAACGCGTGCAAGAATTTCGACATGAAGATTGTTGCGTCGAAGCATTCCGACGCTGACATATCGGTCACTGATATCGACTTCCTGCTTATAGACTCCCCCTCTCTCTACCAGCTGATACAGAAGTCGAACTCCCATCGTTCTAACAAGTCACCGCTGGGCGTGGTTTGTGTCTGCACAGATACTTCAGAGAAAACTGCAGTGGAGACTCAGCTCGCGAGACAGGTTGAGGCGCTTGGCTGGCTTATGGAAATAGTCACCCAGCCGTAAGTGACTTGCAAAAGGTCTCTACATCATTTTACTGACAATGTTGACAGCTGTGGACCTCGAAAGCTTGCCCGATCACTTCTATCTTGCCAGAAGCGTGCCTCGCAACACAACAATGAGCGACCCATTAGTCGATCGATGAGCTCCTCCATAGTACAACCTGAATTCCAGTCCCTCGCCCCGCCTCGCGTTCTATCTCAGCGGAGTCTCAGCGACATGTTCCCACAAGACATCTCGACGCGACAAGCCGACAATGTAGCTGGAGGCCCTTCTCCACCCCCACCTCGCCCCTTTCCATCCATTACAACCCCTTTGAGTCCCACCCCAAGCGAGAGCGGCGAATACTTTAATCCACGAATTCTCCTCGTAGACGACAACGCCATCAACTTGAAGCTCCTCGTCGTTTTCGCCAAGCGACAAAATCTGCGTTACGTCGAAGCAACCAACGGTCTCGAAGCATTCGAAACCTTCAAATCAGAAGCTACTTCTTCTTCCCCACCAGCTCGTCCTTTCGACTTTATACTCATGGACCTGAGTATGCCCGTAATGGATGGCCTGACGAGTACACGGCACATTCGCCAGTTTGAGAGCAAGAACGGACTACCCAAGTCACATATCGTGGCACTCACTGGACTGGCAAGTGCGCAGGACCAGAAAGATGCGCACGAGGCAGGTGTGGATATGTACCTTGTTAAACCAGTCAAGTTCGCGGATATCAAGCGTGTTTTCGGCGGAAAGTGAATCAAGGAAGGCATTTTTTGATTGGCGTTACGTGCGGTCTGGTAGCTTTCTTTGGGTATATGGCATAGTATTTGTGCATTGCGAGGGTGTTTTGGATAGACTTCGGCATAGTTGCTTGGAAGACCTAGGTAGACTTTTGCCGCGGCTGGGGCGGTCTTTATGATATTTCTGATGACATGTATTCCTTACTACCAAGTCCGCTCGTTGCCATCATGTTGTTTTTCTCTGTTCCGATGGTACCATCTAATGAAGCCACGCATCCCACGGGCGCCGAACGGGTCATTTATTTCAGCTGGTAAGCAAGATGATCCTGCAGGAGCACTCTAGTATTCCACAGGGTGGATGCATCCGCAACAGATGCCCTGTATATAACCAATCAAGTGACGAAGTTAGCGGCTAGGTTCCCTTGTGGGCTTACCCTGCAGCTATTCTACCGCCGGCAACAGGTGACAGTCACGATGCTTTCAAATCAGCTTATTGGCAGTCTGCGTACATCTGTACATGTCACTGTTGGCTGCAAACTTGGCATTGCAACAATCGTTTTTCGGTGGTGCATCAACATGGCGAGCTCGACCCACAAGATGAATAGCAAAATACCTCATTACCCAGTGTTGATTATTGGAGCTGGTGCAAGTGGGATCGCAGCCGGAATTCAACTCAAGAGAAAGCTTGGGTATAATCAGTTCAAAATCGTTGATCGACAGTCTGGCATTGGTGGTGAGGATTGCGACAGCACTTCTGTCATTTCATTCGTTGATATCCGACAACAGGTACTTGGTGGATCAACAGATATCCTGGTGTAGTGAGTCTCGTTCGTGTAGAACAGTCAAGATAGGAAACTGATTTCTATTTAGCAATGCGATGTGTAGGTGGCATTGCGCAAGTGGATAGCTATAATCGTCTAATATGAGAAGGCCTACTTCCTTATACTCCTTCTCCTTCGCACCGAACTACGTTTCGAAACGCTTGTATCCCACCGGCGAAGAATTCCGCGACTATCTGAATGACATTACAGGAGAATACAATCTGGCCTCTCACATCCAACTGAACACCGACGTAAAGGAACTCCGCTGGGTTGAGGTCGACGCGCAATGGGAAATAACGCTTCAGCATCTGGTGCCCGGCACGGGCGATCTTAGTACTCGAGATCGAGAACAAAGAGCTACCACTTCTGGTCGCGCATCCGTGTACCTACATGAAGAGGTGGTGCGTGCTAAGGTAGTGGTGAGCTGCGTAGGCATCCTCGTAGAGCCGAATCCATGGCCATCTTCCATTCCGGGGCGCAACAGCTTCAAGGGTGATGTCTTCCACTCCGCACGCTGGCGCGACGACATCGACCTCAACGGGAAAGACATCGTGATCCTCGGTACTGGTTGCAGCGCCGCACAAATAGTCCCATCGCTACTAAAGGAGCCCTATAATGCCAAATCCCTTACTCAAATCGGCCGGTCAGCGCCCTGGGTAATGCCTCGACTGTCTGAGCCTTTCGGCGAAGAGAAATATGCAAGATACGCACCCTCCGTATACAAGTGGTTTCCGTTTTTGGGGTATCTGAATCGTGTCCTACTATATCTTTTGGTGTAGGCTATTTGGTCGACGGTTTTCCAGAAGAAGAATCAGAAGTGGCGGGCTGCGGTGGAGAAACAACAGCTGGACAGGATGAAAGATATCGTACCAGAAAAGTACCACCATTTGATGACGCCAGATTATTCTTATGGGTGTAAGAGACGCGTTTTCGATACTGAATGGTTACCCAGTATGCAAAATCCAAGCTTCACGCTTACCAATCGCCCTATCCAAGCCGTGGAAAGCAAGGAGCTCGTCTTAGGACCAGATTCTGTACCTGCTGCTGAGGGTCAGGATCTACCAGCTGAGCAGCGCATCAATGCCGAGGTCATAATCCTTGCTAACGGCTTCGAAGCGACTCGTTGGTTACACCCACTTTCAGTCTACGGTCGAGACGGCGTGGGTTTACAAGAAGTATGGAAGCAACGCGGAGGTCCGGCTGCGTACATGGGAATGGCTGTCGATAGGTTTCCAAACTTCTTTATCGCCGTCGGACCGAACACAGTGAATGGCCATCACTCACTCATCCTCACGAGCGAAAACACGATCTCTTACGTCTTGAAAATGATCAAACCTATCCTAAGCGATAGAGTACAGAGAGTCGAAGTGAAGAAACAAGCCGTCACTAAGTGGACCGAGGACGTAAAGAAGGATCTGAAACAGACAGTGTTCAGCGCATGTCGCAGTTGGTATGTGGATGAAGAGGGTTACAACTCGACTATGTATCCGTGAGTATCTACGTTCAAGCCTAGCTACGTTTACAGCTAGATGGTACTAATATGGTCCACAGTCGCTCGCAAACGGAATTTACTTTGAGATGCATGTTCCCAGCGTATGCTGATTGGGACGCATTTACGCCTTCCGGGTCGAAAGTATCGCTTCGAGGAAACAGCCTTACTACTTTGGTCGCATCTGCAGTAACTGTGGCTGTAGCTGTAGCAGCGGCGGTGTGGTATGGTGTTACGAAATATATGTGATGTATCATGTGCCAGACTTGAGAGCTCAGGCTAGAGATCGATAGAGATGGAAACCTGAATTGCTCGGAATTGCGAGAGTGCATGTGAGAGTGATCGTCCGCTTCGTACATAGAACAAAGCACTGTGATCGTCTAGTCGCACTGGATTGGTCGGAGTAAGAATCGCTTCCTGTCTCCCAGTCTACGCGGTGTCGCACAAATGAACCTTCTACCCCTCACAAACTCGCTCATCAGTAACTTGGTCATAGTCATCCCATTTGCTCACGAAGAAGTCATCTCTTGTTATCTCAGCTTTATGTGAGAAAGTGCATCGTGAGAGTATGCATCATAAGCACTAGTGCTGTGTTGCGCCTGAAACTCAGTAGTCCTCTTTAGAGTGGTTGCAGCATCATTACCTGTTGTATGGGACTGTGTCTGATTACTAGGAGCATTTATCGATGGTCCTAGATGCGTTGTGATGTGGTCGAGGGTCGTGCCTTCCCGTTCAACACGTAGTCACGCGACTTCGCGTAACAAGAACCTTGGAAAGACCCTAGAACGCGACTTAACCTTCAATACATCTCGTTCACTCATTCTTGCTTGGCTTTGCGATCCTGCATTCTCATCGACACTCACGAAAGAGTACTGGCCAGCTTGCATTGTCAGCACTAATGCCGTTGCAGAGATGCAGCTCTTTTTGCGCTGTCCCCATCACCTTGTCTGGTGATAACAAGTTCATGCCATCCCATCGGTCTCACAGCCGCATTGCGATGCATCACGATTATGCTGTCCGACAGTGTTATCCAACTCCGCTCTGACACCTGTGCGCACGTTCCGGTATCTGACCGAGGAATTCGGTGGTGTGATGCGAAAGAGCTTAGGGAATGAATGCGCAGCCAAATAGAGGCCGTGGCATTCGTCTCGGCGATGGAAGATTACGCGTGGATGTCGGTCTCGCCTTGTGTGCGGCCAGAGCAGATTCTCGAGTGGCGTCCAAACACCACATTCTGTGTCTGCGACATCGAGGCGATGGTGCTGCCAACATTCCTAGTGCTGCCAATAGCGCGAACGAGCGCCCATCGCGGATATGCGGTACGTCGGTTGCGCCATCTCTTTCAACGGCTCTAAGCTGTTCGTCCTATTCATGATTTCCAGCATTGGCACAGAGGGCTTGAGTCGCATCCGTAGTAGAGCTCGCGAGGTTGGTGGGTCATGAGTAATTGCAAGGGTTCAATCCGGCGAGAAAGGTTTCGCTAGAGGATCGCCTGCTTGGACTATCCTTTTAGGGATTTCCACTTTCGGGTCTCCGACATACACGTCCGCAACAGCATCAGCGCTATCACATCGTCAAACATGAAGCCGACAATTGCATCCACGATCATTGGCTAAGGAATTCAGATCATGTCTGTAACACTTGACAGCATACGAAAAGGTCCCTGCGCGAGAGTTTTTGTGAAGTGCCGAACGCTCTCCTGCTTGAGAAGCCCAGTAGAGCGCACACGAACGGATCTCCTTCTCTATCTTACCGGGTAGTTCTCTATCTTACCGGGTAGCCAAAACTCTTATAAGATCCCTCAGTATCTTGTACAAGAGTTGGCTGCCACAGCAGTGCTTAGTTGCCGACTTACGTGCGGAAGGCGAAGCGAGCGTGCGCGGCACGTGCTAGCTTTACGGATGCCTGAAGTTTCGAGTCGCTAAGGTCAGCCCACGATAAACCATTTCGATACTCTAACCTTTGCCTGATAAGGCTCAAGCCTTGCCCTGCGCCTCAAACGCAGGGCGTCCATGGCCCAAACCGCGGGGCCGTGTTGATCATCGTTTATCGGCACTACAACTCCTCCACGCTCGCTAGTCTGAAGCCGTCTTGAAACAATAAACAGCACCCCCACACCTTTCTTTAGAAAACATTTGTTTCGACAGAAAGGGGTATCACTTTCCAAACCAACGGTCCGTTTGCCAATGCGATACTAGAAAGAACACACTGGAGAATTCGCCTTTGAAAAACACCATCGATGTTGTTCGGGACAATGCGGTGCCGGCGTGATTGCATGCATGTCGTTGTTCTAAGCCTGCCGCAAGTAAGATACACTGCGGGAATGCCAAACATCGTTGGCCAGTAAGAAACATGATGACTGATGAGCTCGAGCATATGCAGCATATCTCGTGAGGCGGAATACTTGGAATCGCATTCCAAGCTTCAAAATAGTTGGCATATTCACTACTATCTGCTCCGCCTCAAGCACAATCTATTCTACCGGTCACATAGTGGCGTCTATCCGTTATCCCAAAACAGTAGCGGTGGGTCTTTCTCACCATTGCCCTAGCGGCCTGTCACATCTATTCCAGCGCTCTCTTCAACGCTTACCCATGGGAATCAGGGTCATGAGAGGCTTTGCTCACGCCGTGCTAACTGTACGCATGAGTCGTGGCTACTATTCTTGCCCATTCTCAAAAATGTCTAACAATGTATAAAGACATAGGTTCATCGCTCTCTTACTATCATCATCTCAGGTCAATACAGTCATTCGCTCTTTCGCTTCTTAGCACACCTTACCCATCCTATCTTCCCATCCATCCTGTTAGCCTTTCGTTCAATAGGACCACTATTTTCTCTTAACATACATAATGTATATTCGCAACGTCCTCGTCTCTGGCCTTGCGGCTGCCAGCACAGTCCAGGCCTACTCCAACTACACCATCCGGGAAGAGGATTGGACCGTTGCATCGCCAGCACCGGTACAAGAGAAGCGTACCCTAGGAAAGATCCTCGGTCTGTTTGGTAGCCTCTTCGGCGGCAACAAGGAGCCCGCGCAGGAATGTCCTGCTGTTTGGACTCAAATCTCTTCCACCCTCACCCAGCAATTCCTCGGAGATGGCCAGTGCACAGATGCTGCTCGCGCTGCTATCCGATCTTCCTTCCACGACTGCTTTAATGGAGCTTGCGACGGATCTCTTATTCTCGCCAACGAGTGCTCGAACACTGAGAATCGCGGCCTGGAGCGCCTTTGCAGCAACCTCGCCAATGTTGCCTCCCAGACCAAGGTCGGCGTTGCCGATCTCATCCAGTTTGCTGCCGCACACGCAGTCAAGACATGCCCTGGTGGACCTACTATTCCCGTCAAGGTTGGCCGCAAGGATTCCAGCGAGGCAAATGCTCTTGGTGTTCTACCCAGCGGTTTCGCCAAAGGAGGAGACTTGGTCAGGCTCTTCGGTAAGCATCATCTTCCTGTCTACAACCTTTCCGTAACTAACAACGTTTCTAGCATCAAAAGGCTTCTCCCCTTACGATCTTGCTGCCCTGATTGGTGCTCACACTGCTGCTAAGCAACGCGTCACCGACCCTTCCAAAGCCGGCGCCGCTCTTGACTCCACTGTCGGCACCTGGGACAACAAATACTACTCCGAGACCAAGAGTGGCAAGGCTCCGTTCACTCTTGAATCTGACAAGAACATTGCGCAGAACCCTCTCACCGCAATCCCTTTCTCGACCTTTGCCGCCAGCAAGGGTTTGTGGGATTCAGCGTTTGTAGGCGCAATGGTCAAGATGAGCATGCTCGGCGTTGAAAACAAGAATTTGATCGACTGCACCAGTGCGCTACCTGGTGGTAGCAAGAGGCGGGATGTCAAGAGCAGCAACATCTTTGATCGCTTCAAGTGGTAGATGGGGTAGTATGCATGGTGTCCGCATTTTTGGGCGTTACGATATTTCTTTTTTTGTCACTTCCCGTTGGAACTTCACGACTCTCATTGATGGTACATGCTAGTCATGTTTTCTTGTTTATATCATATCTTATGGAAAAGGAAAGGGGTCTGGTAGTATTCTCCATAGCTACCGTGTCGGACATAATTACAACACTCTACACGAACCTGTCACGTCACTTGCACAGGAAAAGGGCATCAATGCAATAAGACTGTGCATTCAGCATCTACACTTACAATGCCCCGTGTCACTCCATACTTCTTGACAAAGGCTTTGTACAGGACAACAGGTTATTCCGTGACGACAATCGTGTCAACATGGCACTTACAGTATATTACCTCATACCATGTACCCACCATGCTAAGCAACCGGTTGAACACAAGAAGAAACACGAAAAGGTGAATGAACAAGTAAAATATCGACATGATTCCTATTCCTTACCGTTTCTCTCCCCCAGGATATCTAAACCAATCCCCCTGTCCATCAAACCATCCCTCCATGCCTTCATCCAAATATGCCTATCCGCCATCCAACACGACGAAAAAGGCGCCAGCGACATCACACTGCGCAAGCGATGCATTAAATCCCTCCAGGTTGGTACAATACAACAAACGAGAAAGATTCGGCAAGGTAAAGCCAAAGTAAAGTTAAAAACTTTATAACTGCCAAAACGTGAAAAAAAAAACCGAAAAAAGGAAAAGACGATCGGGTATCGAAGTCGAAAATGTACTATCGCGAAATTATCCCCAGCTGGTTTCTCCTCCTTCATCTGTTTGTCTCTCTCTACAACAGTAGTAGTAGCAATGCAAAGCATCCAAAACAAATGATAACCTTTGATGTCAACATGGCTCGCTCAGCCTTCCTCCGGCGGTGGCGTAGGTAGATCTCTTCCCTTTTGTTCTGGGCTTGGTGGGTGAACAACAGTGACTGGTGTCGTCGGATCTCTTGTTTCCTCGCCTTCTTGGTCGGCGATGCTATCACCTTCCTCGGGTATGGCTGTGGGACTCAGAATGCCTCCGTCTTCGCCCTTGGCTGAAGTAGCTTGATTACGTCGATTCCTCCTCCGTTGCCTTTCCGTGTCGGCACTCTCTCTTCTTCGTCTCACAGACAGCGAACCGTCTTTGTTCAGGCCAGTTCCTGACTGTAGACCTTCCAACATGGCAGCAGCGCGGTCTGCGATGTCTGCTTCAGCGGTACCAGCAGCGCCGGCTGTAGGACCAGCGGTGCTACTAGCCTCGCTCTCCGCAGTCTCACTCGTAGGACTGAGCAGTTTGCTCTTCTCGTCCTCTCCTTCGACACCCTCCCCTCCGTTCTCCATGTTGACGCCAATCTCAGGAATCTTCTGGCCACTAGCCACGCGTACCTGGTGCTTGTCCTTTAAGCGGGCGCGACGACGACGATCGCGTTGATCTCTTGCTTCAGGCTTTGCAGCACGCAGCTTCTGGAGCAAGTCGTCCATGGCGCCGGTGGAAGCTGGGGATTTGGGTGCATCTGAGTCTGAGGATAGGGCATTGGGTGAGAGGGGGTTGGCAGTCTGCGCCTGTTTGCGACGCATGGAAATCTCGTTGCGACGGTGTTGTTCTTCGAGCGCGGTGTTCTTCTCTTTGGATTTCTACAGGCAGATTAGCAGGCAAGAAAATAGAGATAGGGGATCGATGATGACTGACCTTCCATTCCTGAACGAAGTTGGCCAACTTCGCAAAGAAATCCCTCCTCGCACTGTCGTCAGTTGGATCTTCTCCATAAAACGCCATGATGTCGTCGTAGCTCTTCTGCATATCCTCAAGGAAGACCTGCATCTGCTCCGCCTTTCTTCTGGCCTCCTTCATGTTCCTTTGCACAACAATGGCAACCTTGTCTTCTGGATGGAATTTGGTTGGATCAGACAGGTTACCGGAGTCGAGCGACATCTGGACGTTCTTGATGTTGTCAATGTACTTCTTGGCATCGGTCTGCAGTTGCTCAACGTTGATCTTCTGCGCTGTCACGACGCCGCCGATCTCGTCGGTGAAGCCTTCCCACCCAGAATATTGGTTGCGCACAATTCTTTCGACAACATCGGCAAACGTGGATTCGTTCCTGTCGTCTTTGAGCATACCTAGTCGCGATAGCGTGGAGAGCTTGAAACCGCTGGCTTGCTTATTGGCATCGTTCATGAAATTACCAATGTCCAGGATGAGACCTAGAACACTGATCAAGGCTGACGAATCGCGCAGACTCTCAGAAACCCTTGAGATTTCCAACAGCTTGTTCGATATCTCATCATACTCGGATTCGTACGTACGAGTCAATGCGAGCGCCCTCATCCTACTCTTCCAATAATGGTGCAGTTCGTAAGCAGTAAGAAGGTAGATTTGGTCTTCTCTTGTAAGTTCGTTCGGGTCCTGTTCGCGCTTGCTTTCGCTAGCATTAGGTCCAGTCCAATCTTTCGAGTAAGGCGCCATGAGCTTGGCGGTATTATCGGGTATGTCACAGAAGTCGTTCTTTTGCAAGAACTCCATGGTGACAGGGTCGTCCAGGATCTTGCTGTCGCAGTGAATGATCATTCTTACAATGTCCTCAACTCCGTAGGATGAGAACTTAGCCATACTGATCTGGAAGTTGTGCATGAGGTCACGGGAGATAATCTGCTTCTTGTCGTCCTTCTTGCCAGACTTCTTGCCGATCGCCTTGATTTCCTTTGCCAAGAACAGCTTCTCGACTTCCTCCAATACACCTTTCCTAGCCAATTCCTGGTACTTCTCTTCTTTCTCTTCCGAAGTGAGACCACGGGTGGCCCAGACGGTGGTAGTAGGTTGATCAACCTTGTCCCAGTGAAGAGCCTTGAGCTTCTTCTTCGGACGCGGCCCAGAGAGAGCAAATTGTTGTGCAGCACCAAACCCAGGTGCCTTAGGCATGAAACCGGGACGTTTGGCACCTGGCATTGGTGGCGGTGGTGGCGGAGGCATGCCGCCACGTCCAGGCATAGGGGGTGGAGGTGGAGGTGGAATTCCAGGCTTGAAACCAAGCTTGCCAGGCGGCGGTGGCGGCGGTGGCGGCGGCGGAGGTCCAGCAGTACCAGGCATAGGCGGCGGAGGTGGTATGTTGGCAGAGAATCCAAGAGCACCTGGAGGGGGTGGAGGGGGTGGAGGTATGGCAGCTTTGGGTGCCTCGCCATCAGCGGGTGTCTTTGGTGAGCCGGATTCGAGGCTGGGATGAGATGGTCCTGTTGTAATGCCGTCATCTTCAGCATCCGAGCCATCATATCGCTTGACATTTGAAGTGATATCTGCCAGGAGGGCATTGGCTGTCGAAGTGCTGAGCTTTGGCTTGTGCATCTGTACGAGTCGAGGCTTCTCGATGACAACATCGTCATCATCCATCTCTGACACCTCACCATCCTCACCAATTTGACCAGGAAGACCAGGAAGGGGCTTTCTTCGTGGTACACCACTCTTGGCACGGACTGATCCGAATGAGCTCGGTTCGAGGTCACCATAGCCTTGTTCGGTCATACCAGGCATGTCACCCTCCATCTTCTCTCGCAGTTCCCGGAGCTTCTCACTGGGCTGCATCTGTAGAGTCTTGCCCTCCAGCGTCGCCTGTGTCCTGGCTCGTTGCAGTTGGATCTCCAGTCTGTTCATGAGACGTTCGCGGTCCATGATGCCTTGCATTTGAGCTGGATCCGTGGCACCGAGCCCGTCCTTGCCAGACTTCTTCGCCGCCGACGCTGCAACGTCTTGAGCATCCCTGAGCATCAAATATAGTTCACGCGTTTCGAGTTCGTTACGTTGCAACTCTTGAGCACGTATCCTCTGCATTTCTGCAAGTTCTGACTTCATCTGCTCTACCTGCCTGCCACGAAGCTCGATGATACGTTCTTGCTCTGCTAGTTGTTTCTGCAGCTTAGAGACTAGGCCATCTGCACCCAGCTCTAGCTGGGCCTTCATCTCATCGCGTTCTGCAATGGCCGAGTCTGCAATCTGTCGCGCTTCGACTGCTTCATCGCGTACCTGTCGAGCCTCGGAATCGGTATAGAGCTTGTCGAGCAGAGACTGTACGGTGAAGTTCAGACTTTGCTTGAGGTCCATGTCTGGCAGTCGGCGGTCCATAGCCACGTAGCTCAGCATTTGGTCGACCAATTGGAACATTCGCAATCGATCCTCGCTCTCGGTGTCGCGCATCAGCAGTAAGTGTTGCATGGCCGACGTAAAGTAGTCTTGCGCGCGGCTGCCATGGATCTTGCTCATGATGGCATCTGCTATTTGAACGGGGTCGTTGAGATCCTTGGTCTCGCCCTCTACGTTGTCGATCATGGAGCTATTCTCCTTCTGAAGGAAGTCCTCGTAGTCCACAGCTTCGTTGTCCAAGTAGTGCTCGATCTGCTTGTCGATGACATCGTACTGGAAGCCTTCCATCTTGTTGAAGATGCGCTTGATGCCACATGCCGTGAATTGGGCTCGCACATGCATTCTGAGCTGTAGGTCGCGTTCCGGGGCATCCACGACCATGTTGATCAGGAAGAGTGTTGCGATTGCATATTCCATGAGGAGGTTCTCTACACCGATACCTCCACTGCGCACTTCGTCCGAAGCGCCCACCATGGAGCCCATCTTACCACGGCCGTCGACCGTGACTTCGACGATGCGCATCCATGCATCGAATCGACTGCTTTCGCCATATTGTGATTTGAGGTTGTCGAGTGCCTGCAGTACTTTCTCATGTCCACTTCCGTTGCCCCAGTGGCACAAAAAGGTCAAGACATCTGAGACAAGTTTTCGGGTGTTGAGGCGCGAGGAGATCAAAGAGCCACACAGCGCTTGTATGATGGACGGGTGGTTGAGGGCGTTGTCGGCACCGTACTTGTTGTTCATCAATGCCTTCAAGCACTTGATGATCTCGTATTCGCGTTCCACGTCGTTTTCCGCCTTTTGCGCCATGACGCTGGGAGGAGGTGCAGGCCCTGTTCCCTTCCGGCGGTTGATCTTGGCTAATACATTCGTGAGGGCAATCTGACCCTGCGCTTCGATGAAGCCCCTGACCCAAGCTATAGGCTGCGTTCGCAGGCTGATCTCCAAACTCGACATTTGTTTTATAGATATCGAGTTGTCCATGACCTTCTTGACGTACCACTCGGGCGAGCCCTCCTCTTCTGCGCGCATAAGGATGTCTTGACCACCTCCACCGGGGCCGCCGTAGGTTATCCGCTGTGTCTGACGCTTCTTCTCTTCATGCTTGAATTCGGCCAGCTTGTCCTGGTAGACAAGCGTCCACTTCTTGTCAATCTTGTAGGCCTCCATTTGCCGCCGCGCCTGCTCTGGTAAGCTCTTCCATCCTCGCTTCACCATGAGATTCATGAACTCCTTCTCCACGACATGGTCTGGCGGTCTTTGTATGCTGAGTGTGTTTTGGTTGAACGAGGTCTGTGACGCGGACGGCGAGGAGGAGTTGTAGTGCAGCAGGTGGCGGTGCGAGTCGCGCGGAGTGGATACGGCGGTGGGGAGGAGACTGCCGGCATCGAGGCCTATGGATGATATGGTCGTCTGTGATGGGTTCTGCGGGTAAAAAATGTTGCTGCCACGCGTCTTAGAGTCGTTGCTGTAGATGCTCGCCTGGTCGAAGGAGGTGCGCGTGTTATTGGAGGAGTCAGTGCCGGCATAGTATGAGTGGCTGCCGTCCCTGCTGCTCCCACGCGCGCCCCACTGCTGCATCGACACACCGCGGTCGCCGGGATTGCTTGAGGCGATGGTGGTGCCCAGGGAGTGCGGTGGTGGGCGCGGTGGCCCTGGGTTGGAGTAGCCGTTCTGGGGCATTGCAGTGGCGTTGAAGACGGGGTACTGATGAAAGTCGCCGCCGCCTTTGTTCAGATGGTGCGGCAGTGGTTCGCCCGTCTTGGAGGCGTCGTCTCGCGGGGGATCGATGGTTGATACGGGGCCAGCTCGCGCGAAGATGCCCTCGGCGGTCATGGACACGGGCCGCTGGTCTATCGAAGCGCCGCCGATGGAGTGTCTGTGTGAATGGCGTGACGAGAGCGAGCCATGAGAGCTCCCCGGGGGGCTGTCGGTGGATGAGGTGGTTGTGTGTTTTGCGTCGCTGGCGTGCTTGTCCTTGTCCTTGTGTAGGCGTCGTCCGAAGAACTTGCCGGCGGAAGATTGCCGACCCTTGCTGTCCATGCCTATAACGAGAGTCTATGCCCAATGCTGCCGCTCTGGGAGCGCGCCGCCCGACGTGTCTGTTCCCCTCCTTCCTGGAGCAGAGCCGTCTCGCTTCACTGGGACGGGTGGTAGGGCGATCCAAGTCTCCAACGGCTATCTCTAATCCTGAAAGGAGAGTGCGGGGCTGGATGTGGTGAGTCTTGAGGTAGTAGAAGCAATTCCTGGGGGCGCGGTGGTGGTGCGCACCATGCGGCTGCAAGTGAGTCGGGAAGTTGCCGAATAACTAGCGCCGCCTGCGTGACTGCTGCATGTCAATATCCTAGGGAGATGTGTAGTACAGGACAGGACATGGCCATTCTCCATTCAGCCATCACCAACATGTCTCGACGTTGGACAGGACAGGCCCAGCAAGTGGGCTTATGCGAACTCGTCTGGGCCATGTCCGCATTGGCCCCGACGTTCTCCTGAGACGTGCGCGCACGTCCGTCCTGTGGCGCCATCTGCCAGCCCATGAACTCCTAGCCGCTCCCAGATGAGCCGGCTACGCGACCTCGCAGCCCTCTTCACGTCTCCCTCCAAACTAACTGTTCCCGGCGTCTTCTTGTCCTGTGGCGCAGCAGGCACGAAACGACACGACACACATCTGGCGCACTACGTCGCAACACCACGTAGCCCAGCCTTGCGTCAGCCCTACGTCCTAGCCGATCAAAACGACGCGCTCCGCCAGTTCACGCTTCCTCACTAGCACATGCATCCACAGCCATGGCCGGCTTTACCCATTTCCTCAAGGTGAGTGACTGACAGCTGTCACGTACATGAAGCTTGCGGGCGGTGAGCGCATCAGTGGGTCTTCATGCGACCCCTAGAGGACACCAACATCCATGTGGAGGCTGACGATGCGCCTCCAGACCATCCTCGTACCCTTGTTCCTCGCTGCTATTCTCTATGTCCTACTAATCTTCATCATTCTGCCCTTTGTCCGCCGCCATCGAAGCCGTTATAGCCAATATCTACCTATGCCCGCCGGTGTGACCGACTTCCCTACATCTTGGCGGACGAACCTCTCCGATGCCCTCTACAACCTGTTTGCGCCTTCCGCTTGGGTCAGACAGAGGGCGGTTGTAGATGGGAGCGGACAACATGACGATGATTTGTTTGACGATGAGGAGGGAGAGGGCATGGTCGGCTTTGACCACATCGACGAGAGGAGGAGAGAAGCACTGGAACAACGCAGGAGCATAATGGAGGAAGAGAGGCGCTTAGGGCGCGACCTGGAAGAAGGCTTCAAGGATGATAGTGAGGATGAGCACGAAGACGAGAGGCGGCGGTCCCTATCGCGACACCGATGATCTACATAATACTCTTCACATCACTTACCTACAATTTGAACACTGGCGCATACATCACATCACCAGCACCAATATCAGCTCAAGTTGTCGGCAGTTGGACTTCAAGTGGATATATTCATGTACATAGGTAGGCGGAAATACCCATCCGACACCCAATAACTAGCAAGGAAATTCGTGCGGAATCGCTCAGAAAGGACTGCAAGTTGCGAAAGAAGGCTGCTTCTTCTACTTGCGCTGACCGTACGCCTTGGTGGCGTAGTCGCCCTTGTGTACGATGAGGTCTTCAGGCCGGTAGTTCTCGCGGCCGGAGAAGTACTCATCGAGGATAGCCTTGGTGCCATCGGCGTATCGCTGGGATCAGAGTCAGTATAGGTTCTCAAAACAACTATGTTTTTGACTGTAAAACTCACCTTCTGGGCATCGATGGAGGTACCGGACATGTGGGGAACCATGGCGTTGCCGCCGCCCCATGGGTTCTGGGCGTAGCGGAGCGGGTGGTCCTTGGGTGCGGGCTGGGGGAACCAGACATCACCACCGTATCCACGGAGGTGACCGTCCTTGAGAGCCTGGGCAACATCCTCCTTGACGACGATGGCACCACGGGCGGTGTTAACCAACCATGAGCCCTTCTTCATCTTGGAGATGAGGTCCTTGTTGAAGAGACCGCGGGTCTTCTCGTGGAGTGGGCAGTTGATGGTGACAACATCGCACTGAGCCAACATCTCCTCGAGGTTCTCGACGCGACGGCAGCCAATCTCCTTCTCCTTCTCAGGAGACAGGGGCTGGTAGTCGAAGTAGAGGAGCTCCTTGCAGTCGAAGGGCTTGAGACGGCGGAGCACACGCTCACCGATACGGCCAACAGCGACGGTACCAACAACCTTGTTCTCGAGGTCGTACTCGTTCTTGGCGACCTCAGCGACGTTCCATTCACCCTTGGCGATCTGCTCGTGGGCAGGGACGAAGTTGCGGACGAGAGTCAGGATGGTCATGACAACGTGCTCAGCGACGGAGACAACGTTGGAGCCAGTAACCTCGGCGACGGTGATACCGCCGTTGGTCTTGTTCGCGGCATCGAGGTCGACGTGGTCAGATCCGATACCAGCAGTGACGGCAATCTTCAGGTTCTTAGCCTTGGCCAGACGCTCGGCGGTAAGGTAACCGGGGTGGAAACTGTTGATCGTGATCTGTTAGCTGATGTTCGCTGGGATCCACGGATGGTGTTTGCAGCATTAGCGCTTCCGGTTGAAGCTTGACGTGTACATGTGGGGCGCTTAGCTGCATTGCGGGGTAAGTCTGACGTACGGTGTGGTGATGATAACCTCTGCGTCGACAAGGTGCTTGTCGAACTCGGAGTTCTCACCCTCCTTGTTGGAGGTGGTGACGAGCTCGTGGCCTTGCTCCTCAATCCACTTCCTGATACCTAGCTCGTTCTCAGTGGTTCCGAGAAGCTGAGGCTCCTGCTCGGCGTGGATGCCACCCTAGTGCTGCTGTTAGATGTGTCGAGTGTGTTATTGGGACTCAATGACCACTTACATCGTAGAGGACGAGAAGAACTTTGCCCTGTTGTGAAGCCGTCGCGGTCAGCGTTCTGAATGCATTCGGTTGTCGGAGCGACGAAGTCAATCGAGGTCCGGCGCGTGCGCTGAGGAGGGAGGAGGCAGGGCGCGCAAGGCGAGAAGCTGAACGGAGAAATACCATTTTGACTTATTGAACTGACAAGAGAACAATTGAGGCTCCGAAGGAGAGATATATAGTAGAAGCCGGCAAAGGTACAACGAATGGTACGTATTCTTGACGTACAATTGTCAGCCTATCGTCCCAGCAGGGGGGAAATGAGGGGTGCGTGGGTCGGTATACCTTTTGCGGGCCGAAGTGACGTCGATATAGTGAACAAGTCGGTAGTAAGACCGAATGTACAAAAGGATGTTGATGTTGTGAGAGCAATTGAGGGGTTCGTGAGGGGCTTTTATAAACCGCCGAGTACCCGCAGATATTCTCTCATACTAATTGAGCCTCTGGTCCCTGGGTCGTCAGGCTGACGATGTCGGCCGTCCCCACTTGGTGATGCCACATTCCCACACGTACAAGTGGTTCGTGGTCGTCTGCGGGTGTGACGGTCATGTTTGGAATTACTTCGCGCATCGCTGATAGTGCGGGGTCGCGTCCAATGGCGCGAATCAGCTTCACTACGCGCCAGGGGAGCTCTACCAGCTGCTTACCCGTTTGATACACACGAAGCTTCGCCGAGAAGCCCGTAGCGTAGTCTTTGGGCGTGGGTCAGCACGGTAGCTCCACTAGCGCCTGGCCCCTCGACCAGAACCAGCAAGAATGTACGTAAATCGACGCCTGGGGCTGAGAGCTCACCAGCGCGTACGCTAAAGCTCTATCTGGAGAGCCTCCGAATAGCTTCAATTCGGGAATGCGGAAGGATCAATATGGAGTACGAGACTGATGTTGTGACTTTGTGGAGTCCAGTTGTTATGTAGAAGATTGCTTCTGTCGTCTGTCCACAGGACTGTTTGCTGGATTCTAGCTTCCAGCCTGTCCGTAGGGAGAAGCATCTTGGGGCAGAAGTGTGGGCTCACACGACATCTGCAACACATCTCGGGAGTAGTGCTAGCGATGGCAAATTCAAGATCAAGTGGGCTTGCATCCGAGCAATCTAGATGCCGCTTTGTACTTTGTCCGCGGCAGGACAAGAGATGCGGAGTATCAGCGGTTCAACCTCGCAGTCTGCGGATGCGAGTTGTCGCCGTTGCGACTGACGAAACTCGCTGGAAAGCAGGGCGACGGTCGGCGTAGGAGGGTTTCTCTCGGTATAAACGGCGAGAGGCTGGAGATGGTTCTTATCTCTCGGCCGAAATCCGGGCTGAGTGCGCGTGAACTTCGCGTTTCGGTAGTCCCACCTTCCAAGGCTCCAAATGACCCCACCATTTCGACATAGACCAGACACCTGGAGCTACGCATCCCTTCTCCCGATGTAGCTGGGAGATCCGATGATGCCGAAGGTTACTCTCGCAGACATCTCAAGGACGTATATCCTGTCAGTTTGGGCGAAATGAGGAATCGTCAGTTATCAGGCCGAGCTCTCATTACTGCCGTTCGAAGCCTCTTCTTGGTCTCCTCCATGACAACCCAACATCGAGTCGCTTCTACTTTCTGTTATATGACCGTCTTTGCAACCACACAAGTGCCCGCAGTCCAAGACAGCATCTATCATATCCCATGATGCTACGTCAATACACACTCATAGCGGGGCTTTTGGTGGCAGCGTGGTGGAAGCGGCACACGCTGCGTTTTTGCGATACCACCCGGAATTTGCACAATTCATCGAGCAGACTATGGTGAATTTGAGTGCTCGATGGATATCCAACTCGTGCTTGAGTCGCACTCCACGCGATGGTATGTAGGCAAAGAAACTGCCGATTCCACTCTACCAGTCCCAACCATCTTTCGATTTGACGTACCGCTTGATTACCGATGAACTAGTCGAAGACATCTGGTAACGGCGCATGCTGCAAAACAGATATACATAATCACAGGGGTATTTTTTTGTTTTGCATGAAGATGGCGTATCTCATTTCAAGATACCTTCGGGACTTGCTCTCATACTCTGAGATGTGTGGCACACAAACGATGTAAAGTTGAAGGTAAGTCAAGGTGAGCGTGAGTACGCCTAAGCTTCGGTTTGCGGTCTACAGCGGAATCATCACCTCCTACTCAGGATTTTTTTGCAATCTTTCAGCTATAGCCTTCCTTCTTTTTCTTACAATTGAGACGCGAACTGTGGTCTTTTGCTACGATCTTCAAAGAGAGAGAAGTCTCCACGCTGGCTATCTCACGAAAGCGCACCTCTGAGGGTAAATCATTGCCAGTCAAGGCACTCATATCGTAAACTAACATCAAGGCAGATTCTGTTGCGATGTCTACAACCGGAGGCAATGCAGAGATTATCGCGAAGAAAGGCGATGTCATACTTCAACTAGGCAAAGTCGGAGTCAGAGAATGTGTGCGTAAGATCCTCGTCTCATCCATGGTTCTCAGCCTTGCTTCACCAGTCTTTGCCACCATGTTCGATGGTCGTTTCTCTGAGGGCCAGAATCTTTTGCCGACTTCGCCGTACACAGTTCCGCTTCCGGACGACGATCCTCAGTGCATCATCATGATCTGCAAGATCGGACACATGCAGACGTCGCAACTTCCGACCGCGCTCACCGCCATGGCCTTCTTTAAACTTGCGCTTGTGTGTAAAAAGTACGATTGCGTGGATGTGGTTCGTACATGGGCTATAATCTGGGTTGCTGAACTACTTGAGAACCCTGCAACTCAAGATTTCGAGAAGATAGCTCTCGCGATACATCTCCTTAATCTACCGAACGAATTCTTCAAAGTTTCTCAGAGCTTGATTCGCGATCAGTCAGCAACGTTCAGTATCATTAAAGCTATGGGTGGCCAAGAGTGTCTACCCTGGACAGTATACCAGTGTGTACTCCTTGGTCAAATGACATATCGGCAGGAAATCAGCAAGGCATTCGGTTCGATCGTCACAGGAAGAGAGAGGTGCAGTGCATCGAAACAGTCCATCTGTCTTTTCTTCCACAGTCTCAAAGATGACAACACATGGCCAATCAACGATGACTCAGTACCGACCATCAAGTCCAGGCTTAAGAGTGTTCGCGAAGTTGTCTTCCCTGTCAACCGCACCCCATGCTCAAGCCACAGTTATATCATCTGTACTTGCAAGACTGTTAGCTGCATAAAGAGCAATCTTGTATCTGAGCTCGACAAGATCTATAATACGGTACAGGGTCTTTGTCTGTATTGTGTTCGACACAAGGCCCTTGGAGAAAGAAAGCAAGGTCAAATGCGGCTCCCATCTGGCAACTAGAGCTATGGTATATCTTTGACCGTCTTACGAACATCGCCTCAGTACGCGCATGAAATGTTCGGGGTCTGAAGGGCGCAGCCATGGAAGTTTCGGTATCCCTCTGCATCATGTGGTTCACATGGTCCAGAGCCGCAGAACTTGGCGTAGTTCGACACGTTACTTATGTTGGGCGACAGGGTGGAAGGGTTTCAACAACTGGCGCGAGATCAACTCTTTCTTCCTGTATGCACGCACACTACGTCCATCCTGAATGCAGTGCCATGTATACACGAAGCTAAACAAACTATATAAAGAAAATGTTCTTACATGTTCGTGGTCCTTACTAGATCGTCATATATTTCCCAACTATTTCTTTGCGATACTCAGCTCTCGACTTCATATCCTAGCGTCTGAAGAGGAAGGTGCGGCAACGGTGACGCATCAATGTGTTGTTGAGGACAGGGCCAATCCGGTAATGTTCTGAGTAGACGCTGGATTGGCCGGTAGAATCGTCTCGAGCATTTGCACCATGGCCTATGTGGCGATGGAGATAAGCAATGGCATAACTTACACGCATGATGGCTGCATGGTGGCGGACTGAAGTAGAACGATATCTTCATCGAAAACAATTTAGGCGCGCAAAGGTCTATATGTGCTGCTTCTGAGATCCTCCCGTTTCAGTCGCGGAAAGATAAACCAGCCTGTCAATTGCAAGTCTGTTTACCAGGACTAGCTCTGACTCTTCCGGAATATGGCGCTATTCCGGACTTCATGGGTGATGTGTAATGCTGCCGAAAGCGCTAAGCTGGGTTCAGCGGAGATGGCGCGCGAGCTTGTGGGTATATCGCGGGAGATCGACAGGAGCGACCAGCGTTCGCATTCACGATATCGGACTTCGGTGTCGTGATGTAAGGAGAGATTGGTTCTGGTTTTGGCAGACTCTTGGGAGGTTGTCAAGGAGAGTATCACGGCTTGGTGATGTCAGATCGGTCATTCTTGTCTTCCTGCTTGCTTACAAATTTCATCATTCGAGTATGCAATGACACCGGATCCGTTCTCATACTCAGGACACAAACATACTGTGGTTTCGAAACTGATGATGAGAGCGAATCGAAACGCTCCCATACCCTGAGTACGACAGACTGCGAGCGACATCCTAGTCCAATCGCCGACTAGCGCATCGGCAAAACTCGCTGCTCCCAGGTGCCTAAACTTCCTTACACTTCCATATCCGAGAACTCCCTCCTCAACACCGTGTGCTTACAGAATTCTGACATATCCATGCCAGCACTTCTGGCTAAACGAAATAAGCTCCAAGTCCGTCCAACGTCTGATCTCTTGGTCCTTCGTATCCCTACCGGTCAATGATTCGCCATGTTTCTTGTGATTCGTCACGTGGCGCATCTGCCCTAGTAAATCCATGCATAATTGTACCACACCTCAGCTCTTAGCATGATTCGGTATATGCGCGACTTCCCATGCTGTTAAGGCCCAACGTTCGATATTAAGTACAAGGTCACGCCGTGTGCTGATAGAGTATTCTCGCCCCGTTTATTCGCCAACCTCGGGTATTTAGACTTCGTTTTCCTCGAACTGGCAAGCGAGCTTGTACCCGTTATCACGCGGAGGGGATCCGAAATTGATTTCCTGGGGAAACTAATATATCCTGCAGCATACTTGGGGTAGCTTTCGCAAGGGCGTGTCTCTTTCCGACCAAGAAGATCAGTTTCTGGTTGTGAAGAGGCAGCGTAGTGGATTTGCAAAGTTAGCTCTTTGTTGGATAGCGCAGCGCGTTGCGTATGGGTTGTGCGACGGCCGATCAATATAAAGGGTCTGGGTACTTCTTCTCTCCAGAGTAGGTTTCATTTCGCTACGATACTACCGACAGAAAGCTTGCATCTCGTCTCTCTTCTCTCGGAACGCAAAGCAACATCCTCGCATCATGTTCGCCAACATTCCAACTACGCTTCTCCTTCTCGTTGCCTCTTTCGCTCTACCTACGTGCGCTGGTATCCAACAAACTGACTTCAGTGGCATTGGTCACATCTACGTCCTAGCCTCTGACAACTGGAGTACGGCAACCCCAGAGTCTAGTGTGGGTTGTCTAGATGCACACGGAAGATTTGTCTACGACAGCGGAAGTGCGAAAGAATGCGGTATATTTGAGCGCCTAGATGACTACCCTTATACTCTCAGCACTCAAAATGGAAACTGCACGTTCCAAGACGATAGCCAAGAGGAGAACGTTGATAGTCACTACGGGAAGGGGGATTATGCGTGGACATGTAAGGAACGCAATGTTGACATTTATGACGAGCTATACACAATAGTACGTATCGTTCCCCATTCGACTCGTCGAAAGACCTTGCTGATGCGTATATAGACAGGATTTCCATACGTCTTCCTCTGCTTCGGCGATATAGCTTGCTTCTACGACGCCAAGCGCACCCCTGCCGCCAACGAATCGCTCCCACTATGGCAGTTTCGCTGGGGGTCACAGCAGATGGGCATCACGCCAGGACATATTCAGCTACAGCTAATGTGGAAGAAACTCGGTGATTTACCCAAGAGGGAGAAGGCGAGCGATATACCGGGTCCGAGAGTACAAATTGGTGAGGGTTCGCAGATGCCGTTGTTGGGTAAGAAGTCGAATGTGTAGAGGGGTTCAGCTCATGCACACTAGAAGACGTAATCGATGGAGGTATTGATTCATGACATCCATTTCACTTGGCTGCGAACTGAAGATGTTGTGTTCGCCAAGTCTATGCTGTGTGATGTGCTACACACCTGGCGGTAGGTGCAGGTCGTACCGCATATGCAATCAAATCGGCGTGCGATAGTAGACTGCAGGCTCACTTAGCAATTTCGTCACTCTTGTGTTTCAGATGGATACATCGCATGGGTGGTGCCAAAGTCTTGGAGGCAACCTCCAGACCACGTAAGGGGGTTTAAACGTCTGGCATAAGGAGGAGTGAGTTGCATTATACTACTAAACATTAATCTTATATTCCAACTGCATGCAGCTTTTGGGCCTCTACCACAATATCGCCCTTCGCATCGACCTTGCGCATGATTATTAGATAGGCGCTTAGAAGCAGCTGCAGAGACGGAGAGAACCGCTATATATCAACAGACCAGTCTTGAAATCCTGATACAACCGACCGAATCTAGCGTAGTAAAACTACGTGGAGGTCGATGTCATAGTCAAGGGAGTCAATGTTTACTTCAAAGAATCGGTGAGTGTTTTGTGGAACCAGAAAGAATACAAATACGTACCTGACCCGGCAGGCTATTGTTAGGGTCATGAGGGGTAGTCTCGAGCTTGACGGCGCCGTTGAACTCGGGAGCTTTTGGATCCGCATGATGGCATATGTAGGAGCCGTATGTGCCAGCCAGGGCAGGAGGGACATTGTGAACATCACCGCAGCCGACAGTGAAGACGGGTTGCTCGCCTAACATCAAGCCACAACCCATGTCCCGTTACTTGTCAGCCTAGTTCTTGAAGTATAATCCAGTGTATATGACACACTTTCCAGAAGTCGCATTCGATGGGTTCGACGCAGATCGTGATAGACTAGATGTTAGCGTTGTCACTACGACACACCAGTCACTATCAAATAAGAATTGACGAGGTTGCATACAGCGGATTACACGTGGAAGTCTTCTTGTTCATGAGGAGGAATGTGGCCTTCGAGGCGTAGCCCGGCTGGGAGTAAACTGCGCCGACATCGCGGACATCGTCGTTGTTCACCATGCCGATGTGCAGACTGGGAGCCGCAAATATCATGCCAATGGCGAAGGTAATGACAAAGAGAAACCGTTGGAAGCTCAGGACTGGAATAGCTGGCGACCTTTTCTTGAGTAAGGAGGTGAGAAATGGTAGTCTGAATGCGTGCTTTTTGGGAGATTGAATCAAGGAATTCTGCGAGTCAGGGTTGCGATAGTGTGGAAGTACCTAGGTATATGTTTAGCGGCACGCCAACGCAGGTTTTTATATGCCCACGAGCATGACACGGACCAAGCTCGATGCTCTCGTGGTCAATAGCAAGGAAAAATGCAAGATGTAACAGTGAATGTTTCCAGGTTCGACCTTCTCTTCACGTGGGTGCCACACAAGGACAGCAGAGTGGCCCAAAGTGCACTTTCCCCTCTGGATGTGTGGAGAAGCAGTAAGGTAACGATCCACGTATAGGTATGGCGCCACGGCTGGAACGCGCATGACGAACTTCGTAACCTGCTTCGAGAAAACCTTAACGTTATAACTTTTGAGAACAAGTATACACTAGAATATACAGTAGTGACTGAATCTCTAAGAGAGTCTCGGTCGGATGAAAAGCAGTTGATCATAACGGCACTCAATTGTATATCATGTTTCTGTCTTGAAGAACAACCGCGATCATTTGCGCCTTGTTTGTGATATGGCTTGTGCATGAATTTTCTCGGCAGTACGTAACAAATCGAAGCATCACCGCTTGAGCACAATCATAAGACGATACATATCAGTTCTCTGCTCTGCGGTCACAACAAGTACTCAAGCGACCGCTGCGCTCTGTAATCGCAAGATAGCGACAGTGCGTCCATCAGCTCGGGCTCAGAAGACAACAGCCCGCTGGAGAATGGTACGAAAGAGAGCTCAAGTACGAGCGTGCCGATGTCAAGATGTGCTTTCTTGCGCAAACAAAATGGTGTCAACATCGCGGCTTTGCACATCAATAGCGGCATTTTCGTCTCGTGTAAACAACGGGATGTAGATAGAGGGACGAGACATGTGTATAGACGCGTTCTTGATTGAGTTTGCATAGTACTGCTTCTACTCGATAACTACCGCTCCAAGAACTCCCTTACATGGTTCTCTATAAGATTTGGATTGATGCCTGCGGTACCATATCCGTATTGTGAAGTCACAATGTACCTACTGCCGTTCTAGCTGCCAGCAGCCAATCTCCAGCAAATATTGATTAGTGCCGCCGTGGCAGTAACATGCGCAGCAGTCCTCGGCAGAGCCACATTGCCCAAATAAGCAGGGTAATGCACAAGCAACTTAGCAATAACATGGTAGCCCAGTAAGTTGACTACCTGTGCATCTCGCGGCGCGAGAACCTGTGCGAGCGCAGCAGCAAGTGCAAATGCTATAATCACAACTTCATTAGCAACTTTCTTTATTTCCAAAGTCGAGGGTGTTATCCAAGTACTAGCTTACCTGGAAAGTTCTCCATAAGCGCATAATGCGCACTCCTCATCCTCAACGGTAACCCATCCAGCTTGTGGACATGTTTCCTCGAATGCTCCATGTCCAGGCCTTCTTCTCGTCCCATGGCTTGCCCTGCGGCGGAAATAGCGCCCGAGGCGCCAAATGTCCAGAATAGATATAGGGCTGAAAGTGCGGGGATTGCGCGACCGGATGTTATCGCTGTTGTCTGGAGGGACCCATTAGTATTACATGGAGGGGAAGGTAGGAATAAGAAAGATGATAGAGACGTACAGTAACCCCAGGAATCAACTTGATGAGAGCATGAACTAGTGATTGAATCACGCTGTCAGGTTTCGTGAGGAATGAGCTTTGCAATAATGGTTAGTTTGAAGCCAGGCTTGACAAGTGCGCTTCCGATAAAAGTTGGGAAGACTGGACGTACGTGACAGGTATAGCAGCAAGGTACACAGGCGCAAAACCCGCGATCATCGCACCTGAGAGATTGACACTACATGTTATTAGCAATCGTTCCATCGTCTAAAAGCATAATGGAGAATACACACATGCCATTCTCGGCCACAACGCGCTTAGCCTGCTCTTTCTTTTCGTCCGCCATATTGTCAGGTTTATGTTCGTACATGAAAAAATATACCGGGAAGAAGTTGCAAGTCTATAAGCGCATGCAAAAGATACGATCTACCTAACTATATATGTTGCGCAAACAATGCCTATTGTCGTATCTAGGCTGGGCAATCGATGACGGGATGAACCGCGGCGCAGGGGTGGAGGTGTAGCGGAACTATATCCTCGTCTGACAATTGGCCGATGGACCTGCCACACCCGGTTAACCTGTATGCCCGTAATTGAATGGCAGTAGCCGCCGTATGTGCGGGGGTGATCATCTCTCGATGCAGGGTATTTGGAAGCATTAATGTGAATGAAATCGAAACACGGATGCGTATCTAGGTACCATGTTCAACGATGAACAACAGGATGCTCTTCTGTGGACAGGATTGCTCGGTCAGAGCCGGACAACTTGTTGGATAGGGTCGGCATATCTTTCTCTAGTTTCACATGCCGGAATGATCTTGAATTCCCGAAAGCCTTTGTAGAAAAAAGAAAGGGAAATGGTCTAGACCTGCGTTCTATGCAACTTGTAGTTCTGGCCAGCAAAAGAAAACGCCTCGCGAAACCCTCATACACCATACCCAACAGCCAACCCAACAGCCAACCTCACATCTTCCCGCTCAATTCTCAACTCCGTCGCCTCATCGAACTGCGCAGTCCTCCGATGTTTCAACACCATCTTCCTCGCACGAATAATAAAATGTTCGATTACCGCATTTTCGAGCTCTTCTCCAAAGGGATTCACATCATGAACCAACATGATAAGTTGCGCACGAGTGATGCTACGTGAGCGCGTTGCACCGGCTGGCGTTAGTGACCAGCTCTCAGACACGAGATCCCAGGTTCCTACCCAGAGGTCGGTTACGAGAGTATCGATGTTGGCGGCAAGGGTGGCCGAAGCTGAGAGGGTACGTGATGATGAGGAGGGTGATTGGCGGCGATGTCGGCAGGACCGTACGTCGTGGGGGTGAGGTGGTAGAGTGTCGGACGAGTCTAAGGAGAATGGTGATGATGAAGAGCGGGACGGGGAAGTGAATGGTGTACGGCGGCGGACACGACCACCCTTCTCCTGTCTAATCCTCTGCTGCCCACGCAAACCGCCGTCTCCAGCCTTTTCCTCCCCATTGTCATCATCTCTATCCTCTCCACTATCACTTTCCTCTGAACCATCAACATTAGCATTATACAGCACAGCCCTGCAGCTCGGACAGGCACTACTAGCCGCACTGTTCGATCTCAGCCACTGCAAGAGACACGTTTTACCAAACACGCACTGGCACTGTGGGTGTGCGGTGATCTGGACGGCTTCGTGGCGATCGGTGCAACGTTGACGACAGATTGAGCATACAACCTCTTCGAGACTTGCTGGCGTGTGGATGTGGTCTTTGATGAAGAGGGCGCGGGTTGTTGAGTCGGGATGGCAAGGCATGGTTTAGTGATTAGAGTTTGCTTGGGGAGTGATGCGTTCGGAGATTCTGATACCTTACTGTTCTGACTATCCTTCCCAGCGGTCGACTATCGGGATACATTTGTATATCTCTCTCTGGTGGTCCGGTCTAAGACTTCCGATACCTGGAGGGACATGTCTGGTTGTATCTTGGATGGCGACAATGAAATACAGTAACGTGACCATGGGAGTTTTGAGACATGTTCGACCAACGACTCTATCAAAAGTGTGTTGCAAAATGTTAGCTCCAGTCTCAAGAGCAAGCGCTCGTAAACTCGGACAATACATTTCCCTATCCTTGACACAACGGACTAAGAGTACGTACAAGGACAAATATTATTTGGATTCGCTATTATGGTCATGATATCATCGCTTTTCGTGTATAGAAAAAACTATACGAATGCCCAGACATGAGTAGAAGTTCCAAGATTGGCAGCGAACAGAGATACAAGAAAGATAGTACTCGAGCCTACACACAGTGCGAGGAAGAGAGAGAGGAAGATGCAGACGAAAGATGACGGAAGGAAAAACTAAGGCAAAAGGATTAGGAAAAGAAGAACAAGAGACAATGCAACGCCTTCCCGCGCACGCCAGGCGCTATGCAAGATATCCCAGGTAAAAATGGCCAACGTCCACTGCTGCCCTAGACAGGCCTCTCACCAACATCTTTTTGCTCTGCAGAAACAGACACAAGTACTCACATCATCGGTGTCCAAGTCAGAAAATCTCATGGCCTAATCCTCCGAATCCATCATCACCAACCTGCACTTTCTTTCCCTTACTCTCCATCTCACGTGGTATAGTAGGCACATTGGGCACATCCATGCCATCAGGTACAACCCTAATGGGCTCCTCACTTCTCAAGTTGTTCCTCGAAAACCTCTTCACCAGCCTCGAGCTAGTTCTTCTAGGACTCTTGCTCGCAGAGCCCTTGACGCTCTTTGCACGTTTTATGCTGCGCTCAGGCATTTCCGCTTCAGAGGCAGAGTTGGCGGAGAGGAGATCGAGGTCGCCCTCAGAATCGGTGGGTATGGGTTTGTATTCGCCGTCTGAATCGTGGGTGGTGGCCTTGCGCTTCTTTACGATTTTGCCAATGCTCAGAGGAGGCGCGGTGATCGGGGTGGTACTTCGCGATTTGCCTTCGTTTTCGCTTTGCGTGACGTCGGGTGTGGGCGGTGCGAAGTCGGGCATACGTGGGACAGGTGGTACGTCGCTGTAGAGGACGGTCTGGAGCTCCTTGCGGGCGGAGGCGAGCTTGTATTCGAGGTCTGACACGCGCTTCGAAAGCTTCCTCTGCTTGTGTAGATCTTTCTTGCTGGGGGTGTGGCGGAGAGTTGGTGTTCGTGGTGTACGGACAGGAGTCGCTGCCTCAGCCATGGCTGCGGTCAATCCAAGCTGCATCTTCTCGGCGACAACAGGCTGGGTTGGAGTACCAAACTGCCGCGACTTCATAGCGGGTCGTACGTAGACCTTTGGCGTGGGAAGTAGGCCCAGGTCCTTTGCTTCATGGTACGCGATTTCGGCGGCCTTCTTGCGCTCCTCGAGTATTTGCTGGTGCTGGTCCCTTTCTCGCTCTGCGTCTGTAGCCCCGGCTTTGCGCTTGCCCAAAACACTGCCAAACATGGATGCGAATGCACGCTGGAGGCGGGCATATGTCCCCTCCGACGAGGCAGACGCCGAAGCTTGCACAGTTGTGACGACGCCAGAATCCGCAGGTGTCGCACTACCGGAAGCCGCCCTCGAAGAGGACTTGACTAGACGAGGGACACGATTCGCAGAGCTCTTCCTCGAGGTTGGCGGCTTCGAGTTCTCCTCGTTGAACTGCTCAATCAGCGCTTCGATCCCGATATCTTTCCATAACTCGTCGGGCGGCGGTCGTATGCTACCATTCGTATTTGTGTGTTCCTTGAAGCGCGACGCGCGCGGCTGTGTCGACTCGTCGGCCTCGTCGCTCATGGCCTGAGCCGTTGCGCGCGTGACAGGCATTCGTTTATCTTGCTTGCGGCGCCAAGATGCGGTGATGTGGCTGAGGCAACAGAAGGAGGCTTGTGGAAGCGGCAAGGCGGCAGTAAAGGTGGAACAGGTTCGAAAGTGAAATGTGGGGGGATCGTGAGTATTTTGTTTGAAGCTGTTGGTTGAGACGTTGCGCTGGCTGGTTGCAGCTCCGGTCGGACATAAACAATTACAAGGTATCGTATCCGAGGTGAGGAGGACCCTGTCATGCGTGACTTGGCGTCCACTGATTGCTCGCTACAGTCCACTACGGCCCGTGACACGTTGTCTGCTGTCGTTCACCGCTTGCAAATCTAACAATGTTCTTGCCAGCAGTCGAGCCGACCAGCTTTTACAGAGGCGTTGATGAACATGTTCTGTTTGTGATATTAACGCTACTGTACACTCGATCGACCAATCTATATCAAGTTCCGTGGTACAATAATTGCACGGGATGCCTGACTATCCACGCGCTAGGAAAGCAACCATGCAATCTATCTAGGTATCCTCGTACGGCAGCCAGACGCCAAACATGCAAATGCATCTTCTACAACTTCGCCTTGGGCTTCGACTCTTCAGCCAGCGCCTCCTCGTAACAGTCATCTAGATGCTGTCTGAAGGCCTTGACAGTTTGCGGGCGCTTCAACTTCAATCTGTATTTTGTTAGCTAGTCATTCATCTTGTGTCGTGGAGCATAAAACTTACGTTGGAGTCAAAAGTTGGTTGTCAATGGTGAAGGGATCAACAAACAACCGTACAGCCTTGACACGCTCGTAGCTGTTGAACTTGTTCTTTCGTCCCACCTTCTCCAGCTCCTTGAGGACAGCCTGCTCGACCTTCTTGTTCTTGCACGCCTCCTTCAGCTTCTCAATATCACCTTCCGCAATCTTCTCGCCGAGCACCTTGGACGCAAATTGCGGGAAGATGTCTGGCGCAACACCAAAGAGAGCCACGAGGAAGGACTGATGCGAATCGCCGTGAACATAGCCAGAGGCGAGGTAGCTGCAGTTGGCAAGGTACACGTTCTCAATTCGCTCAGGTGAGATGTACTCTCCCTGTGCGAGCTTGAGGACGTTCTTCCTGCGGTCGATGATCTTGAAGCGGCCGAGTTCATCGACGGAGCAAATATCGCCAGTGTGGAACCAGCCGTCGGCATCAATAGCCTTTGCGGTCTCCTCCTCATTGCGGAAATACTCCTTGAACTGCGACGCAGAGCGGATCAGCAGCTCACCACGAGGATGCGGCTTGTCGGTGGACATGTATTCCATGTCAGGCACGTCGAGCAGAGCACACTCTGTGTTGGGCCCAACACCACCACAGTTACCAGCCGAGAAGTCACCCTCATGCTGGACCAGCGCAACGGCATACGTCTCAGTCAGACCATATCCTTGGGTGAAGTTGCTTCCAAACACGATACGGAGGAATTGGTGCAAACTAGGATCAATGGGCGCAGAGCCACTGACCAAGACTTTGCAACGATCCAGTCCGAGACCAGCGGCAACCTTCTTAGCCCAGATGCGGTCGTAAAGCATGTGTTTATTGGTCGGATTTTCCTTGTCATTAATGGCCGCCAGCTTGGTCGATACCACGTGTCGAGACAATGCTCCCTTGACGCCAGTTGCCTGGACAGTTGCTTCCTTGATCTTCGCTCCAAAGCGGTTGTACAGCCTCGGTACACCGGAGAAGATGGTCGGTCGCAGCATCTGCAAATCATCCACTAGCTCTGCAATGTTTCCGTGGAAGTAGCCAATAGCAGCGCCAGTTGCCAGCCCACTGTGTTCTCCCAAACGCTGATAGATATGCGCCAAGGGCAAGAAAGAGCAGATAATCTCGCTAGGTCCGCTACCCATGATGACCATGGATGTGCATGTTCCGGCATGCGCGTTGCGGTGGGACAGAACGACGCCCTTGGGGTTACCTGTTGTGCCGGATGTGTAGTTGATAGTGACAATGTCTTCAGGTGTAGGCGGGTTCATCGGAATCGGTTGCCTCTCGCCCAAAGCCTCCACATCGCGGATGTAGTGTATCGTAACACCTTGCTCACTAGCAAGCGAGTTCAGAAGGTCGCCCTTGGACTCTCCGGGAAGCTCGCCAGCTGAAAGTGGGTCAAGGACCACGATAATCTTCAGCGAAGGTAGTCGAGGCTTCAGCTTCAGCAGCGCGGTAACATGGTTCATTCCAGCAACCACGCAATTCAGTTCGGAGTGGTTGATGATGTATTCGGTCGTGTCCGGGCCCAGCGTATCGTAGATGGAGACCGTGAAGAGTCCTTGGGACATGCACGCCAGATCAGTGATTTGCCATTCCGGCCTGTTCTGACACCACAGTCCAATGCCGTATTTTGGCGCGGTAACGCCAGCTTGTTTGTGCAGGTGTACAAGGCCGGCGCCAAAGTTCGTTCTCCGCTTGGCGACTGTCTCGTAGTCTTCCCAAACGTAGGGGCCGAAAGTCTTGGTAACGGTGTCGTAGGGGCGGTGTCCCAGACATCTGTTCTTGGGCCATTTCGCAACGGAGTTCTCGAATGCCTCGTGTGGTGTCCTGATCTCGGGAACGAGGTGTTCTAGCAGAGGCTTGTCTGTAAATCTCCAATGCCTATAGATAGCGCTCCTTCCCTCTGCCTCTGAGCCCGGCAACGCCACACTATAAGGCTGTCCCTTCGCCGGAGGCCCGTGGAGCTCCGTCGCGCGATCAATCTGGGCATCTGTAGATCCGAACATCTTTGCTAGCTTTTACGTATGTAGAGGTTTGATTTGGTAGGTTGCGAGTGGTGGCTTTGCCCGACACGGTCAAAAGGTGTAGCTTCGTGTTGCGTGTGACGGTGATGCTAACAAGACGGCGACGAGCTTCCTACTTCATGACATGCGTCAGCAAAACTCTTGAGAAACGGGAGTCGATGGTTGAGCTCGGTGTGTCCGAGACGCCTAAGCTTCAAGCTTCCAGGTTTCAATACGCAGGTGACCTCACATACCTATAGATCTCGCCACCAACAACTCTTCTCTTCTATTTAAATAATGACCGCTAATGGAGTAAGATGCAACAAGTTCAGATAAATGCAGTCACTCAAACAGAATAGAGAGGATGAGACAGTATAACGACTCGAAAGCAAGGGTTGATCATACGGAACTAAGCCAGAACCCACAATTTCCTATGGCGCAAAACGTGCCTCGGCAAAATCATCATGACGCGCCTATCCAATTGGAACGAAGATGAAAACTGGGCCAAGGTTCATGCTCAGAGTCCAGCACCAAAAGCCAGCGTGTTACCGGTCATGTGCGCCAGATTCAGCTGAAGCCCCGAATCTGGGCGCCCGCTTTTCTCCAGACTTGCGGAAAGGCGCCTCTTTTGCATGTGTTCGCGGGGAAGGGCATGGAGCGCTTATCCTTGGCTGGTACTGAGCAGGTTGCGTTGGCGTTGGGTCAGTATACGTATTCAGTGAGACACTTTGGATGCGCAAATGCGTCATGTGTAAGATTCGCGGCTTTCACATGTTGTCCAGATGTGATCTGGGGTAAACCACGCAGTTATAATCCTTGTTCCGCGATGGAGCGGCCCTATTCTGATTGGCGGGGAAGATGCCTCGGCTTGAATTGCTGCGTGTTCGGCGGCTTCGGCCGTCGCGCACCATGGCAAGGAGAAGTATGCGACTTCGTACGAGGAAACATCGGAGAGATAATTCACAGTGCGCTGTAGGTCACGATTGGTATATGATTAAGTCCGTAAGTTCAAGTATCCTCCTTGTCGACCGTGACATAGGTAGCTCTCAGCTCTGCCATGTCCAGCGCACTACAGTTTAGGAATTGCTATACGCGTTTCTAGTGCAATATCCTCAGTATCGCACTCCTAGGTCGAACCAGACAACGAGGCAGAGGGCTCACCACTGCCGGTTTTCTCCGCATTCTCCGGTTGACCTTTCTCCTCAGGCTTCGTCGCCGACCTCTTGAACGACTGTTCAAAGTCCGCAATGATGTCGTTGATGTGTTCTGTGCCAACTGAAATACGGATAAGATCCTATACTCTGTCAGCAAGTCATGGCTCTGAAGTTGTGGGACGTTTCGCTTACCTCAGTGACACCAGAGTTGATTTTCTCTTCGTCGCTCAACTGCTCATGTGTTGTTGTCCAGGGATGAATAGCCAGCGTCTTAGAATCGCCAACATTCGCCACGTTGGATATGAGCTTGAAGTTGTCTACAACTTGACTGCCCGCTGCACCACCTCCTGTAACACCGAATGATAGTACACCCCCGAAACCCCGCGGTAGGTACTTCTTTGCTAGCTCATGTGACGGATGGCTCTCAAGACCGGGGTAAGATACCCAGCTTACGTTCTGGTTGCTCTCAAGCCACTTCGCCAGCTTGAGTGCGTTGTACGCATGTCGCTCTGCTCGCAAAGAAAGGGTTTCGACACCAAGGAGCAGCTGTTGTGCGGCGAATGGATTCAGCGCCGCACCCAAGTCTCGTTGGATCTCAACACGTGCTCGAATGATGAACGTGATGGCTCCGAATGTCTCCCAAAACTTCAGACCATGGTAACCGTCTGAAGGCTCGACCATTTGCGGAAAACGCTTGGCGTGCTTACCCCAATCGAACTTTCCACTGTCGACTATTACACCACCGATTGTAGTTCCGTGGCCTGTACGTCTTAGTGTATGTCATTCCAGAGAACCATGAATACATACCACCAATCCATTTCGTTGCAGAGTGCACAACGATGTCAGCACCGTGGTCAATAGGCCTGCAGAAGTATCCTCCAGCGCCAAATGTGTTGTCGACAATGACTGGAACACCAGCGTCGTGCGCAATCGCTACGATCTTTTCGAAATCGGGAACGTTGTACCTCGGGTTGCCGATACTTTCAAGCTTAGAGGAATTAGCCATATCTTAGGTGATTGTTTGTGTTGACTCACATATATCGCCTTAGTCTTCTCATCGATAGCAGCCTTGAAGTCATCTGGCTTGTCACCGTTGATAAACTTGGTCTGCACCCCTAAACGCGGAAAGAAGACCTTGAGCTGGTTGTATGTGCCTCCGTACAAATTCGACGTTGCGATGATGTTGTCTCCCGCATGTGCCAGAGCGGCTATGGCGATGAACTGGGCAGCTTGGCCAGATGCCGTTGCTAGTGCTGCGACACCGCCCTCGAGTGCGGCAATGCGCGCCTCGAGTACACCGACGGTGGGGTTCCCTATACGACTGTATATGTTGCCAAACTCTTTGAGGCCGAAAAGCTTCGCAGCATGGGCACTATCGTTGAAGGTGTATGACTGCTGGCATTAGCCCGGAATTCGGTTGAGGGGGGATTCGTCAATCCACAACGTACGCTGGTCGCATAAATGGGTACTGCTCGAGAATTCGTCTCTGAGTCTGGGTTATGGCCTGTATGGTTTATATCAGCATCTGCATCCCAAGAGAGGCTGGGAAATGCTTACCAGCGTGCAATTGCAGCGTCTCAAAGTTCTTGGACAATTCCTCAGCCATTGTGATTCCTAGTTCTGCAACTGTGCACTATCGTAATGTATTGAGTGGAAGAGCTCCAGATGTTTACGATAACGTTAGAGACAAGCGATGGGTAGAGACTAGAAAGAGTGGAGGACCAAAAGATCAATTGTGCCAAAAGTCGCGTCCGTCACGCCATCCACTCCCACGCGGGTGTGGATCACATTGGTATCTAGAGTTTCTTCATAGCTTCCCATCTTGGTAGTGTGCTAAAAGCCTCATTCACACTTGTGCCATGCCATCATTGGCTAGCCACAGGTAATCCAGTGTTCTTTGGGGGATAACTCGAAAACTTTTTAGGTCTCCGTTACCTATTATGTGTAAGAGATGGTCATGTTATACTGCTCGGGTGCATGGCGCGCATTCTGGTAGGACGCCGTGAAATTGCGTGATTGTGTTGATCTGTTTTGGGACGCGGGGTAGGTTGGAGGGGTACTCTGGAGACGGGATCGGACGACGCGAGTAGTACCGGTTCCGTGGAGCAAATATGGATGGAGGCAAGCATGGTAAGGTGCACACATTGCTAATCCAAAGGCATCAAAATTAAAGTTGAACAGCGCACAGTGTGCCATGGATTTAGCCTACGGAATCTATACAAATCACAAGCAGCCTCCCATGTTGCTTAACCATGCATATACTTTCTCGTCCCATTATACGGGTTTACGACTTGAAGACCGTAGGAACTAAAGCCACAGAAGCATCAATACATGCAAGGAAATGACATGGCTCTCATTTTGTTGAGCCGCATGTTCCGTTCAGTACATTCAAGCAAAATACATCATAGGAATAATAGAAAAAAGGAAAATAGCAGGCGTGATGCCTCTGCCGGGGGGTATGTGTAGTAGAGTAGTGTTTTTGTGTAACAGGAAAGTAAAAAGGAAAGGTAGTGTGCAGCTCACCAGCTGACGTATGGGTAATAAAGCATCGAAAGACAGAATACATGTATAGGATGGGAAAGATTGCCGTGGTAAGATGGCGCATTCATCGTACTCAGGGGGTATAGATGATCAGAGCACATTAGATCCGTAACAGCACACATAACGCCGTACTCCACCAACAGATCCCTATGCAACGTACACGCTGGAGGCCGTTCTTATTATAGCTACACGGCCGTCAGCAGAGAACAACTTCAGCGACCGACTGCGGGTACATGACGTTGTCGTTGCGTTCCGTCGGCACGCCGATAGCTCATGGCCGCTCGGTCCATTGGCTCCTCCATGTCCGGAGAGTCGGCGGTATCGTAGGTGTAGCCGGCACCAGACGGTTGGGGCCTGCTTCCTCCAACCATGCGTTCATTCAAGTGACGAGAATCGAATGTGCTCGAGAAAGAACGTTTGTTGCTGGATCCGGCCGACATGGGCGGAAGACCTTGTGCCTGGGGGTTGAACTTGGGCAGAGCGTAGTTTTGGGTGGAACCGTCAGAGTTGACAGACATGGCGGCTGAGAGAGCACCGGGTGGCGACTGGTAAGAAGGCGACACAGGCTCCAACTTTTCGGCGACGATGGGTCGTAAGGATGGCAGCGCCTGGTGGCTGGGTGTATGCACGGCACTAGGGGTGGATGAAGCGTACGACTGTGGAGAAGTGTGCAGGGGTTGCAGAGGCTGCAAAGGCTGGCTCATTTGCTGCGGTCGACTGTACTGATCCATAGAGTTGTACGATTGTATCGCATGACTAGGTGCGGAATATTGCTGGGGCGATGGCTGGGTCACAGACGGACGGCGGTACTCGACGGGGTGAGCATACTCAGGAGCCACCTGTTCCTGACGGGTGGGAGCAACCTGCTCATAGTGCGCCGGCTGCTGGTAGTTGGAGTATCCATACTGTTGGCTTACGGGCATTGTGGGCTGAGGTTGGTGTTGGCTTGAGTAGCTGCTGTGCTGCGAGTGTTGCGGGTGTTGCGAGTATGCAGTAGAATGCTGGGAAGGCGGCATCATCGGCGCTGCTTGTGGAGCTGAGTACTGTTGTGGGTACTGGTGTTGTTGGCTGGACGCGTACGATGGCATCTGTGTGTAGGTAGGGTTCTGGGGTGGAGGCATCTGTTGTTGATATCCACTGCTAGCAGGGTAGCCATGTGCCATCTCCTCCATGCTCGGACGGCGGGGTGGTGCCAGCGAGGGGTTGCTAGCATTGGAGAGGGAGCGAGGACGGTCATCGAGAGGGGCATTGGATGGTTGGTGGTAGTTATCGGGGGTCGTTGTACCTCGAGCGCGGTCGTAGCCACCACCTTCTTCGTCGTACTCGTCCCATTCCTTGGACGACTTGTTCTCGCGGCGCCTCATCCTCACGTCGCGACGGATACGGACACGGCAGCCCTGCTCGGCCACCTGGCGGCTCAAGGCAGTGCTCTCGGACAGTCCAGGGAATTTCTTAGCGGAGAAAACGGTGAATGGCGCCGACTTGACCTCAGCACGGTGGGTGACGAAGTGGTTGCCATCGTAGATGACGTCCGGGTCACCAGGATCCAGATCCTTGACCTCTGCCAGATTCTCGAACAGTGCAAAGCTCAAGCGGTACTTGCCCTCGTGGCGAACTGACAGGTCGGGGAAGATGAAGTAGCCCGCAGGCGTGGGGCGCTCGAGGTAGGCCATGCCCGCAACTGGGGTGCCTGTGAGGACAGGGAAGCTGGGGCCTGCGGAAGACTGGCTGCGTCCGGCTGCGATGGGGCGCGCATTCTCCAGACTGGCGTGGAGGAAGAAGTTCGCATTGTAGGCGAAAGTGATCTCCTGGTCGTTCTCGAAGACGCGAAGCTCGACAATTGGGGGAGGGTCAACTGGACGGCGATCGGCACTCGACTTTGCGCCGCTACCGCAGGCACGCGCGCGTTCAGGCTGCTGAATTACCTGCAGATTGTAGCGAATCTGCCGGCCATCCTTGGTAGTGCGAATGAACTGAGACTTGGTCTCGTTGCTGACAGCGATGGTGTTCATCATGAGTGCTACGTCTTTATGGCGAGTCAGCATGCCGCGTGGTCGTGGAGTTGGGGCGAGTCGATCTCAGGGACTGCCTCGCTCCACCCACAAGGAGGGTGCACTTACATCGGCGACCACACAATTGGTACTGTGGTTTGGGTAGGCTAGAACAACAACTACGCTCGTCTCAACCACGGTATGCACACAATCTGTCTTTGTCAGCACATGTGTTTGACAATGCCATGAGTGCATCTTGTGGATGCGGCAGGGCCACGTCGGCATTGCTGGTTGACGCGTGTCCAAGCTGTCGGCATCCCAAGAACACGGAAAAGGCGGGTTAGGAAAACTTACCAGTAGAGACGCAAGACAACAACCAAGATGATGCGCAAAGTAACAAGTTCGACAAAGGAGTAGTTTCGAAGTTGGCGGACGCGAGGGGGACGGGATGTCTTCTGCGATGTGCGGTCGATGGCTGGTGGTGCTGAGAGGGACGGGTGCTGGGGGGCCAGAAGAGAGGCGACGGCAAGGCTGGCAGGTTTTTGTCCGAAGTAAATTATGAGCGAAAGTATCCTCCTACACAGGTCGCAACTCAATGGTCCACCAGTCGTCGGAAGCCGCAATTGCGATGAGGGTGCAAGAGTCGACGATGGATATGTAAAGAACGGGGAGAGCTGAGGGCACGCGGCTATGAGAGGGGACGGCTGGGAGGCCCGCTGGGTCAGGCTCGTCTGCACCTGGGCACTGACAGTATTAGCCGGGCTGGAGCGAACAAAGGGAGTCTAGTCTGGTATGGATAGCGTGCAACCCATGAATGCTCCGCGGACGCCTCGCGCGCCCACTTGCAGCCTCTGCAGCTCTAGCAGCGAGAAGGGCATGGCGCAGTGCATCCTCGCGAGAACCATAGCTCGCCTGGATGGATGCTTCCTGAGGCCCTTGGACAAGACTTTTCTCCACACCTTTTCTCTCTGCATGCACTGCATGCGCCATCCATCAGACCATGGCTGAGAGGCACCTGTATGACTCGTACGCCTCGAAGCGAGCACCAGGCGGGAATCGAAACATATTGGCCCGCGTCTTGCCAAAGTTGCACTAACTAGCTGAGCGGCCCACCGATCACACGGTTCCAGCTCTCCCCCGGGTCATCGATGAGCAGCGACGGGGTCGCTCCATCACATCGTCCTGGGCCCTGGCGCACTGGGTGGGCAACGAGGCAAACGGCATCGTCAAGCGTCATCCTTGGCCCCTTCCACGTTTCCCACGATGCTAATTTCATCCGGCCCTCAGTTGGGACGCCTCGTTTGGGTTCAGAGCCGGTTTCTATGGTTGGCCCGCTGGCGTATGGGGATGCATGATACCGCGGGAGATACCGCACAATGCCAAGAATGTGCCGTGTGACAAAGCTGGCGCACACAACAGATTGAAATGGTCTGATGCTCATCATCCGCACATCCATGTCACTGTCCAGCTCCATGACCTCTCTGTCTTTTTCCAGCCCCGAATGTTTGTTTTGCCAGATTGCTGACCGCCCCCCCATGAACGGTTCTCCAACGGTGCTTTTTCATGCGACCGCTGCTGACAGACTGCCGACTGGTAAGCTGGAAACCAATGGCCAGCGAGGCGGATTCCAGCAGCAAGCAATGGGCAAGAAACGGCCCACTCCCAAAGGATCATCGTGGTTGACATGCCCCTGCTGCCCTTCTGCTGGATTGCGCCAAGTGGGATCCTTTACCCGTCGTTCCAGCCACCCTGATTCGCCCTCTCCACTATCGGAAGCATGCAACCCCAGTTTTCCTGTATTCCTCAACGGCCGGGATGCGCACTCTCCCGTTGAAGCCTCTCGCAGGGCCTGGGGCGATCAGATCCGCTTCACATTGTTGCTAACATCGTGAGGCCCTCTACCGTTGTGTTGAACCTTTGTGGTAGCAAGACTCTGTGTCCTTGATTGTCGATGCCCAGCTCAAACCTATGGCGATCATGTACCGCCGAATCATGCATGAGACCACCCGCTTTATCCGCAGCCTGAGCGACTCGCAAATGTAACCTGCCATTAGAGTTTGCGGAAGGCGGAGGTTTCACACTTCATTGATTGGAAGCCGCAAACCCTCCACGTGCACATGTCAAACGCTCTGCTGGATGGGGAGTGTCGCACTTGGGCCCGACAAATCTTCCAGACTTTACCAGTCGCTTTGCCCTGGCTGGACACAGCATCATCTTCTGGTCTTTGCGCTCGACCCTGATGGACATATTTGCTGAAACTTTGGTCGGATACTTTAGATGGTTTGGCTATCTGGTAATGTTGGTCTGCCCGCCGTTGCGTCTGAAGTGATCGTCTCCATACGCTTGCAGGCCTGCGCCTTCGCATGGGAAACGTTGGCACCTCGAAAACATGGCGTCGTCCCTGGATACCCTGGGCAACTATGCGGTCTCCCGCCGTAACTCTCACAAGTAGACGCGTCATGGCCATAGTCGCATATGGTTTGCAGCCTCTCGCGCATCTTCTTGCAAAGTATCTTCAGCCATCGTGAACGTCGCTGTGCCCGCTGCGAGCTGTGCTTGGTTATCGCTCAAGTTCTGTATCTTCCACTCGTTTCACTACAATACAATTGCAGCCTTGCAATGCGGCCTGCACCTTCTCTATAACACGGGAAGATCGCACGGGCTTACATGCCTCGAATTACGCTTTGTAACGGCTATCGCGCAAAGCGTCCTAGCACAGTATACCACAACTCCATGCATGAGCCCACGCCGAACTGGAGGCTGGGTGTATGCTTATGAATGACGTCTATGCTCCATCATTTACACCTCCTCTTAGGTGTACTGTCATGATATCAGACCATCTCTTGATCAATTCAACGCCCCTGAAGGTACTGCAGAGCCACGTTGCCCTAGAGCGTTCGATAGATGCAACAAGACCTAAGCAGTCGCAATGAGTCCCGTCGACTCAGTGTACTGAGCGCCCATTGAACACGAATGTCACACTGTGGAAAGCCCTGCTATGACCCTGGGTCGTCTTGATCAATCCACTGCAAGCACAGCCTTACCCCCAAATACCCATCTGTCTCAATGGCCGAGCCCTAAGGAAAGGCACCACGCATTCGAGATGCCGCACATGACGACTACTATGCATCTATATAGTCTAATATCAGTAACCACGTACATTCTTGTTCATGGCAACATACATCACATCTCACAGGGCTTACTACCTACGATGCGCTGGCATGCTGCACGCTCCTTCCGCCAAAGTTCGATGAGAGTGGAGTGCATATCAGGCGCTAAAAGGCTTGAAATAGATATACATATACATTAACAAAGGGGGGTTTCCGCCTTCTGGAAGTCCCTGGCCTTCTAGAAGACATCACCTGATCGGTGAATGATTGTGGGTGTTGAAGGCCCATTGGCATGTTGGCGCCCTTGCTTAACGCGGGAGGTTCGGCAGGTGCAGACGTTTGGTCCAGCGGCATTTTCAACGCCTGCACATATATGAGGCTTGAAATAGAAGTGCGGATGCAGATCGTTTGTTGGTATTGAGTGCGCGCTGGTCAATCAGCGTCACAGGGAGTGCAGGGCGCTAACACGAGTTCACCGCCCTGCCTATCTGGTTCGTATCGACAATTGCTTCTCATGGGGACCAAGAATATTCCAAGATATGAGCTACTGCTCCGCGGATACGGTGAAGCATACCAACTGATCTGACGTTCAAAAGATAGAACATCTAGGCCCCATACAGTTTCCATCCGCAAAGGAAGCTGTATGCATCATTAGCATGAGCAATAGTGTTGGTCGTCGACCTTGAGAAGGGAATGTATGCGTCACCCTGCGCGTCACCCTACCTGTCTGTGGCACTCTCCGCTTGGTGCCACGTCTGGTCGTTTCAACTCCGTCGTGCAACCCGTGGTTTCGGATTTTCACCCCTATCTTTCTGTTCAGATCCACCATATCCACTCGTACCGTGGAGTGCTCCCAGCTTCAGTCGTCTCATCGTGACTTGCCTTAGTCTTGGTTTATTGTTGCTTGATCATCGAAATGTAATCTCTTTCCTGCCGCTCTCTACCGGTACAAGTGTCGTTATCACCGACTCTAATTCGAAGAGTTTACAGATCCCGTTCCATCTGCTTGTCACGTATGAAGCGTCGATGGAAGAGCTTCAGTCCATGTTTTTACTCCTTCGCAACTCGAGCATCATAAGAGAGGTTTGCTTTGGAAGCTTTGTCTTTCATAAGCACTCGCCAATTTACTCGATTATCGTCTCATTTCCTCCAGAGAAGACACACCCTTGAGCTGCGATCACATCACCTATATCACTCTTTGCCATCCTACAAGCTTCAAAGAACGAGGTAAACACCTTCGGTTCAACCTTGAGTTTTCTACCGGTTTTCCTTCATAGCTTTACAATCGATCAGCCTCAGGTCCTGTTGATCGCAACGAATCTAATGTACTAACTTTCTTCTACAGTAAATGCGACAAGCCAATCATAGACAAATACCATTTGCACAGCCTCCTGTACACCAGATAAAAGAAGTGACAGAATTGGTCTTGCAGTCCACTGACACGTTCTTGCGGACTCCAGACCATGGCTCGGGATAGACCGTACAGTAGCGGCCTTCACAGGTTGGTGCTGGTGCCGCAACTGCACTCGTGGCGATGACGGCTAGGATGGTGAAAGCAAGGCTGATGAGCTTCATGCTGAGGTCTTGGGGCTGTTGGAGAGGAGTGGAAATATACTTCTGTTGTTAAATTTGTACAGTCTTGAGGTGATCAGGAGCTTGAGTGATGGGTAAGGAAGTATAGAAGAGAGGTGATGACGATAAGTGGCTTTCTTATATACACATTTCCATAGCATCTAGGTAAGCTGACCTTTCGCTCTGTGGGATACCTAACCCACCTACTGACGACTCATCAGTACGTTCCTAAATATCGAATCTGCATGGATCCGGATAATCACACACTCTTCACATGCGTTGCGTGCGGCGTTGTGGTCCTCCAGATGTTGTCGACACAGACCATCACCTCGCACATGACCCTTGATTCGCTGCTGCGTCTGATTCCTTGTTGGATACAGCGTACACGTATCTAGAGGGTGGAATACGAGGATCTAGACTACTGTCTAGTCGCCGCCCTCATGCCCAATTAGTTGGAGCGATGCGGCGTAGGTGGTTCTCATATGCGTTTGTTGAACGTCGGCAATGGCGCTTATGATTCGAGTGTGTGGTCACACCTCTTCAATTGCGGCGTATCATCTCCGGAGAGGTCATTGTATCGCAGTTGGATGTGAAGTTTGAATGACGGCTAATCAGTGGTTCGTATGCGGATCCCCCTTGCATGATGCGGCACGTACCTTGCACCACTTGTGAATCACCACGACAGCTGAGATGCGAGAGTAGAGGTAGAGAGAAGGAAAAGGAAGCCTGTCAAAGTTGAATGTGTACTAACATGTGTTGAAAAAGTATCTGCTTTTAAGCGAAAAGTACGCAGATTGATTACTGTTTCAACCCTGCGTCAAGATGCATATCTCGTCTTACGCTGTCCCGCCTTCCTTGAGTTCCATCTCTTCCCTTAACCTCGACCTCATCACTAACATTGCCCCTATCGTCAACAATCTCCTCCGCCGCTCCCTCACTTCCCATTGCCATCTCCTCATCCATCCAATCTCGATACCTAAACCCATCTTCCAGCCTCTCTGCCCTCTCCACATCCACGTCCCCTTGTAGCCCCCCATCCGTCAATCTCCTCAAACCAACCCCCCACCCCTCCATCATCGCATCCTCAAACCCAAATTTCCCCCGCCCCTTCCTCTTAACAAACATTTGCGTAGCCCTCTCCCACCCAACATTCCATCCATCCACATCTTTGACTCCCGATACCCAACTCGTTCCGTCTTCTCCCCTGCCGTCAACATTTTTTGGCACAGTATCCTCTGACGTATTTGGTCGCGACAAGATTTCTTGCATGCGCTCGCGGTATGCGGCGCCGGAGACGAGGAATGGGGCGAATGCTGTTGTGGGAGCGTTGGGTGCGGGAGGAAATGTAGAAGGTGGGTTAGTTGGGAGAGGTGCTCTGTGAATGAGACCTGTGTGAGTGGGTGTGGGGATTGTTGGTGATGGTGTTGTGAGATTGGTGAAGATGTGGGAGATACAGGAGAATGCCATTCTCGTGGGTTTGGCTTTGGTCTTTAGGGTGAAGTATGAATGTCTGAGTGGTATTCTTTTATTGGAAGGGAAGTTTGATTTCGGGATATGATGACAGATAGCGGGTGGTTTGCTTCTAACTCGGTACCTTTCTTTTCCACACATAGTAGGATACATACTTAGCCTAGGATGTTATGTGAAGTGATCTCGTTCGTAAATTTGTTTAATTGTTTGTTAAACGATATGGGGCTATGCTTTGTTGCTATCTGGATGTGTCTGAGACTTGTTCGTTGTTAGCATGCGAGACAAAAAGACATTGATCAGTTGCGGAAAGTGAAACACAATTCGTTGTAGCTCTTCCAAGTCGTGTTATGTCTCAGGTTAACGTGTTTTATAAGCGAGTCGTCCTTACAAGCGAGTCGTCCACCCCACCAACTTTGATCACCTTTGAAGATCAAATCAGTTATGCCTCAACGCCAACAAGCTCTATTGCGCTCATCTGAAGCTGATATGCAGCTTACTATATCATCTCTTAATAGCCACCAGATCAAGACTGAGAGAGCTGCTGCTCGCGCGTTTAACGTCCCTCGAATGACGCTACGCGACCGACGCGCTGGCAGGCTTGCACGACGCGATTGCCAGCCCAACTCAAAGAAGCTTACCCAGCTAGAGGAGGAGGTAATTATTAGACATATACTCGACCTTGATCAGCGAGGATTTGGGCCTACGTATACAGCTGCGCGCGATATGGCTAATAAGCTGCTTGCTGCGCGTGGCGCAGGTCGCGTTGGCGTCCACTGGCCGCGCAACTTTGTCAAGCGTACAGACAGTCTTATGACGCGTTTTAATCGATCGTACGATAGGCAGAGAGCTCTATGCGAGGATCCTGTGCTAATCAGCCGCTGGTTTAAGCTGGTAGAGGAGACAAAGGCCAAGTACGGCATCTGTGATGAGGACGTCTACAACTTTGACGAGGCTGGCTTTATGATGGGCAAGATCCAGACTCAGCTAGTTATCACAGGGTCAGAGAGGAGAGGCAGGCCAAAGACTATCCAGCCTGGCAACCGCGAGTGGGTGACGGTAATTGCTGCAATCAACGCTGCTGGCTGGACAATCCCACCGTTCCTCATCTTTGCTGGCAAGTATCACCTGTCAGCCTGGTACGAGGAGGATATCCCACGCGACTGGGCTATCGCAGTTAGCGACAACGGCTGGACAACTAACGAGATAGGAGTAGAGTGGCTAAAGCACTTTATTAAGCATACTGAGGGCAAGGTAGTTGGAGCACGCCGCCTGCTTATCCTTGACGGCCACGAGAGCCACCAGTCTCTTGAGTTTCAAGAGCTCTGCAAGGAGAGCAATATCTACACGCTCTGCATGCCAGCTCACTCATCTCACCTACTGCAGCCTCTTGACGTAGGCTGCTTCTCGCCTATGAAGCGCGTACAGCCGTGAGATTGAGGCTCTAATGCGCTACAATATCAACCATATCACCAAGCTCGAATTCCTGCTAGCCTTTAAGGCAGCCTTTGATCGATCGTTCACCTTAGCCAATATCTGCTCAGCTTTTCGAGGCGCAGGCCTAGCCCCTCTCCAGCCAGACGCTGTTCTATCAAAGCTCAACGTGCAGCTGCGTACGCCTACTCCACCAGCTGCTCTCGCAAGTCTCCCTGGGAGGCTCGTACACAAGCAACGTACGTGAGCTTGAGGCTCAATCAACGTTAATACGTGATCGCGTGCGGCAGCATAAGAGCTCATCACCAGCCTCAATTATTGAGGCGATTAACCAGCTAAAAGGGGGCTGAGGTGATGATGCTCTCAGCCGAGCTTATGCGCGATCAGATTACCTGCCTTGAGAGAGCCAACGAGGCAGCAACTAAGCGTAGGCAGCGCAAAAGAAACGGATACAGAAGCGTGGGACCTTAACAAAGGGAGAGGAGAGGATATACTAGCTCAAAGGAGGCTGACCAGCAGATTGAGCGTGAACAGCGTCAAGGTGGTGAGCGATCAGGCCTTAGCCGCCAGGCTATTGCGCGCTGCAGGAGGTGCAGGAGACTGGGCACAACTCACGAACGTGCAAAAAGGATGCTGTAGATACTATTTAATCTACTATATTAATCGCTTTGTTCTACCTTATTACGTTGTTGCGTTGCGTAGCTTTGAAGGTGATCAAAGTTAGTGGGGTGGACGACTCGCTTGTAAGGACGACTCGCTTATAAAACACGTTACCTATAGGTAAGTTTCAGATAGAGTATTCACCGGTAAATAATGATGTGGAAGAAGGGAAGACATGTATGATCTAGAATCAGACGTCAAGGTCTAGACTCAATTCGGCTCGTATGGATGGATGTCAGGATCAACAATTCAGCAAGCATCGGAATGCAGTGCATTATTTGGCTAGTCCTGTCGTATATTGCCTATATTTGACGTCAGTTGATAGAACATCCACATAAAAAAAGAAACTGAAATCACAGCGTCACGAATCAAACTAGTTCAAGACTAAATCTTGAGGTAGAGGTTTTTGTTCTTTGACTTTGAATTGGTATGTCATCGTGAGTACCCATTATCTTATTATTTACAATGAAGTCGTGTAGTAAGGATATGCTGATCCACCATATGCATATCCGCTCATTCAAGAGCTTGGATACATTTAAAGGCCCCCAAAACTGTCGAGGCGAATCCGCACTTACAAGAAGTAAGCAGCAGCACCAAGGACAGCAGCGACCTTGCCAGCGCCAAGAGCGACAGCGGCGTTAGAGGTTTGCTCAGGAAGAGCGCTGGAAGTGCCAGCGGCAGACTCAGCAGCGTCGCCACTAGCAGTGACGGTAGAGGTGCCAGAAACGGTCTCGGCGGGGGCAGTAGTGGGCTCAGCAACGCCAGCAGGGCAGTGCCAGTGGTCACCGTGGGGCTCGCAAGTGCTGGCAGTAGCCTCGTGGTCGTGGTCATCCTCATCGTCGTGGCTGTGGGATGCAGAGGGAGTGACCAAGGTAGATCCAGAGGTTACGACTGTGATGGTGGTAGAGGCGATAGTAGAGGTGAGGGTAGAAGCACCAGTCTCCTCGGCGGCCTCCTCAGCAGAGTGGGAAGCGAGTTGTTCTGGAGTTGGGGGAGTAGTAGGTTCTGGAACACCGTCGGCGCAGTGCCTGGATACTGTCAGTTTGAACCCATGCGGAAAAGGATACATTCAGATCGTCTTACCAGTGATCGCCATGGGGCTCGCAATCACCGCCGGCAGTCACAGAGACATTGTCCTGTGCTACAACAGCGACAGCGGCAGTGAGAAGAGTAATGACCGAAAACCTCATATTGATTGATTTGTAGAAACGACCGTAGATGTCTTGTCAAGTTAGGTGTGAGAGGTAACGAGGGTGTTACGAGGACTCGAATAGGATGTTTCGTGAGAGGTAGTAGGGTAAAGAAGTCAAGGCAGTACCTACAGGCTGGAAGTTTTATATTGCTCACCGTCGGGTCACTGCTGCGTAGCATACACGTACATGTCTGGGCACCGAGCCAAGGCGGCGGGTTGCCTTGGCGATGGACATTGCGGTACTCAGTTTCCGTAAAAGAAGGCAAAAACTTGTATCCCAAGGTAGATGATTGGTATTAAATGGCCCTGAGTAGGCGGTTTTACCGAGTGTGACGTTGGAGTAGCGTGCAAGAGCCTGTTGGGGGTGGCTTCGATGCTTGGCACGTGGGATGTGGATGTGGTTGTGGAGTTTGTGTGCACCGAATAGGCAAACTGTCCGATCATTCGTTGAAGATACGCAAGCAGACATTTCAGATCAATCTAAGGATCCGCTCGTGTCAGCTCGAAATAATGGACATACCTCAGTGCTAAGCGTGGGGAGTGTTGTAGGACAGATCGCGAATGCAATAGTATCAGTATGCAGACTCACGAAACCGAAGGTTAGGCGAAAGTCGAACCAACTTTAGACTTCCATGTACTGAGAAAAACATTAGAACTAACGCAGGTACCATCCACGGCCATCAATGTATCCGCTTACTTATCGAATCAGCTGTCTGCTCGCGGTCAGTCTCGTGGAGTCGTTTGCCACATCAAACAAGTCCCATAGCCTCAGCATCGGGCATACCAGTTTCGCCATAGCTTAAGTAGGCGTATGTATTGGCGCGCCCGACAAGATCGGCATGATACTCGTGTCTACACGCTGGGCCGGTGGCTTCATGGACCGATATTTTCTCGTTGGCGAATTCTCTCCCATCGTTCGGTATCTTGGGCCCCATGCCGATGCAATGCAATGCAGACTTCCGATAGATATATGCTCGAGCGTTATCTTGAGAGTGGGAACATTGCAAACTTATTCTTCGTACGGCTTGATATGGTTTAAGGTAATCAGGTTCCTCAAGAAGCGCGACTTTGTAACAAAGACAGCCACTTTCTTTCAATCCAAGAGATTCTCCAGCCCACGAGTGGCTTGTTGCTTTTTTCGCTGGCATTGATGTAAATCAAGTCACTTGCCAGCGGGTACTATTTCGCAGTGCAGGAAGTTGGTTCATGCCTAAGTATCGATCGCTTCGACGAAGGAGTTCCCTAGAGGTCGTTGGAGAACCGTTCTCTAGTCCTCGTGTTCAAGAAGCACGTACGGGTACGCGCCTCCGGACTTCTACTCAACGGCGTCTTGTACTCTGAAGATCAAACCAAACCTACCGTCCAAGTAATCAACCAATAACAAGCCCATATTTCAATCCCAACGCTGTTGTGAGGATATTTTGTGTGTTTGACCCTAGAGAACATGCGATTCATTCTCGTGAAAGCGTACTCGAGCCCGCTGCTGCCAGTGATGATAAGACGATCTCGCAATGAAAGTGAGCCTCGACCAGGAGATCGCTGCCCGCTCCGCACGGGATTTACACATCAGCAGAGACTACAGTGTCCGTGCACCCAACGCCCGGAGTCACTGAACGCCCGGCACGCAACATCTACACAGTATTTCAACGCGTAACAACTCAACAACCATGCCAGGCCTGCAAGATGCGCTTACAGAGATTCGTAATTTAGACCCAGGCGATAAACTTGTCTATACAAATATTGCTCAAAAACACGGTGTTTCGCGCACCGCGGTGTGCAGGTCCCTCAGGGCGTCGCTGACCCAAACCAACGAAAGCTCACCCCACAATAAGAAGCAGACCTTGTGCAGTATACAGAAACACTGTTAGCGCGTCACTTGCTACCTACAAGAGCTATAGTACAAAATTTCGCGTCTAAAGTAGCCTAGGATCCTTGCTCTAATAGCTGGGTTACACGCTTCCTGCACCGTCACCGCGACCGACTTACCTGCCACTGGGCGACAGGTATAGACTCCAATCGCCATAACGCTGAGTCTAGATATAAGTATAAGCTTTACTTTAACCTACTGCAGCAGAAGATCACTAAGTATAACGTTAAGCTAGAGAATACGTACAATATAGATGAGAAGGGTTTCGCAATTGAGGTACTTGGAAGGTCGAAGCGCATCTTTAGTAGGCGTTAATATGAGAAGAAGGAGGTTAGGCAGGCTTGTTAAGATGGCTCACGTGAGTGGGTGAGCTTGAACAGGTATTTAACCGCTATACAAAGCTAAAGGCGCGCAGAAGTTACAGGCTTTTGATAGTAGATGGCCACGGGAGTTACCTAACGCAGGACTTCATTGGCTACTGCGATTAAAATCGAATTATACTCGCTGTGTTGCCACCTCATAGTACACAGACGCTGCAGCCGTTAGACGTAGTCTGCTTTAAGCTACTCTCCTCCGCCTACGCCTCCGAGCTCGATGACTACCTCCAGAAGTCTCAAGGCCTATCGCTATTGACGAAAGGTGACTTCTTCCACCTATTCTGGCCTGCCTGGGTGTACACATTTAAGGAAGAGCTTATACAAAACGCCTTCACTGCTACAGGGATAAGCTCGATGAACCCTGACGTTATACTAGATAGATTCCGCCACGCAACACCTAGCGACTCAGGCTCAGTTTCCTCTAGTTCTACAGCCTATTCTGCAGAGGATTAGCTTAGAGCTTGCACTACACTGCATGCAGAGGTGAAGGATCCTCGCAGTGCAGGTGCACGGAAGCTTAGCCAAACTATCTACCACCTATCGACACAGGTAGAGCTCCTTCACAACGAACTAGAAGGCTTGCGGCAGAAGCTATACCTAAAATAGAAGCGTTAGAAGCAACCTAGCAGGCAATTAGACTTGCAACAGCACTAGGAGTATCACGGCGGGGCGATGGTGTGGTCTCCTCGAGCTATTTAAGAGGCGCGCATCCGCATGGCAGTTACTAAGCAAGAGAAGGAGGAAGAAGAGCTAAGAAAGGCAGAGATGAAGGAGTTAGCAGCTGCTAATAAGCTATACAAGGAGAAGATTAAGGAAGAGAAGCGTCAAAAGCGGGCGAGGGAGAAGGAAGAGCGTGCAAAGGTTAAGGCAGAGGAACGCTAAGCAATAGACGCGCGAAAGGCTGCCAGAGCCGCTGCTAAACAGGCTCGCGACTCTGCAAAAGGTATACAACAGTCCTAAAGAGGCAAATCTACAACCTCAAAAGCTTCTGTAGTCAAACTAAAGCCTGCGCGTCGTGCTGTAGGTGCTCGTAGTCGCCCGAAGCCTGCGACGCCTCCTCCGCCCGTGCGAACCCACACTACACGTAGCAGCCGCACCGCCACCTTATATAAATGATATATATAGAGGAACTTGATCGCATATGTCTATAGAGTACTCCACCAAAGATTTTCGTAGTAATAACTCTTGTACGTGGCTCTGTAGCCTCATCTTTGTGATGGGCTTCAAGGCTCGGAGCGGGCGTCCGGTGACTCCGGGCGTTGGGTGCACGGACACTGTAATCGCGACGCCAGGCATTGTGCGGAAGGGGTTCAAAACACACGAGATGGAATGTGAATCTAGAACAAAGACAAGATGCTGACGCCGTGAGCGTTCGTGCTTGATGGTTAGTAGGTGGTGAATGTTGCATGTGGACGACCTCGGCATACTCGAGAAGCTGGGCCCTGAAAGTAGCTAGGGGCAACGGAACTACCCGAGAATGCCTACACAGCCAGATCGGAAATGAAAGTCAAACCTGTTGCTGCTCGGAACCCATAAGTCAAGGTACCTGTTCATAAACATCTACCGGCCTTCATATGACTCGGTTGCCGCTTTTGTCTGAATTCGCGGCTAGGACGTGTGCATCTTCGGCCTTCTAGGCGAGATTCCCGGTATCCACCACCGTGTAATGACAGGCACGGGACGGAGCCCCTTATTGTTCTAGCGAGTCTGATCAGTAACAGGTCAGTCAGTCCCATCTATGTAGAATAAAGAAAAATGAAAGGAACAAATATATGCAAATATCGTGTATATTGCTCGTAGTGTTCTTGTTGTGGCCTCTTTTTCGCTAACTATGCACATTACAAAGGAGATAAGGTCTACAAGTTTAACACATCATCATGAAGCTGATACACACCAGCAAAGTGAAACTAACTTCCGCGCCCGCGCGTACTAATGCAATCCGCTCTCGCCAGTCTCAGCCATGTGGTTCTGGCATTCGACCATGATCTTGACCATCTGCGAGATCTGCTCTAAGCGGCTGATGACGACCTTGTTGCCCTCGACGAAGCCATAGCAGTTGTACTTGACACCGGTCTTGGAAGAAAACTCGCGGACTAGCTCTTGGCCTCGGCGGAGGTTGTGGCGCGGTACGCGGGGGAAGAGGTGGTGGACGGCTTGGAATTGGAGACCGCCATGGAACCAATCTAACCAGGGTGGGCAATCGACATCCATGGTGGTGCGCATTTGACGTTGGGGGAAAGACTCATTGGGTCCGAGATCCGAGGTGGGCATGCCCCAGTGAGAGAGGGTGATTTGTACGTGCAAGACCATGGTGACCATGTGCGAGACGATGACGAATCCGACACGGATTGGCCAGGTAGGCAGTGTGATCCAGACGAGAAGGTAACCGAAGAGATACCAGTAGCAGCACATGAAGACAATCTCGACGTGTCGTGTCCACCACGCTGCGCCTAGCTGTGCTGCTCGTGGTGAGACGAGATGCAACCAGCCTAGGAAGTACAAGTTGAACCTAGCAAAAGCCATGATAGGGTAGTACAGGTACTTTTGGTAGGGGACCATGACATCGCATGCGGCATCCCATACAAACTGGAAGTTGTAGAAGGACGATAGAACGGACTTGATGTAGGTAGGAGAAGTGGAGAACAAGGGGATGTTCTGGATGTCCGGGTCATGCTCGGGCATGTTGGTGACAAGGTGGTGGACGTTGTGGCTGGACTTCCACCAGCCGATGCTGAGACCGCAGCAAAAGTCTGCGATGAAAGCGCCGATGAGGGTGTCGGCGACAAAGTTGCCGGTAATTCCACGATGGCCGGCATCATGTGCTGTGAACATGATCTGTTGCCAGAAAAGACCAAGGAAGATGGCAGATGTCATATACCACTTGATGTAGAGGAAACCACCAAAGGCAGCAAAGAGAAGGCCGTATCGGATCGACTCTTTGGCATACTCGGAGTAGCGACATTGGTACAGGCCTTCGTCCTTGAACTGCTGGTGGAGTAAACGGTAGTTTTGAACAATAACCTTTTGCGTCTCGACGTCGAGCGAAGGGTTATCCCGGAGGCCCTCCTCTATCTCCCTCTCTTCTTGCTCGATGGCATACTGCTCCCTGTGTCTCTTCTTCTCCTCTGCAGCGGTGATGACGGGCGTCTCAGCCTCGTCTTCGCTTGCGATAAGAGGGAGCTTCTCGGGGTCGCTTGCTGGTCGGCTGCTGGAGCGGTACACACAAGTATCCGACTTTCCGATCAACTTCTTGCTGATGATGGCTGCAGCCTTGTTTCTGTTAGCGAGGCCCAGTAGGGTTGCATGCACCGTAGTAACGGTACCTGCGACGGAGTGTGGGGTAGACCAACGGATCCCAGGTCGACGCTCCTCCCGCGACGTGACTTTTCGGACTCTGGCGCCGCGGCCAATCGCTTTCTCTCCTTGAGATTTATGTAGTAGTCCGGAGAGCGGATTGGAGGCTCAAGGTTAGCCCAGGGTAATTGGACACGACCGATGCGATGCTTTGTCATCATAAGCAGGGCCTTATTGGTGTGGTAGCTGTTGTGAGGTCAGTCTGAGGTCAATCTGTGCTTACCAAACCCTTCCGCAGCCATCCGGCGACATGGTGTGTGGACGGACTTTGCCCTTTAGGGTAGGGCTGGTAGGGTCCAAGTAGATTAAGGCTCTTCCCGCAGTACATACATATTGATCTCGTCCGTCGCATCTCTTCCAACCATGTGCAGGATAGCGAGACGACCACCCGGGTGCCTATCGATCCATTCTCCGAGATGCAGGACATAGCCCTCGTGAATTACGATTGGCTCGCCTTGCGCAATCTGGCGCTCGATTTCGGCGGGCGCGATTATCCTGTGTCGCGACATGGTATTTGCTGGCGCTGGTTGTAAGAGGTGAGGGTTGGCGGGCGTGTTAATCAGCGGGACGCAGGATATATACGAAAGGCAGGAGCGGCAGATGGAATCTCCTCTGGCGAACCTGGGTACTTTTTGGGGAGATTTCCCGCCTACGCCGTGTGCACGGTTCACGGCCCTGGCGAAATCTTGGAGCGTTTGCTTGCGAAGGGGGCGGAGCTCGTCTGGTACGTCACTTTGGTGGCACGTTTACGCACGCGAGAACCGGAGGTGCCAACGACTGGAAGGCCAACAAAGGAGACACCCAACGGTACCGCATGGTGGGCCGGCCCAAGGCTTGTAGCTTGCTATTCTTCCGCTACTGTGCCTACGCTTAGCCTGGCTGGTTCAAGCGCTGCTGGACCCTGAGAGGGACGGGAGATCAATCTCGCAGCGCAACGTATAGATTGACCGTGTCTCTGCACGAGAAATAGGGGAGCGGGCAACCACTTGCTTTGCTCCAGCTGCCCACGGACCCGTTATAGGCAGGTGCAACACAGGACAATCCTCTTAATGCACGCCAAGCTCTTGGGAGCACAAAACGGAGACCCAAAGGCCCAGATGGCGCCGCAAACAGCCTAGCGTATCCAACATCCTGGGGACATTGGACCCTTAAAGACCCCCTTCGCGGGACTGTCGCCCCGCAACAGAGCAACGCCTCTGGATGGCCATGAGAGCCTGGATGCGATCCGCTAATGGGGCCACGGCTGTTTGAAGAGCCATCTTTCATCTCTCTGCAGTCGGCCCTGCCCCTCTCCACACCACCCTCGAACCATGCCATCGCAGCGAGGCAGTTTATCTGCCCATGTGCGACACAATCAACGCTATCACCAAGCTACAGCGGGCGACTGGCTTGGCACAGCGCCACCGCGTGCTGTGCGACTGTGCGCGGGCAACGGCCTAGCGGTCCCGATTGTCTCAAGCGCGTATCCGTAAAAGCAGTTTCAGTAGCGAACCTAGATCGTATTGCGTATCGATCCCCATGCGCTACATCAAGACGCTCCACATATCCACGCCGCGCGTACTCGCAACAATCACCCCGTACATGGCTAGCAGCGCTCATCAAACGTGCTGTGTGCTTTTCTACACAGCAACAACCTCAGTGCTGGTTCCACATGCTTTTCGAACTGCGGACTCGGCCCCTCCTGCAATTGCACGTGGAATATATGCTCTGTCCCTTGTTCACAGTCAACGCCGTCTCCACTCCCAGTTGCCTCAGCGCTTCACCTACCCGTCTCGTCAGCCTAGTTGACGGATATATCCGATTTACCGTGTACGAATACGTTGACCAAAAGGTTTCGATGCACTGCGACGTTGCGTCAGCATGGGCGTCATCATTGTCGGGCACCATGAAGACACCGAACCCCGATTCTTGAATGACTGGGCGCACCATGTACAATCTACATGAGGCAAAGTCAGCTTACGGCCGAAGAACGAGAACCGCAATGTAATCGCCTACGACCCCTCATAGAACCTGGAGATGTGCTCAGCTTGCTGCTCGGGCATGAGACTAGGCGCCGAGACCCTAAGCTTCAGTCCGGCATCGCAGGTCCACAATCCCCTAGTAAACTCCAGCAATGCGCCTGATAAATTACACCTAGCTACGACTCTCAATGCACCCAACCTTCACACCTGCGCTCCTCGAAGAACGTCGGCAGGTTCTTGTGGCACCCAGACGCAGAAGCTGCAATCTACGAACCCTCCATTGACGAGATACCCAACTCGCGACTTGGGAGCCATATTAGTCGAGCCTGAAATAGAACCTCGAGTGTCGAACGTCGAGACTGAGCGATACCAGTAGAGACAAATATTGTGGCCAAGGCGAGAGAGAGTCCTACCTTTTGGGCATACTGCGGGGCACGGTGATGGCGAAGAAACATGCGTATAGGAGGACATGGCTGAACACCACCAAATGTCATAATGGGAGCGCAAAGCACAACGCTCAATCAACGCGCCCACGTGGTGAACCATCACGACAGATGTCATAAGCTTTGCGGCGCAATATTGCCGCAAAAGCAAGGTAAGGGTTGTAAAAAGGATCATGGATCAAGGGTGACGTCATAGGTGGACTGAGTTCGTCCGACTACGGCTAACACTTCATCACATGGAGTTGTCAACAACGTGAATATTAATAATCATTCGGAAATTGTACTACAAGCGCAAAGGTTATAGCGAACACCCGTTCGTAATCCTCGTCTTCCACACTGTGAACCCAAACCCCCCTCCCATTCATTTCGTCTCGTACCTATCCCCACTCCTACAACTCCTCCTTTTCCTCCTCGTCCACCTCAGTATCCTTGATAGGATCCCTCTCGGCATCACGAATCGCTTTCTCAAACTCCTCCGCCTCCTTGGGACTATTCGCAAACAAGTGCTCCTTGACGAGCCTCTGCGGCGTCTCACCAAGCCACTGGAACAAGCTGAAATCCTGGTACTTGTCTGTGCGGAAGATTTCCAGTACCTCGACGTCTTCATCGTCAGAGAGGTTTTCGATGAAGTGGCCCATGTTGCGAGGAATGACGCCCACATCGCCGGCTTGGAAGTCGAAAGTGCGCGCTGTGCCTTTGGCGGCGAAAATGGTCACTCGGGCGCGGCCTTTGATGAAGAAGGACCACTCGTCTGCGTTGGCTGCGGAAATGAGTTAGAACGAGACGTGTTATGGAGGAGTGAGTGATTGACTTACGGTGCCAGTGCATCTCACGGATTGCACCAGGTTGGATGTTCAAGTGTGCTGCAGCGACGGTCTTGGAGATGGGGAAGTTTGTCGAGTCGGTGATTCGGACTTGGCCACCGGTTGTATTGACAGGCTCCTGGGCAAGCATCTTGTGGGTGAATTGGATCTTTGACTTCTTGTACCCCTTGCTGCCACTTGGAACCTCATCATCGATGGGACCAGGCTCCGAGCCTTTGAAGATGTACTTTTCACTCTCAGGGATGGCCTTGAAGACTTCTGGTGAAACACGGAAGTTCTCACCCAAGACGGACTTGGGTGTAAGCCTCATCCAGTCAGTGAGCAAGAAGGTAGAGTCTTCAGAGAAGTTGCCGTCGTCAAAGACCAGTAGAAACTCGGTTCCATTGGGGCTGAGACCTTGCAGGGAGTGAGGGTGCCCAGAAGGGAAGTACCACAGGTCACCCTTCTCTAGGTCGTCGACGAAGGATCCGCCTTCAGTGTCAAGAGCAGTGATGCGGACCTTGCCTTCGAGGACGTAGGCCCATTCGGCTTCCTTGTGCCAATGAAGTTCGCGAATGACGCCTTCTTCGAGGCGCATGTTGACACCGGCTAGCTCTTTGCTGGTACCCAGCTCGCGGACCGTCGTCTCACGCGTCCAGCCACCTTCTTCAATACGGATATGCGAGTCGGCGAAGGACCAGCGCATGTTGGGAATCGCGCCATGGTCGGTGCTGGGTGGGCGGACGAGATCTGGGTTTTGTCGCTCACGGGCGCGGTTGCGAGGACCCAGTACACTTGCTCCGTCACCGTTGCGCTATACACTGTTGTTAGTATGTGCGTCGCGTCCATGTTTGCTGTTTGTTGTTCCGCGGAGGAACCATCTCAATGCTGGACTCACGTATGGTAGTGGCTGAAGCTTGTCGCCTTGTGAATCAATCTTCTTGTCAAACGGATCACGGTTGCCGGGCTTGTATGGGTTGAAGACCTTGTTAGGTCCTGCGTGGTGTCGCGCACTACCAGGCAGCGGCTGTTGTTGCTCCAAGGGCGCCGCAATGGCACCGCATACGCCAAGCGCGACAAGCAACGATGGAAGATGCATGATTGCTTCAATTGACCTCAAGTGAAGAAGTTGAAGAGGATCGCGAAGTCAAAAGTTATTCAGCCGGCAGGCCATGCCTTTTTGACGTGCCGCATGCATTGCGCGTCCTGCAATGCCGTGTTCCGATGACGACAGATCCAGCCATTATTATTTATGATGCTGGCTTGACACTAAACCATCACTCATCCATTCCCGCGGCATCTCCGCACATCAACCACCATTTTTCCATGCACCGTACCCACTCAAAACAGTTTCCCCGCACACAAAACGCATTGCAAAGCCACATCGGGAAGGTCTACAAGCCACACTTCCTGAGTTATCCTGCGATTGCCGTCCTCAGCATCCAAAGCTTGACTGAAGCTTGAGTCCAAGTGCCTGACGATCTGCATACTGGCTCGCGTCTCCCCGGTTATGCTGGCGCGAAAATCTGCACCCCGCTCCAATTGACATAACTACCGGTCCTCGCAACCCTCCCAGGATTCGATTCGACACACGATATCCTCTCCCACGCGCCTGCAACCATGAGCAACGCATCACGCAGAGACGCCACACGCAGCGGCGCAGACGAAGAAACGCCGCTTCTCGGCCGAAATGGACTATCCGGCGGAAAGTCGGACAACACGGGGACTGTGCAGCGGTTCAAACGGCACATGAACTGCGATGTTACGAAGAACTGGGCAGACCTTGTTTTGTTGTTTTGCTACATTATTACTGGGCTATTGGATAGCTCGGCAGTCTTCATATGGGGCTCTTTTGTTAGCATGCAGACGGGTGAGTAAGACGCAGCATCTTTCCCGAACCAGAAGCTTACCAATAAACAGGTAACACCGTCTATCTTGGCTTGGGCATTGTTGCACCTACTGAGGGCATTCGCTGGATCAAAGCCTTGACGTCCATTGTTGCATTCTGTGCGGGCTCGTTCTGTTTCGCGCGCTTCCATCGCTACTTTTCACCCGCCAAGAGATGGGTGCTCATCGTATCCTACTCTTTCCAGATGCTGCTTATCGCTGTAGCTGCATTCATCGCGACATTCGGCGAGGACACCAAGGAAGGCCTTCATTGGCAGATGCTCGTCCCGCTTGCTTCAGTTGCTTTCCAGTCCAGCGGGCAGGCGGTTACGTCGCGTGCCTTGAAGTATAATGGCCTGACCAGTGTTGTGCTTACCAGCAACTACTGCGATCTGTTTTCCGACCCGCAATTGTTCAAGCCGTCGAACGTGGAGCGAAATAGGAGGATCGGTGCACCAGTGTTGCTGCTGTTGGGAGCTTGCATTGGCGGCCTATACGCTCACAGTAGTGTAGGTCTCGCAGGCGCCTTGTGGACTGCTTGCGGACTGAAGCTATTGGTTGTCTTTGCCTGGGTCTTTTGGCCTTCGGAAGTTACAGAGGAGTAATGTTTAGACCTGACAGTGAAGCTTAGTTGTCTTGAAAAGCCCGTCCAACTGGTTCCTGTCAATCACACCCAATCATGGTACGAACACTGGCACAAAACTATACTTTATAATATCCTCTCATGTTCACACTATCATCTGTTACACCGTTTTGCCATTGTTCTCAATACAGCCCCTCTTGACTTATGACTTGACAGTACCCTCCGCTCGAAATCAACTTGTCCACAACCCATGATGAAGCTTAACAACTCAGGTTACTACGTATTCGTCAAGAACTGCGAGTCCTAACCTCTGCTTGGGGCGGAAACCCGGGCCCTAGCTAATCTTCAAAACCGCCGTACAGGAGTGACGGTAGTAGCGTTCGACATAAAAGGTGTCACTCAGCATTTCCAGGATCAGTACATCTTCAGCGCATATTGAAGTGAGCTAGTAGTTGCAGTACTATAACCCAGTACAAAGCCTATGTGCTTTGTTCCCTACATGCGTTCCTTCTACTAAGAACACAGCATCGAGGTATTTACCATTCAGACACGTGAACGACCACATGGACCCATTTTTAGTACCATGATCAAAGAGACCAGGGGGACTGCCGGTGCAAGATTATTCAGATTCTTGTCTGTTATCCAAGGGAATCTTGTACTTGTAAGACTCGGTATGGAGAAGGAGTTTAAATGGATGAGCGAGGAGTGTCCTTCGGTTCTAGGATTGTTACATCTAGATTCGATGTACAAGAGCTTGTCGCGGACGGCTACAAGCGCATGGCCTCCGAACCCGACATAATCAACCACCCGTATCTGAAGCCCAGTTTGGACGAGACTATGGACGCTTTGGAAATAAATAGCTAGCGTGAGACCAACAAGAATTATGGAGCGGCTACCAATACCGTCAGATCTCTAGCGATTTTTTCTGGCCTCTTGCCCGGAGCGACTTTACATGAACTTCCTGGACACAACCCGACACGCGTCCATCGATTTCATTATCGTCCATAATCGAAGCTGAAAAGACAGACGAAGTATCACAATGCTCGTATCAGCGCGTCGGACGAAAGTAAGCTCCCTCTACAAACGACAAACGGATTAGCAAAGCTATACGCCTCGTACCATGGGACATCCGCTGTTGCTCTCAGCTCGTTCACAACAAGCATGGTAAAACATAGGGTGAAAATATGGTGCGTGTCGTTTCGAAGCCAAGAAGCGTTTGACGAATTCATTGCCAACGTCGAAGACTCGGTCTACGAGGGGTTTAGACTATGCGTCACACCGATGGTTTCACTATAAAAGAACATGGCCGCCAAGAACCTGAATGAAGCACCTCAGAGACGGTCTACTGGTAGTTTCAAGAATGACTTGACGGCAGTTTTCGAGTAAGTAAACGCATCGACATGGACTCGGTACACTCGGGCTAACTCTCGCAGTATACTCAGCACCACAGGTGAATGTGAAGATCAGCCGCAAACTGAGTAACGTACGCCCACAATAGCGGCCTAAAGCCTGGAACCATGCGCCACTGAGGCGTTTGCAGTCCCGCGTACTGTCACCGCGACATCAACGCGAATAGCTCTGTCTTCGATCCGCCGCAACTTCCCACTCCTAAAACGGCTCCAACACGCAATCACCACCTTGCTGGACAACCTAATCGCAACTGTGGAAGATGATCTCCAATCCGTTGAAGAGGTCCTTCGACACCATGATGGCTATGTTGACTGTAAAGGAATCGCCGGAAGATGCCGTCATGACGACCGATTCTGCTGCTCAAAGCTTCAATATTACATGCTCCGGTGCTATGAACATTGACCGCGACAACGGTTCGGAGGGCAGCGGCCTCGACGTCCATCGCATACCGTCACCCCATCCTGGCACCCAGTCTACTCAGCAAATCAACACCTTCATCGTAGATCAACATTCCAATCCCGAACCCACCAATACCACAGGCCAAAGCCCTAACACCTTCCCACACTTTGTCAAACTACCTTCCAAGCTCCGCTCGCTAATCTGGTACTTCGCTGCACCAGCACCACGAACCCGTTTCCTTGAACTTCACACCTACAACACCATCGACCATACCCCCCGTACACGCTATATTCCCCCTCTTCCTCCACTCTTCTCCACAAATCAAGAATCCAGAAACCTCAGCATTGCGCACGAAGGCGGCGAGATCATCACCTTCACTTCGAGTGCTTTTACCGCCTTATTCTCTTTCCATGGCCGCAAGATTGGCGAAGCAGAAGATGGGAAGGAAGGTGAAAAGAGCTTCTACTTCAACTTCAGCCGGGATATCCTATGGTTGAGTGCAAGGTTTACAGCTGCGTGTAATACCACCGAGACGTTTCGTCTCACAACGCTATCCTCCATTCTACCACCTGCCACGCTATCGCGGATTGAACGTCTCCTCGTATCCTACTCTGGACTGGACTCGTACGCACTCATCGGCCCTGTTTTGCGCCCATATGCGCATCTAGAGACGTTGTATCTGTGTATGAATGACGAGCGGGTTATAGAAAAGGTGAAGAAGCTGCTGGATAAAGGTGTACCGGATGAGGGGGTGACGGCGGAGAAGTTGAGGCGGATATTAGAGCAGGCCGAGGCTGATGAGACGGATGATGATGACGAGAGTGAGGAGATGGGGAATGAAAGGTTGGCGGTGAGGGCAAGAAGGAGGGTCCTTGAGGTAGATCTGAGGTTGGAAGAGTAGGGTAGTGCGCATTCGGTGTTTCATGTTGATTAAAGGCATTTTCATGGCTTTAAGCTTCTTGGGCGTTGGGTGCCAGTCGGACAGGTTTACGTCGTCATTTCACGACCTCGGCTTTGGCGTCACAGGGAAATGAAACATACACAGCAATAGAAGCATGTCACTTACTCATACTGTCGATAAAAAAAAATACAACATCATCGTACCCAGCAATGCTTGACCAGCATCTGTTCAACACAAAGTGTTAAACAACCATATCACCCAAGGACGGCGACTCGTCCACTCTTTGCTTCGACAACTCAAAGCTCAACACGGTATGATCTGTATAGTACATCAACAAGCGCCAACGTCTTGGCTGTGGCGTCTCTTCCTCTTGTTCCAGTGTTTCAGCGTCCTTTGAGATATCAAACATGCCTAGTCCAAATGTTAGTCACAAGGTAGACGCAGTAAATGAGCACACAGCATGATCGTACCTTGTGTGGGTGCGACAGCTATGCCAAGCAGTTGTCCCTGCGGTACCCCCGCGATTGCTGTCTGATTACTTTTGTGGAAAGGCAACAGGTACTCGAGCTTGAAACCATATCGGGGCCGTTCGTGGTCCTTGTCTTTGGCGTAGTACAGGCTGAATACGCCTGCATGACCAATCGGAGATCCGACTATGAAGATACCTAGCTCGGGTATTTCAGAGAAGAAGCAGTGTCGATCTTGAGAAGTGAGAGATTCTACCCATTGGCCTGGATGTAGTGGACGACGCATAGCAATGACCTGCAATATTGGTGTACGAAGTCAGTGCATGTCTCAAATGCAGTTCGTGCATCGGAGTTCTTACCTGGTTTAGAGTATAGTTCATGGATGTCCTCAATGAGCCTTGAACAAGAAACACGTCCTCCTTTGTAAAGATCAGAAAGGGAGAATCGATAACCTCCTAATGCCGATCAGCTTGGAGGAATGTAACGAGGCTAAGAGGCAGATCTTACCATGCCACCAAGTTGTGTGATCTGTCTTGTAGTCTTGACAACACGATAAGGTCTTTTGACTACTGGATGGGCCGTATACAATATCCCCAGCTGGTTCAATAAATCGAAATGAGAGTGATATTGAATGAGTGGTTGTGTAGTATCATCATTATGAAGTTCGTCTGCCATCTAATACCGACCATGTAATTAGCACTATGTCGTCTGGTAAGAGAGATATTCTAAAAGCAATCCCTGTACTACTTTTTGTGGTACTTGCAGTAACTTGCCAGTGTAAACCCTTAAGGTACACCTTGAGTATTGGGTACAACTCAGACAACACGGATTTCTTCGTGTGGATGTGTTCACTTACAGATTGAATCAACTGCGCAAAAGGCTGTGCGGGCGGTTCGTCATCTATGCCATCCTCTTCGTCATCTGTGACCTCCGAATCGTAGTCACTTTCGCTGGCCTCGGGATATGGGGAGGCCCGGTGTGAAGTTCGGAAGCGTTCCTTCTGATGGGTGACATCCAGAAAGTCGGCCATAGTGAGACCCAAAGTCGATTCTCTCTCCGGTCTCAACTCATATGCTGATCGTGTATCTAGCGCTATAGTACCCCAGGCCCCATGGAGGACATTTTGAGCAGCCGGGCAATCGCATAGGAATCTGTGACGACTATAACGAGGCGGCGTTGAGAGATCGCTCGCGCTCGCGCACCAGCCCAGCTGGAATATGGCTACCTCTTCTCTTGTAGTCAAATCCCAGAGCGATGTTTTACCATCGATGCAGCTGCTTAATAGCCAACGTCCAGAGCCGCCGTAGAACGACAATGCAGGGATATTGTTGGTCGCCGAAAGAGTGAAGATATTATCTTTTTGTCTGCCATACAGAAAGCTAGGGCCAGGCAGCGGAGTCTCGTGAGTGTTGTGGTCTGAGACCTCCAGTTCGCTATCAGAAGCGAGTGCATATGCGATTATCGTGATCCTATGGGTGTTCTATTCAAGGTTAGAGGATTAGGGCGCGTATGAGACGTAAGAATTGTCATTACCGCGCTAATCGCAATGATGCGGGCCTCTCGATGCACAGCCAAACCCCATGCACTCGCGCCAACGTTGCGGTGGAGGAACACATGAACATTGTCGTCATTGGCAGTCTCATGCAGATTGGTTCGGCGTTGCAATTCTCGATGGATCTCTTGAGTTCGATATCCAATAACGTCGCCATCGTCACAGGTCAAAAGAAGAATCTCTTCGTTACCGAGATAATCAACGAGGATACGGGTAACAGAGTGAGGGTTCGAGGGGTCAATTCCTTGGCTAATGATGCCAGTTTTGGGCGGATGCAGGACAAGCTCAGCCTCGCTAGATAAGTTCTGATCGGGAAAGCTGGGTGAATAGACACAAATTGTATCGACAGAGGCGAGAAAATAGAGATTATACCGATGCGAGAGTGCCGTTAAGTCGCAACGCCATCCTCTTAAACTTGGTGGTGCGACATTGTTGGAGAACTGTTCTGGGTCAGCAGCCATCTTGGGAAATCAATCCGTCAGCCCAGTGGATAGCTGACCCTTTTGTCTCCGCGGTGGTCACCCGTTGGGATACAGGCGATATGTTGGTACATAATGAATCCCGCATTCTTGCTTGGAGTGAGGCGATCCAGGAGCGAAGATGAGAGGAGAAGGAACCTAAGTTGGTTGGTTGGTTGGTTGCACATGTGTGACGTGAGCTAGCGCCGAGCGCCGTCTTATGATTGGACAGTACAACGTGGTGTGACTGCTCCGAGTATACGAAGGAGCTCGGTTTAATAAGTTGTAACGCATGCCCAGGTAGAGGGATACATTGTATTGTATCTCATGAGCCTATCAACGTGAAATGCCGCAAGCACATTGAAGGTAGGTTTTGTAAAGTACAACTTAGCAAGAACAAGTTTCTTCGTAAGAGGAAGAAACAGTCGCTGAAGATGCATTTTCACAGAACTTCACACAGGCACGGAATCGAGAAGAGGTCTTAATGTCAGAGGCCTTTCAGCCTCTTCAGCATTATAATCTTATTGCGCTATGAACACCATGGTCATATATATCTCTAGTCATGCTTTCCCATGCGAAGATAAGGCCTTCACAAACCGCTTGGATAGATCATGGATGAACATCAAACCCGCTAGATCGAGAATCCGAACGCCGTCTAATGCTTCGCGGTGACCTTGTCGCCGGTGAGCTTCTCAACAGCCTCCTTGGCACTAAAAGTTTGTTAGCATATCTGCGGACATAGGTGTAGTGATGGCAAAACTTACACGTCACCTAGAGCAACCATGCAAACCGTCTGCCAAACGCCAAGACCAATTCTAGGAGTAACGCCACGGTAAAGACCCTTGATACCGTTGTTCGAGTAGATGTACCTGAACGCCGATGCAACATTGAGGTTCTTGGGGCGGTTGGGGTCAACAGTCTTGGACTGAAGCTCAACGCGGATAACCTCAATGGGTTGGTTCCATGCACTCAAACCACCACCGAGAGCTGAAGCAGTGATCTTCTCAACCACGCTGAGCTTTTCGCCATGCTCCTTATCCATAACCCTGCGGATACCGGTTTCCGCAACACGGGACAAACCAAAGCGGGATCCCCAGTTAGTGACCTGGCGCACCGCGACGGCGTTGACACCACGGTTGATACCGCGGAGACCTTCCGTGCGCCAGATCTGCATGAATGTCTCGAGCGTACCCGGGGGCTTCGCGCCGGTGGCTGCGACCTTGTGCTTTGTGATCTCGACCGTCTTCATGCAAGTGCAGAAACCCATAGTGGCATAGGCCTGTGCAAGACCACCAGTCATGCCGCCCGAGATACCGGCGACGAAGTCGGGAGCGCCGAATGACTTGGCGTAGTATTCGGCTTCCGAAGCGACGAAGAGGAGGACGGCGCCTTTGGTGGAGGCTTCGATCCAGGCCCATGGAATGAGGCCCTGGTAGACTGTACTTGTGTTGGTAAGAATTCTTGAGGATCATGAAATGTATGCTTACATCCAAGAACACCTCCACGCGCCCAGATGCGGCCAATAGCTCCCGAGAAGCCTTCAGACCTGTTGGCAGCCATGGTAGTCTTGACGACCTCCAACGGCTATAATGGGTGGTTAGTGCATCTCCCGGAAACACATGGTTCCTCTAGTCGCATACCTGTCCCAGAGTTGTCACTCTGTTGTATTCAGTCAGCGTCGATCCTATCGTGATGTTGAAGTGGGCTGTGTTTACTTACTCAAACATGTTGAGACCAGCACCAACTGTCCTTACAGTCAGCATACATCAACGTCGCCCGTTTGCAGGCAAACTCACGCAACAAATTGCTGAACTTGACCGGCTTCTTCTCGAGCGATGGCGGGCCGTTCCTCGCCATGCTGGGGACGCCCGTCGCAGGTGTGGAGCTCATTCTCTGGGATTCTCTTGTCGAAGATATGCGGCCTGACCAAGGCAAAAGGGTGCTCCGTCGCAAATGTGAGTAGTATCAAGTGTGTGAGCAAAGAGAGGAAAGGGATGCATAGAAAAACGGTACAAGCTTGCGAGGTGGTCTGTGTTGCTCTGGTTGACCGCCGTCCGGGCGCGCTATAATTGGGGTTGTCCCTGAGGCTATCGGCCACTTGGCGGAAGAGCTATGTCCCGCTCGTGCTTTCCGCAGCAGTGTACCATGTTGGAGGGGTCTCGCATTGCTTTTGCAATCCAAGTTCCTGTGCAAAACCGTTCCCTCCAATGCGAGAGTCTTCATGTTTGCTTCTGCGCTTTCTACATACAGCCCTGGAGGACATCAGTTGCACAGCGAATTGTTGGGTCTCGGATTGGCGTCGGGCACATTGCACAGCTCAACGATCCGTATCGGTTCCCCATCGCTCAACGAAAGAGGATACCCACACTCCGAATATCCCGGTTACTTTTCTCACCGTTCGTTGCTTTTTTGCACCGCTACAATTGGACCAAGCTTGTGCAATCCTATCCTCTCCGGAGATGTTGCTCACAGGGATTCACCGTAGACAGAGACATAGTATGAACTTCATGGAGAGTAGATTTTTGGTCATCAAGACATGCGATTACAGCAAGTCGTCCACTGAAAAGTAGTGATATAGCGCCGTAATGCTCCCGTTCCCTATCCTTACATTGCAATTCTACACAGGACAAGGTATCTTAGAATGTCAAACAAATTCCTCCACATTCTCCTGACCGTAGAGCACGTTGCAGTAACGTGCTTACAACTTAGCGCCAACCAACTTGGCGTAAGCCTCAGTGCTGAAAGACTTGGGCCTCTCAATGGGGGCACCGACGGCACGGTCGATGATGAGCTGGGGAAGGACACCGAGCGCACGGGATACACCGAAGAGGACGGTGTAGTAGTTCTGCTCAGTGAGGCCGTAGTACTGGAGGAGGACACCAGAGTGGGCATCGACGTTGGGGTAGGGGTTCTTGGTCTTGCCGTGCTCAGTGAGAACACCGGGGGCGATCTTGTAGACCTGGCTGACAAGCTTGAACATTGGGTCGTCGGGCAAGTGCTTCTGAGCGAACTCGCGCTGGGAGACGTAGCGGGGGTCGGTCTTGCGGAGAACAGCGTGGCCGTATCCGGGAACGACTTGGCCAGCCTTGAGGGTAGACCACAAGTAGTCCTTGATGGCCTGGTCGCTGAGGTCGTTGCCAATAGCCTTCTTCATCTTCTGGAGCCAGACAAGGACTTCCTGGTTGGCCAATCCGTGGAGAGGACCAGCAAGACCGTTGAGACCGGCAGCCAGGGACAGGTAAGGAGAGCTGAGAGCGGATCCAACCAAGTGGGTGGTGTGGGCGCTGACGTTGCCACCCTCGTGGTCGGTGTGGATGGTGAGGTACAGGCGCATCAGCTCAACAAAGTCCTTGTTCTCGGAGAAACCGAGCTGGTTGGCCAAGTTGAAGGAGTAGTCCTTGTCCTTCTGGATAGGAGCAACCTTGCCGTCCTTGTAGATGTTGCGGTAGATCTTGGCGGCGAGGGTGGGAAGCTTCGCGATGAGGTCCATGGCATCCTCAAAGGTGTGCTCCCAGTACTGCGACTTGGGCATACCCTTGGCGTAGGCCTTGGCGAAGTTGGACTCGTGCTCGAGAGCAGTGACGGCGAGAGAGAACTGAGCCATTGGGTGGAGGTCGCTGGGGCAGCGGTCGATGAGCTCCTCAACGAACTTGGGGACGTCGGAGCGGGCAGCCCACTCGGCGGAGAGGTCGCGGACCTGCTGCTCAGAGGGGACCTCGCCGGTTAGGAGGAGCCAGAAGAGACCTTCTGGGAGAGGCTCCTGGCCACCGGGGGCCTTGGGGAGGAGCTCCTGGCATTCGGGGATCTATCTTGTATGAGCAGTGGTTCTGGGGAAAGCGGTGAAAATGAAATCACATACGGTCTTGCCGCGGAAACGGATACCCTCCTCAGAGTCGAGAACTGATCCCTCCCAGACGAGCGACTTGATGCCACGAGCACCACCGTAGACCTGGTCGAGAGTGACCTCGCCGATGACAGTGTTGCCGTGCTCCCTAGGATATGATGTTAGCGGTGCATTGC